CTTTATCACTTCATTGGCTGCTACCCAGTCCTCACCAGCAACCCCAGCTCCAGTTCCAGCTCCAGCCGCTCCTCTGTCCTGTGATGCACCTGAGCCCCGTGTGGGAGTTCCAGAACGTTATGATGGCAGTCCAGAGACTTGTGGCCCTTTCCTGACAAACTGTTCATTGTTGTTTTCCCTTCAGCCCCGTACCTTTGCCTCAGAGCAGGCGAAGGTCGCTTTTACAATTAACCACCTCACAGGCAGAGCTCGTCTGTGGGGAACTGCTGAATGGGAGAGACAATCAGAGGCCTGCTCTTCGTTCCAGTGTTTTGCTCAGGAGTTACGCAAAGTTTTCGGCCTGGGGTTTTCCAGATCAGAGACTGCTCGAGGGCTTATGGGGCTGCGACAGGGGGAACGCACAGTGGCAGACTATTCAATTGACTTTCGCACCAGAGCCAGCCTCAGCAGCTGGAATCCTGCCGCTCTGGTGGACGCTTTTCTCCATGGCTTGGCAGAATACATCAAAGATGAACTGGTCTCCCATGACGTGCCCTCAACACTGGATGGAGTAATAGAGCTAGCCATCCGGATCGATCACTGTGTTCAGGCTCGCCGACGGGAGAAATGCCAGGCGTCCTCTCATCATCCTCCCATCCAGTCCAGAGGGCATGCCTTCAACTCTGCATCATCAGCTCAGCGTTTGGAAGAACCCGAGCCCATGCAATTGGGTCGTGCTTCCCTCACCCCAGAGGAACGAGAGCGACGCAGGCAATCAAACCTCTGTATGTACTGTGGTCAGGCCGGGCACTTCAAGTTCACCTGTCCAGTAAAAGCCAAGGCTCACCAGTAGTTGGGGAGATACTGGTGAGCCCTACAATCGTGCCCTCCCCTCAACCACAGAGACCTCAGCTCCAAGCCCGGTTGCTCCTTCCTGGTGGCTCCCAGTCCCTGCTCACACTCATAGACTCTGGTGCTGATGCCTGTATTATTGACGAGGGGTTGGTTCAGCAGTTGGGGCTAAAGCGGGTTCCTTTACCTCGTCCGATTCCCGCTCGGGCTCTTGACGGACATATTCTGGGAACTGTCACGCACCAGACTGTCCGGGTTCCTATGTTGCTTTCTGGCAACCATCATGAGGAGATCCAGTTCCACATCCTGAAGACTCCTCATCAGCCTCTCATTCTGGGTTACCCCTGGCTTCGTCAGCACAACCCCAACATTGACTGGGAGATGGGAGCTGTACGTGAATGGGGTCCATCCTGTCATCGCCGTTGCCTGAAGCAAGCCTCCTCTCCAAGCCACTCACACTCCTCCAGTTCGCCTCCTGACATCTCTGAGGTACCCTCTGAATAACATGACCTCAGCCCAGTCTTCAGCAAGGCCAAAGCCACGTCACTGCCCCCTCATCGGCCTTATGATTGCGCCATTGACCTCCTGCCTGGCACATCTCCGCCCAAGGGTCGCCTGTACTCCCTGTCTGCACCTGAAAAAGAAGCCATGGACATTTATATTAAAGACTCTCTGGCAGCAGGCATAATCCGTCCGTCCTCCTCCCCTGCTGGGGCGGGCTTCTTCTTTGTTGAGAAGAAGGATGCTACCTTGAGGCCTTGCATTGATTACCAAGGACTGAACAACATCACCATAAAGAACCGCTACCCCCTGCCTCTCATCTCTTCGGCCTTTGAACTGCTTCAGGGGGCCACAGTCTTTACTAAGCTTGACCTTCGCAACGCCTACCATCTGGTCCGCATCAGAGAGGGAGACGAATGGAAGACAGCTTTCAGCACTCCATCTGGGCACTACGAGTACCTGGTAATGCCCTTCGGCCTCACCAATGCCCCCGCTGTTTTCCAAGCCCTGGTCAACAACGTTCTCCGAGACATGCTCAACCGCTGCGTCTTTGTTTACCTCGATGACATCCTGATCTTCTCCAAGACCCTGAGTGAGCATATCTACCATGTCCGGGCGGTGCTCCAACGTCTCCTCGAAAACTCCCTGTTCGTCAAAGCGGAGAAGTGTGAATTCCATGCCCCATCTGTCTCCTTCCTGGGTTACATCGTGGCCAAGAACAGCATCCAGATGGACCCAGCAAAGGTGTCAGCTGTCACTTCCTAGCCTGTTCCTGACTCCCGCAAACAGTTGCAGCATTTCCTTGGTTTTGCCAACTTCTACCACCGTTTCATCCGCAATTACAGTTCAGTTGCTGCTCCCCTCACTGCCCTAACCAGCTCCAAAGTGCCATACCTATGGAATCCTGCTGCCGATGAGGCTTTCAAGACTCTAAAATCCAAGTTCACCTCAGCACCCATCCTTCAAGTACCAGATTCTGATCAGCAATTCGTGGTGGAGGTGGATGCCTCGGATGTGGGTGTCGGAGCTGTCCTCTCCCAAAGATCAGCGGCTGACCAGAAACTTCACCCCTGTGCTTTTTTTTCTCGACGCTTGTCTCCGGCGGAGAAAAATTATGACATTGGCAACAGGCAACAGGATTCGGACTGATCACAAGAACCTTGAGTACCTTCGCACAGCCAAGAGACTTAATTCCCGTCAGGCCTGTTGGTCTCTGTTCTTCACAAGGTTCAATTTCATCCTCTCCTACCGCCCTGGTTCTCGCAACGCTAAGGCAGACGCCCTTTCCCGGCAGTTCCAGAAGGAAGTGGGCTCTGCTGAAGCCCCTGTTACCATCCTTCCCCCCACCTGTGTTGTCGCCGCTCTGTCCTGGGACATAGAGGAGAGGGTGAGAACTGCCACCGAGGGACAGCCAGGTCCCAGCGCCTGTCCCCCAAACTGCCTCTATGTGCCAGAAGCACTGAGGTCAGAGGTTCTGCAGTGGGCTCACTCCTCCAAACTTACCTGTCACCCAGGTTCCCGGCATACACAGGATTTTCTACGCCAGCGCTTCTGGTGGCCCACCCTGGAGGTAGATACCCGCAACTTCGTCAAGGCTTGTCCCATGTGTAACCAGCAAAAGACGTCCCGACAGGCCCCTGCAGGATTCCTTCAGCCACTCCCAATACCACATCGACCCTGGTCCCATATCTCCCTAGACTTTGTTACTGGTCTCCCTCCCTCTGATGGTAACACAGTCATCCTCACCGTGGTGGACCGCTTTAGCAGAGTAAAAATTGAGAAAAAAAATCAAAGTCCAAAGTAATATGCACTTTGTGTCAAACCTGAATAAAATATCAACAAAGTGCTTAGAAATTGAGCTACCTCCTTTAAGTTAAGTATGCAGTTGCATCTGATCAGAATGACATCAGTAACCACATCACAAAAGCTGCCCAAGCAATATTCTGTAGAGTTTGAACCACCACAGACCTGTAGATGAAACCGAATAGAAGGAGTTGTTAGGTGGGTGTCAAATGACGACTTCAGGATGGTCTACTTTGGAGAAGAATTGGGTCTTGGTGATATCCTAAGGTTGTTGTGCTGTTATACACTCACCGGCCACTTTATTAGGTACACCTGTCCAACTGCTCGTTAACACTTAATTTCTTATCAGCCAATCACATGGCGGCAACTTAGTGCATTTAGGCATGTAGACATGGTCAAGACAATCTCCTGCAGTTCAAACCGAGCATCAGTATGGGGAAGAAAGGTGATTTGAGTGACTTTGAACGTGGCATGGTTGTTGGTGCCAGAAGGGCTGGTCTGAGTATTTCAGAAACTGCTGATCTACTGGGATTTTCACGCACAACCATCTCTAGGGTTTACAGAGAATGGTCCGAAAAAGAAAAAATATCCAGTGAGCGGCAGTTCTGTGGGCGGAAATGCCTTGTTGATGCCAGAGGTCAGAGGAGAATGGCCAGACTGGTTCGAGCTGATAGAAAGGCAACAGTGACTCAAATAACCACCCGTTACAACCAAGGTAGGCAGAAGAGCATCTCTGAACGCACAGTACGTCAAACTTTGAGGCAGATGGGCTACAGCAGCAGAAGACCACGCCGGGTGCCACTCCTTTCAGCTAAGAACAGGAAACTGAGGCTACAATTTGCACAAGCTCATCGAAATTGGACAATAGAAGATTGGAAAAACGTTGCCTGGTCTGATGAGTCTCGATTTCTGCTGCGACATTCGGATGGTAGGGTCAGAATTTGGCGTCAACAACATGAAAGCATGGATCCATCCTGCCTTGTATCAACGGTTCAGGCTGGTGGTGGTGGTGTCATGGTGTGGGGAATATTTTCTTGGCACTCTTTGGGCCCCTTGGTACCAATTGAGCATCGTTGCAACGCCACAGCCTACCTGAGTATTGTTGCTGACCATGTCCATCCCTTTATGACCACAATGTACCCAACTTCTGATGGCTACTTTCAGCAGGATAATGCGCCATGTCATAAAGCTGGAATCATCTCAGACTGGTTTCTTGAACATGACAATGAGTTCACTGTACTCAAATGGCCTCCACAGTCACCAGATCTCAATCCAATAGAGCATCTTTGGGATGTGGTGGAACGGGAGATTCGCATCATGGATGTGCAGCCGACAAATCTGCAGCAACTGTGTGATGCCATCATGTCAATATGGACCAAGCTCTCTGAGGAATGCTTCCAGCACCTTGTTGAATCTATGCCACGAAGAATTGAGGCAGTTCTGAAGGCAAAAGGGGGTCCAACCCGTTACTAGCATGGTGTACCTAATAAAGTGGCCGGTGAGTGTATGTCCTACTGTTGCAGGAAACTTACATACTTACAAGACCTGTGAGAAACAGAGAAAGCAACCAAACTGGAACTCTTCAAAAATGCAATTGCTGTTGCCTTAACGAGGGATCATTGGAAACCAATGAGTGGTTGATATTGTCTCTGAATAATAGTACACTGTATTGACACTGATTGGGCATTGCATTTTGAAATGAAGACACTGGTAGGAATTACTTTACATGTCAGTATAGATTATAAAAAGTAAAATGCAGAATCATAAACATGCACATGCAGCCTTAATTAAGATATTTAACCATAGCAGCATAGCCTTGCTTTTGAGATTGCTTTAAAGTAAATTAAACATATGTTTGTAAGAGGCCGAGAGTGTGTGGACCCAAAAGCAGAGGACGTGAGGCAGTTGTTCAGTTTCCAAAAAGGCACTCTTTTATTCCAACAAAAACCCGGCAGAGTCAAAATCAGAGCAGCAAATAATCAGGCGACAAAAACCAGTGGGGCAGGCAAGAATCAGAAATCCAGGGCGATCAAAACAGGTCATACACGGAGAGCAGAGATATATCAAAACACGAGAGAGCTTGTACTAAACTGACAAAGACAATCTGGCAGGGAAGAGCTAGTGAGGAGGGGTTAAATAGAGAAGGGGACAAGACACAGGTGAAGCCAATGGAGTATTAAACTAAGGCGGGAAAAAGAACAAAGACCGGAAGTAAAAGTAACAGCAACACAGGGAAAACAGGATCTTCAAAATAAAACAGGAAGTGGATTCCACAAAGCACAGATCATGACAGTACCCCCCCCCCCCCCCCATCAAGGGGTGTCTCTAGATGACCCCGGAACATCTGGATTCAGTCTTTGAAAGTCTCTGATTAAAGATTTGTCCAGAATGTCCTTTGCAGGGACCCAGGACCTCTCCTCGGGCCCGTACCCCTCCCAATCGACGAGGTACTGGCGGCCCCTGCCCCTACGACGGACAGCCAGCAGGCGATTTACAGTATAAACTGGGCCTCCATCAATGAACCTGGGTGGTGGAGGCGGGTCGGAGGGTGGGAGCAGACGACTTGTCCTGACAGGTTTGATCCGTGACACATGGAAGGTGGGGTGGACCCTCATGGTCCGAGGAAGGCGAAGGCGAACGGCAGCAGGGTTGATGACCTCTGAGATGGGAAAGGGCCCCACGAACCTTGGAGCCAGCTTGCAACACTCCCCCCGAACCGGCAGGTCACGGGTGGAGAGCCAAACCTCTTGACCAACGTGGTAGCGAGGGGCTTGGGAGCGACGGCGGTTGGTGGACCTCTGGTATCCAATGTTGGTGCGGAGAAGGGCTGCACGGGCTCTCCTCCAGGTGAGGTGACATCGGCGGACCAAAGCGTGAGCTGATGGAACTGTGACCTCCCCCTCGAGGTCCTGGAAAAGAGGGGGCTGGTACCCGTAGACACACTGGAACGGGGACAGGCCAGTAGAAGCCACAGGGAGGGAGTTGTGGGCATACTCCACCCAGAGGAGCTGCTGCGACCAGTTGGTTGGACTCCGGGAGGTGATGCAGCGGAGAGCTGTCTCCATCTCCTGATTGTACCTCTCTGTCTGGCCATTCGTTTGAGGGTGGAAGCCGGAGGAGAGGCTGGCCGACGCTCCGAGCAGCCGGCAGAACTCCTTCCAAAACGTGAGGCAAACTGGGGACCCCGATCAGACACAATGTCCTGAGGAAGACCATGGAGATGAAACACATTAAATAAAACTGCCTTCGCTGTCTCCTTGGCGGAAGGCAACTTAGGCAGGGCGACAAAATGGGCCATTTTAGAAAAACGGTCCACAATGGTGAGGATGACAGTCTTACCCCCCAAGGGTGGCAAACCTGTGACAAAGTCCAGAGACACATGGGACCAGGGACGGCGAGGAACAGGTAGGGGCCTAAGCAGACCGGCAGGAGGGTTTCGGGAGACCTTGCTGCGGACACAGACGGGACAGGCAGAGACAAACTCACGAGTATCCTCCCTGAGGGAGGGCCACCAGAAACGTTGTGTGATGAGGCTTAGTGTTCTACTCACCCCAGGATGACAGCTTAATAGAGAGGAGTGCCCCCACTGCAGGACTCGGGAGCGGAGCGGGCCTGGGACAAAAAGCTGGCCAGGAGGGCAACCAACAGGAATCCTGGCCATCGAAAGTGCTTGCTGGACCTCCCTCTTGATGTCCCAGGTCACCGCCCCGATCACACAGTCGGAGGGCAGGATAGGAGCTGCATCCTGGGGGCGGTTTTCTGCCTCAAACTGCCTGGACAGGGCATCCGGCTTGACATTTCGGGACCCGGGGCGATAAGACAGGGTAAAATCAAACCTGGTGAAGAACAGGGCCCACCTAGCCTGTCTGGAGTTAAGTCTTTTGGCTCCACGGATGTACTCCGGGTTTTTGTGGTCAGTCCAGACTAGGAAGGGCTGCCCTGCCCCCTCCAATCAGTGCCTCCACTCCTCCAATGCCAGCTTCATGGCCAGCAGCTCCCGGTTCCCAACATCGTAGTTGCGCTCGGCGTGAGACAGCTTCCGGGAGAAGAAGGCGCACAGATGAACCTTTCCGTCACCCGCAGAACGTTGGGAGAGAACCGCTCCTACCCCAACGTCGGACGCATCCACCTCTACAATAAACTGGAGCTTGGGGTCGGGCATCTGTAGGATGGGTGACGAGGAGAATCTGGACAGGAGGGTTCGGAACGCTGTCTCTGCCTCAGAGGACCAGGCAAACCTTGAGTTTGAGGAGGTGAGAGCATGCAGAGGGGCTGCTATGTGGCTGTAGTTACGGATGAACCGGCGGTAGAAATTGGCGAAACCAAGAAAACGTTGGAGCTGTTTCCGATCGGTGGGAACAGGCCAGTTCATAACGGCCTTGACCTTTTCAGGGTCCATCTTGATCTGACCTGGTGAAATCACAAGTCCAAGAAAAGACACAGTGGTCCGGTGAAACTCACATTTCTCTGCCTTTACGAATAACTGATGCTGAAACAGCCGCTGCAGCACCTGACGGACATGACCCACATGCTCCTCTTCGGTCTGGGAAAAGACCAGGATGTCGTCGAGATAGACAAAAACACAGACATTCAGCAGCTCCCTGAGAACGTCGTTGATCAGCGACTGAAAAACAGCAGGAGCATTAGTAAGTCCAAAGGGCATTACCAGATACTCATAGTGGCCACTGGGTGTGTTGAAAGCCGTCTTCCACTCGTCTCCTTCACGAATCCGAACAAGATGGTGGGCGTTGCGCAGGTCGAGTTTGGTGAAGACACGAGCCCCTTGAAGAAGTTCAAAAGCAGATGAGAGGAGTGGCAATGGGTAGCGGTTCTTCACTGTGATATCATTCAGACCCCGATATCAATACATGGTCTTATCTTTTTTATCCACGAAGAAGAATCCAGCTCCAGCAGGGGAGGAAGAAGGACGGATGATCCCTGCCACTAGCCCCTCCTGGATGTATTTATCCATGGCCCTCCGCTCAGGCGCGGATAGGGAGTACAGACGGCCCTTGGGTGACATTGTTCCAGGAAGCAACTCAATAGCACAGTCATAAGGGCGGTGTGGAGGTAAGGATGCGGCCTGGCCCTTGGAAAAAAACTCCTTTATGTCTAGGTAGACCCTTGGCATCATGGACAAATCTGGGAACTCAAAAGAAGAATCAGCAGACCTAGGAGGAACAGGCAGAGAGAGCAAACAGGCTGACTGGCAGGCTAGGCTCCATCCCAACACCCTGCCTGTAGCCCAGTCAATCAGAGGGTTATGTCTACACAACCAGGAGTAACCGAGGATAAGGGGGTAGTGGGGGGAATCAATTATCAGGAATGAAATAGTCTCTTTGTGGTTACCTGACATCTGCAGAGACAGGAGAGGAGTCTGTTCGGTAACCCGTCCAAGCAGGTGGCCATCGAGGGTGCGGGCCTGGCGCGTCTCAGGAAGAGGCTCGAGCTGCAGGTCCAGCTGGCGGGCCAGGTCCCGGTCCATGAAACTTTCATCAGCGCCAGAGTCGATGAGAGCTGATAGATCCAGGACATTCTTGGGAGAAGTAATGAGCTGAACTGGGGTCAAGGCGCGTGTAGGTGCAGAGGCGCTTGCGGAGTGGCTCACCAGTAGGCCTCTGGTTACCGATGAGCCTGGTCTTTTACCGGGCACCGAGCTAGGAAGTGGCCGGTTCCCCCACAGTAGAGACACAGTCCCTCACGCTGACGGCGACGTTGCTCCTCTAGGCTTAGGCGAGTCCGACCAAGCTGCAAGGTGTAAATCCAAGGGCCGTTGCAGAGCCATGCTCTCCCCGATTCAGCCGATCCTCATGGCCCGTTGGCCGGAGCCGCTCCCGTTCATGTCGCCGGTTGTCAACCTTTATAGCTAGTTCCACAAGAGCTTCGAAACTGGTAGGGAGATCAACCATGGTCAGTCTATCCTTTAAATCCTCAGAAAGACTAAAAAAAAAAGTGTCAGCAAGGGCCTCATCGTTCCAACGACTCTCAGCCGCCAAAGTGCGGAACTGGATGGCATGATCAAACACTTGGCTACTGCCTTGCCTTGCCCCCAGTGCACGGGCTGCCTCCCGGCCCGGAACCGGTTGACCAAACACACGGGCCAAAGCAGCAGAAAAGGCATCCACAGAGGCACAAACGGATGAACCCCTCTGCCACTCAGCAGTGGCCCACTCTCTCGCCCGTCTGGTGAGATTGGTGATCATGAAAGCCACTTTAGAGCATTCAGTGCGGAAGGTGATGGGCTGAAGCTCGAAGGTTAGCAAGCAGAGAGTCAAAAATGAGCGACAAGTCTCAGGAGTTCCATCATACCTCTCAATTGGAGGAGCACTCGGCTCAGAATGATGACCCAGGGAAGCAGAGGGAACTGGAGGTGAAGAGGAGATGTCAGGGCTCGAAGCGGCAGTTGGCATAGTATCCAGGTGAGCCATCAGCTGGTTAGTCTGAGTTGCCAGGGCTTGCAGCTGGGCAGACAACGACTGAACTCCAGGGCCCAGGCTGGAAATTGCCCTCTCCAACTCAGTTAGACGTCTTCCCTGCGCCCCCAGAGCATGGCAAAAATCCTCACCTGCTGGGTCCGTCATGGCCAGATTGTACTGTAAGGGGCCGAGAGTGTGTGGACCCAAAAGCAGAGGACGTGAGGCAGTTGTTCAGTTTCCAAAAAGGCACTCTTTTATTCCAACAAAAACCCGGCAGAGTCAAAATCAGAGCAGCAAATAATCAGGCGACAAAAACCAGTGGGGCAGGCAAGAATCAGAAATCCAGGGAGATCAAAACAGGTCATACACGGAGAGCAGAGATATATCAAAACGCGAGAGAGCTTGTACTAAACTGACAAAGACAATCTGGCTGGGAAGAGCTAGTGAGGAGGGGTTAAATAGAGAAAGGGACAAGACACAGGTGAAGCCAATGGAGTATTAAACTAAGGCGGGAAAAAGAACAAAGACCGGAAGAAAAAGTAACAGCAACACAGGGAAAACAGGATCTTCAAAATAAAACAGGAAGTGGATTCCACAAAGCACAGATCATGACAATGTTTGCATGAGAAAACAAAGTTTGTCTTGCCTGTACTCTTTTGTTGTACTGTTTTGTTGGGGTCCTTTGTTCTTGAAAAACTCTCCTAAAATTGCATTAAAGTCTCAACAAATTGCCTTACTTATTCTGTCACAATATATTTAGCAATGTATTGAACTGGGATGCCTATCTCTTTGCTAGAGACTTACTAACACACATCACTAATTATACCTCGAATGTTTGACTTTGGAGCAGTGGCCACCAAGAGAATGGGTCATAGAGAGATAAACTATCAGGGGATGTGGTTGCATGAAAATCTCCCAGAGTGCAGCTCAGGTGAAAAAGAAACTCGGTTCTGCAAATCTTGATCCCACCGCTGTAGACATCATGTAGTGATGTGCAGAGTGAAGGACAGCTGCCAACCCAGACCTGTGCTTCAAATAGAAACTTGCCCGTCTCTCCTGTCACTGTCAAATCTTCAAGTGTACACAGAGACAGATCACAGGCAGCTTATCCAGATCCCCACTCCTGACATCAGCTCTAAATATTGACTAACTTTGACCCTCAAATAGTAATAGACTGATCTTTACAAAGTATGAACTGGTAGTCCAGAAAAAAAGCTGACAGACCAGAGCCAGATGGGAATAATGTAGATTTATGTAATTAAAAAGGTCATCTATTCATATTACCAAAATCTGATGACAGCTTCTGGTTTTTGTCTTCAGTGCTTTATTCACTCTGTATCCACAAATTTGAAGCACTGGAGTTTTTTTCTTTGCACGCCCAGAGCTGTGCTGTGTTGGCTGAAACAAGAGGTGGCATTGCTGAAGGGTGGGCCGAATTAGAGTGGAGCCAAAGCAAGGTGAGGATGTGGGATGGGGGGAAGAGAAATAGTTGGTTACAGAAATAAGGTTATGACCAGGTCAGCACTTTTTTCTTCTGCAGGTCTAAAGGGGTGTTCAGACCAAACGCGACTTCGGCGACGTCGGGGACGGCTCCCAATGCAAAGTCTATGGACAGCCACGACCTGACGCGACTTGGCGACCGCCGGCTGCCTGCGACGCGACCTGAAGCGACTTGGCGACCTGGTCGCCAAGTCGCTCCAAGTCGCCGAGGTCGCAGGACGCCAAGTCGCGTCACTCCCAAAGTTCAAATATTTGAACTTTGACGTCAACAAACCGGCGAAACAAGGAAGAGGAGAAGAAGAATCACAATGGAGGAGCAGTTTATCACTGCCGTGAGTTATCACCTGGTCCTGTACGACGTGGGGTGCGCGTTTTACCGGGACCGCACCTCCATGGAGGAGGCATGGGCGAAGGTGGCCCATGACGTCGGGCTTTCTGGTCGTTTGTTTATTTATTTCAGTGAGCGGACTGTTTTATGAAAACATAGCTAACTGCCCCTGCTTGCTAGGCTACATGTTTCAACATGTGTGTGTGTGTGTGTGTGTGTGTGTGTGTGTGTGTGTGTGTGTGTGTGTGTGTGTGTGTGTGTGCCGCAAGCGCTGGAAGGGGCTGCGGGTTGTATATATGAGGGAGAAAAGGAGGGAGAAGGAAGGTTGGGGAAGCGGGTCAGCGGCGACCAGCTGCGTCCTGCGACCGCAGCTTTGGACCCGTTGTGAACACACCAGAGCACCACGCGACGCGACGTGACCGACCAACGCAACGCGACCTGGTCGCGTTTGCATGGGCAGCCCTCTTTTCAGGTCTCCCCTCTTCTCCAGTTTTTTAAATCAGTGTAGCAAGCTCTGAGGACTGACCTCTGAAACTCTGCAGTCCCAGGGGAGGAGAGTAACAACAATGGGACAATGCTGCAGCATGCTGGGACAACAAGGCAAAGGACCCTGTGTCCACTCAAAGCCAGCTGGTGTGTGTGTGTGTGTGTGTGTGTGTGTGTGTGTGTGTGTGTGTGTGTAGATTGAAGCACGGCAGAATGTGTTTGCCCTGGTGAAAGAGAGAGGTGAAATGTAAAGGCAAAGAGAGAAAAGTGAGCATTAAGATTGTGAAGATGTTCTTTTGATTGTGAAGCAAAGTGACTGTTATTGTCTCTTCCAGGCAAGATGACAACATCAGAGAACAGAGGGGTGTTTTTATGTGTTCAGGACAACAGAAAGTTAAAGATTTAATCTTGGATTGCTATGCGCAGAAAAATAGTTGAAATTTCAAAATTTGGACTAAGACGATGTTAAAGAAAAATCAAACAACGTGAATGAAAGTGTGCCGTAGAACTTAGGAGAGGATGAGGAAAAAGTAAGACTAAGCAAGAGTAAGAACATAAGAGAACTAGAAAATTTCAGGGAAATTTTGATATGTGCCTGCCTACTTGCCGATTCGCTGCTGCTTGCCGCTGATTTACAAACATTTAGGCCATGTTTTGGGTGAAGATAGATGAGGGCATTAATGTGTTAAGAGCTACTTCCTGTTTGGGGATGGTGGAATCATCCAAGATGGCTGCAGAGTGGGACATTCGTCAGAGTGGGGTCACGACGTGACGTGTCAAATATGGTGCTGATATGTCAAAGCGTTGATGATTTAGGGCCTTTTTCATGAATCAGGCCCAATCCCAAACTGCTCCCTACACACTCGCCCTACTCTCTCCCCCTCTGTTTGCGCATCCCTGCGGAGGCCCCGCCATATCAAAGGCCGTCTGAAACCACAGAGTGTGGAGTGCGAGTCGACCATTCAGCCCCCAAATGGCAAATCTGCACCGGTGCAGACTTAAGGCAGGATTTGCAGGTAGTGCGCCGGCAAAATAGGAGATTTTCAGTCACGTGATCCTGACTTCGCGCGAGAACCAAATGGAGGGCAGGAAGCGACCGACTGCAATGGAGCAGATGCGGGAAAGCTTGTTTTGCGCCGGTTTAGATGCATGCTGGTATTCAGCCTTAGATGGAGTTTACCACCCGCTTCGGGCTGCATTCCCAAACAACCCGACTCCGAGCAGACCGGCCTCACACCTTCCACAGGATTCAGCGCTGGGCTCTTCCCTCTTCCCTTGCCGCTACTGAGGGAATCCTGGTTAGTTTCTTTTCCTCTGCTTAGTAATATGCTTAAATTTAGCGGCTCGTCTCGTCTGATCTGAGGTCGTAGCGAAAGGACCCCCTTTTTCCCCGTCTGCCCCCTCCGGAGCTCTGGGGTGCTGCCTGTGCGTCCAGTTGCTCAGTGTTGCCCAGGCTGCCTTGGTAGCTAGGTGGACAACTGATTAGTGTTTTTTTCCTCTTGTCTCAACGTGTGGTGAAATGCTGTGGCAAGAATAGAAGAGACATGTTGAGCTGCTGTTGTCATCTCAAAAGGAAGATTTATTCTCTACATGAGAGGATATGCTGTACTTCAGGTATCAAAACAGAATATCAAACACTCGTTTTCAGTTTCAATCTTATTCTTCAAACATGGCAGTAACCAGAGCTGTAAAATTATAGACAATCCTTTTGACATTAAAATGAACATGACAAAACCTATCTGTGCGGCTGCTTCATGAAAAATGCTTAAATGAAATGAACATTTGCTATTTTAGTCTGAAAAACAACAAATTAGTTGCATTTTAGTCCCTTTAAACCTCATGAAATGTTATTGACCAAACTATTTTTATCCTGTCACTCTGTTGTTTCATCTTTTACACACACTAATTGCATTTATTTATTTATGTAATGCATTTGTCAGAAAACAATAACAACAGACTTGCAAAAAGAAGTGAATTACACCTTAAACACGTCTCTCACACACAAACTCTTGGCATAGCATCCATAGCTTAATCACAGAATCACAACATGAAAACATTACTGGTCGTGGCATTGAACCTTAAACAGATTTAATCAAATCTATTGACCAGAAACTAAACATGCATGAGGAAATATCCTTAAAGTGTCAGTGAATTAAGTTTAACAGAAAGCTCAGTAGTTTCTAAGTTTCTTACTGTTAGTTTCTCATACTCACACTACTCCACATGTCAAAATCCGCTAGCATTAGCATGGTTAGCGATCAGATTTAAAGTATGTTTACTCACTCATACTACTATACGATTTCGTTCAACCACTCGTGCAAACACACAGTATTAAGTGCTGATGTTCTAAGACGTTTGAGAGTCACTGTTTGACTTTTAGGGCTCTATTTTCATGCCTCGCCGGAGACGTGCCGCAAGCGCGGCGTAAGTCAGGTCCGCCGCGCCGACAAGGCGTGCCCAAGCACAATTTGGTATTTTGGTGAGCGGCGCAGCCTGGCATAAGTATCCCCCCTCCCTAACTCAGCTCCTCCCAGCGGCGAAAGTCGTAGGGAGGGAGGAGAGAGGGCGTGGAATGGGTTTAACACAGCCGAGACCTGTATTGACCAATAACATCAGCTCCTCTCCTAACCTTTAAATCCGCCACCGGTGAAGCGTATTACTATTTTCGTGAAGTAGTCAAAGAGATCAAGAGATGTCTGAAGACAGTAATGCCACACGATGGCGACAGAAGGCAGCTCCTCAACAAGTGTCACTGTAAGCGCTAGAGGGTGTCCTGCACACTCTCTCATATGAGCACAGATGGATTTGGTGTGTGTGATGTTGGACCCACTAGTAGGACAAATACCCTTTCCACAAATAAAGACACTCACATAAAGTTGCACATATTCAAACCACACGTGACAAAGGTGGGTTGTGTGCAGAGATCACATCATAAATTCCAAAAATGGCATTAAAATCAGAACCATCTGTGCGTAAATGACGCATCGCGCTCCGTGGCCTGGCTCTTTCTTTCATAGATGTTGGCATATAAAATAAATATGGCTCACAAAACTGAATATTACAATAATCGTATGTAGGCTTAAAGTAAATAACTCATCTGATTACTGAAACAAGTCATCTGTTCAGCTGCAGCAACATGGGGAGAGGACACCGAGACATGTCCAGGTCGAGCTGCGCGAGAAATAAAAGGAAGAGAAAGAAAGAACAGGAGAGAGACGAATTACATGTCTTGTTAACTTCATCATGTGTGTCTATTTACTAGATATTTAATTTAATGTAATGAGGTTTCAGCTGTGTTGATTTGGACAGGTTGTGTGTCCAAACGCCTGCCAAGCGTGCTAATCAGATCAGATATAGATCAGAATATATCTATATAGATCAGATTTATGTGCTGAGTCAGATTATTAGTTGTTGATGATTATTTATTGCACTGAAATGTGCCTGACACTGTGGAAACCTGCCGGTGAGGCATCGGCCTACTAAAATACCACTAGACCAGCTGCGCGCCACCAGCGCTGAAAGCTGACCAGATTTGAATCTGCGAGCTTTCAGCACACTTAATACACTGTTTGCGAGCACGAAAATACCAAACTGGCTGTACGCTGGGCTCCGCCAGACGAAGATACAACTGCGCAGGGTCCGCCACCCTCTGCCGCGTCCCCGGCGTGCACGAAAATAGAGCCCTTTAAGTACTTTTTACTCACCTGTGGCAAGAATAGAAGAGACACACGTTAGGCTGCTGTTGTCATCTCAAAAGGAAGATTTATTCTCCCTCTGTGCTTCAACGCTACTCTATGCCACCAGCACCACTGCGCCATCTAGTGGATGGATGTGAAATAGATACATTTGAAAGGGAAACTACTGTAAAATCACAATCAATCAAAATCAAGTGAAACTAGGGACAATAAATATTAATAAATGAAAATAAATTATAGGGGTCCCGGGCATTATCCGACATAGCTCCTCCAAACTGTGGAGATTAAAAAGCCATTTTTTCCGGCTTCTTTCTGTCAGCTTCTTATATCATTCATCATTCTTACATCTTAATTCATTCAGTAATAAAAAAAATTTCTAGCGAGAAAGTAAGTGTTTACATCACGATTATGAGCCCAGTTGTTTGAAATAGAGGCTGTCTGTAAATTTGTCTCTGCGTTTTCGGAGACCGAAGTGTCCGCTTGGTGGGTGTTTGCGTCTATGTACCGTAAACACCGGGCAGCAGCAGCTCCCCCTTCACGTTTCAAAATTATTGCGAAGTGTTTTCATAATCAACAACTACGCGACACAAACCGAGCGGCAGTGGATGAAAAAAACACCTGTGTATCCATGGTGATAATGCTATACACCACCTGCTGGGCGTGTGATGAGCAGCATAGGGCTGCAAAATGACCAACACACAACATAATTATTATGACCTTGTTTGGTTATTCCTTTACAAATACATCATTTCCCGACTACATTCTTCTCATGTACAATGATAATTTCAGAAAACATCAGGTAGTTCTGCCTGGTGTAGGCTGAAAACCATAAAGTGCCGCCATGCAAGAAGACAAAGGCGTCTTTTCTTCAGGGCAGCTATGTACTCCCTAATAGATTTTCAACCACAAGTAAGAATTAGTAAAGCTCCCATATACATTGTCAACTGGAAACTCCCCCGTTTGTATATTCTGAACCTTGTGCTCTCTACCAATAATAATTTTTATTAATCAGAGGTCTGTGCTTGATATGAGTGACCACTTTGATGATGCATTTAGAGATGAGAAGATGCTCAAACTTGTTGTAATAAATACATTTTTAATAGACAATAAATAAAGTCAATTCATACGAATAGTTAAAAACATTACCTACAATCCTAATTTAAAATACAAATAAATTTGGTAAAAAGATAAAAATATGATAAAATGATAAAAAATTGTGTATTGTATACTGACTAAATATTGTTTATCTATTTATATATATATCATTATTATTGCAATCACATGCCATCTATTTCTTTTCAGCCTTGGCAAAGAGGACCATATTGCCAGCTGAAGTGCGCAATGCATTGTGGGGCAGAAGCAGTACGTGAAGCAAGCTCCACTCCATACTCAGAAATCGAAGCCGATCGAGTATACATCAGGGCGGGGTTAGTATGAGTGGTAGGAGTAGTATGCCATTTTGGACACAGCCCAGTGCTGCGTCCGAATTGCCAAGTAGTAGTCAAAGTAGTAGTCGAAGCAGTATTTAGCATGTCCGAATTGGCCACCGGAGCGAGTAGCATGCTACTTCAGATACTACTTCAGATATTAGACACGCCCACATTGTAGTATGGTCACGGTGCATCCTACAGGCATGCTACTGACCCAAAATGCATCGCGGGCTTCTTCTTCGTCCCCTTAAAAGTTGTAGAAGTGCATGTGATGCTAGCGTCACCAGCTGCTGCCTATTTAGATGCGTCGCGAACGCCAGCTGGGAACAGCAGCGCGCACCATGGCGGAGCAGCAGCAGCAGCAGCAGGCAGGACCGCAGCATTACAGATGTAAGTCTCATGTAACTTAACACACTGTCCTAAAAATGTGCGGTTGTATCTCTTTGTCATGTCATGGTGTCATATTTGCCCAAGTGATCATTTTATGAACATATATGTGGTGACATCATGGAGGTAAAGCTCACTTATTCCATCAGGCAGATCTCATTGAACAAACGATCACCACGTGAGTGAATGAAGGCTAAAAGTAATGGAAAAGCTACTTTGTGAATTTCTAAAGCAGTGCAGGAATATAATACAGCAGCATCCATCACATGCACAATTACCATTCAAAGAGTCTAAAACTGTCTGCACGGGCGCAGTACCTACTCTCTGCCTGCGGGGGTCGTCTTTCCCCACCGCTCGTCTAGTGTGTCCAAATTGGGCCAACGTGTTTAGTATGTAGGAGTAGGATCTAGCAGTAGTATGTAGCAGTAGTATGTAGCATGGGCAATTCGGACGCAGCACAGGTCTCTATAGCAGCAACTCACTTCCTGCCCTCCATCTGTATTGCGCACGTGCTGCGTAATAGTGGAGTGGACAAATGCATAATATAGCCCGAATCGTTCACTTTGTTATACAAGCATGAAATTTGGTACAAATACTCTTCAAACCCCACTCTTTTCAAAAATAACGTTAGCCATGCAAAATTCCAAGATGGCGGGCCCAAAATCCAAGATGTCCGCCCCAAAAATGTGTTTTTTCCTTTATAACTCAAAATGACTTGATTTTAAGCCCCATACATATATTGAAGTTGAATATAAAGTTGGGTATTGTGGAAATTTTGGTACCTAGTACATTTCTGTATCCATTATGGTTCTTGAGATACAGCATATACACTCACCGGCCACTTTATTAGGTACACCATGCTAGTAACGGGTTGGACCCCCTTTTGCCTTCAGAACTGCCTCAATTCTTCGTGGCATAGATTCAACAAGGTGCTGGAAGCATTCCTCAGAGAGCTTGGTCCATATTGACATGATGGCATCACACAGTTGCCGCAGATTTGTCGGCTGCACATCCATGATGCGAATCTCCCGTTCCACCACATCCCAAAGATGCTCTATTGGATTGAGATCTGGTGACTGTGGAGGCCATTTGAGTACAGTGAACTCATTGTCACGTTCAAGAAACCAGTCTGAGATGATTCCAGCTTTATGACATGGCGCATTATCCTGCTGAAAGTAGCCATCAGAAGTTGGGTACATTGTGGTCATAAAGGGATGGACATGGTCAGCAACAATACTCAGGTAGGCTGTGGCGTTGCAACGATGCTCAATTGGTACCAAGGGGCCCAAAGAGTGCCAAGAAAATATTCCCCACACCATGACACCACCACCACCAGCCTGAACCGTTGATACAAGGCAGGATGGATCCATGCTTTGATGTTGTTGACGCCAAATTCTGACCCTACCATCCGAATGTCGCAGCAGAAATCGAGACTCATCAGACCAGGCAACGTTTTTCCAATCTTCTATTGTCCAATTTCGATGAGCTTGTGCAAATTGTAGCCTCAGTTTCCTGTTCTTAGCTGAAAGGAGTGGCACCCAGGCGTGGTCTTCTGCTGCTGTAGCCCATCTGCCTCAAAGTTCGACGTACTGTGCGTTCAAAGATGCTCTTCTGCCTACCTTGGTTGTAACGGGTGGTTATTTGAGTCACTGTTGCCTTTCTATCAGCTCGAACCAGTCTGGCCATTCTCCTCTGACCTCTGGCATCAACAAGGCATTTCCGCCCACAGAACTGCCGCTCACTGGATATTTTTTCTTTTTCGGACCATTCTCTGTAAACCCTAGAGATGGTTGTGCGTGAAAATCCCAGTAGATCAGCAGTTTCTGAAATACTCAGACCAGCCCTTCTGGCACCAACAACCATGCCACGTTCAAAGTCACTCAAATCACCTTTCTTCCCCATACTGATGCTCGGTTTGAACTGCAGGAGATTGTCTTGACCATGTCTACATGCCTAAATGCACTAAGTTGCCGCCATGTGATTGGCTGATTAGAAATTAAGTGTTAACGAGCAGTTGGACAGGTGTACCTAATAAAGTGGCCGGTGAGTGTAGATACTTGTACAGAATTGGGAGAGTGAGAAATTTGTATCACCGATTGTTGTTACGTGCATATGGTTTTATGAAAATATCATTTCCATTATCTGTTATTTTCATGAGGGTTATAACATTAAATTTGAGAAACAAGATGGTGTCCAAGATGTCTGCCATTGCCTTGAAGTAATTCGATCTTAGTGACTATGAAACATTAACTTTTGGCATGCACATATTTTTGGTCTATGCATCCAATGGGGCCATTGCAGTACAGAATTTAGATGTTTATACAGTACAAGCTTGCAGATGTAATAGAGTGAATATTGGCACACAACCAGGGCACACTGGTGCTATCACTGCTGTGTAACTCAGCATGACCTCGAGGAGTTCTTTCAGCATGAGAACCAGTCCTTCCCTGTTGCATTGAGCAAGGGTGGAAAATTGTGCACTTGTCAGAAGTCTCAGCTGACCCCTATCCTTGAGAATTATGTCCCACCAGTTGACAAGGAACCTGAGGCAGACATTCTCATTGTAGATGGGTCAGCTTTGGACCACGCCCTGCCACCAAAAAGATCCAAGACTTTTGAGGACTATGCAGCTCTCGACTTCCTACCTGTGATCTACATGTACTCCAGCAAGTACACAATGACACATCTGGTGTTTGATGTGTAAAACCCATCAAGCCTTAAAGCTGAGACCAGGTCCAAACGTGGCCAGGGGGGAAGACGCAAGGTAACAAATAAGAACACCATGCTATCTAACTGGCATAACTTCCTGAGGCACAATGAAAACAAAACAGAGTTGTCCCACCCTTGCCGACAAGGTTGCACAAATGTTTGCCCTAAATACCATCATCGTCACAAAGGGACCTGCTGTCCTCAGCACTCGTGCAACTGGTCTTGAGGGACGGGATAAATGCTCTCACGAGGAAGCAGACAGCCGCATCTTTGTGCACACCAAACATGCAACTGGTAGTCAATCCATCATGATCAAGGCAAATGACACAGATGTTCTGATCTTAGCTATAAGTGTATTCAGCGGTCTCCAAGAGGCTGGCCTACAGCATATGTGGCTTGCATTTGGGCAAGGTCAGACTCTGCGCTGGATCAGTGTGCATGACATATTTCAGCATGTTGGCCAGGAGAAGGTCAAAGGCATGCTCTTCTTCCATGCCTTTACAGGATGTGACACTGTGTCTGCCTTCCGCAACAAAGGCAAGAAAATGGCTTGGCATACATGGGACATATCTCCAGAATCCTTGCCTGTATTCCCCAAGGGTATTTACCCTCCCACAGTGGAGGACTGCGACATAGAGGTGCTTGAGAAGTTTGTCATTCTCATGTATGCCAGATCCAGCACAGCTGCTACTGTGGATGAGGCCAGGCTTGACTTGTTTGCCAGAAACCAGAGCAGCTCTACTCCAACACACCAGGCGTGCTGCCTATCAGGCTGGTTGTGTGTGGGCCCAGGCAACCCAGTGTCAGCCAGAAGCAGAGGACCCTGCAGACTGGGGATGTCAAAAGGTTGGTGAGGAATGGCAGGTCTTCTGGACAGCCAACTCTGCAATAGCCAAGACATGCGAACAGCTCACCAAATGTGGCTGTAAATCTGGCTGTTGTGGCAGGTGCAAGTGCTACAAATTGGGTCTCATGTGTACAGCTCTGTGCAGTTGCAACTGTGAGGTGTAACTCACAGTAAGTATGCTGTATCTTACAAACTGTAATAGATGCACATGGTACTAAAACGCCCCCCCCCCCCCCCCCCCACCTCCCATACCCAATAGTAACAGAATCCATTGAAAAATCTCTTCAGTCACTTATTTTGGGTTTCAAACTGAGGTGTTGAATTTTGGATTCTGGGCAAACAAACCACTATCGTTTGCGGTGGTTTTTTAAAACCTTATGGGGCGTTCACACCAAACGCGACTTCGGCGACGTCGGCTCCCAATGCAAAGTCTATGGACAGCCACGACATGACGCGACTTGGCGACCGCCGGCTGCCTGCGACGCGACCTGACGCGACTTGGCGACCGGTCGCAGGACGCCAAGTCGCGCCGCTCCCAAAGTTGAACTTTGGGAGCGACTATCCGCGACTCCGTGCCGCGACAGCCAATCAGGGCTCTGCAGACGTCAACAAACCGGCGAAACAAGGAGGAGGAGAAGAAGAATCACAATAGAGGAGCAGTTTATCACTGCCGTGAGTTATCACCCGGTCCTGTACGACGTGGGGTGCGCGTTTTATCGGGACCGCACCTCCAAGGAGGAGGCATGGCGAAGGTGGCCCATGATGTCAGGCTTTCTGGTCGTTTGTTTATTTATTTCAGTGAGCAGACTATTTTCTGAACACATAGCAAACTTCCCCTGCTTGCTAGGCTACATGTTTCAATGTGTGTGTGTGTTTGTGTGTGCCGCGAGGCTGGAAGGGGCTGCAGGATGTATATATGAGGGAGAAAAGGAGGGAGAAGGAAGGTGGGAGAAGCGGGTCAGCGGCGACCAGCCGCGTCCTGCGACCGCAGCTTTGGACCCGTTGTGAACACACCAGAGCACCACGCGACGCAACGTGACCGACCAACGCGACGCGACCTGGTCGCATTTGGTCTGTACACCCCTTTATACACATACCTAACAGCATAACAAAAATCAAAAAATTGTCACAAAATGCCTAATTTTTAACCTTTTATGACAAGTTTCATTCTTCTGAATTCATGATTCATCTCTGCTGAATTCATGATTACTTCAAGGCAATGGCAGCCATCTTGGACACCATCTTGGTTTTTCGAATTTAATGTTATAACCCTAATGAAAATAACAGATAATGGAAATGATATTTTCATATAACTATATGCACGTAACAACAATCGGTGTTACAAATGTCTCACTCTCCCAATTCTGTACAAGTATCTATATGCTGTATCTCAAGAACCGTAATGGATACAGAAATGTACTAGGTACCAAAATGTCCGCAATACCGAACTTTATATTCAACTTCAATATATGTATGGGGCTTAAAATCAAGTCATTTTGAGTTATAAAGGAAAAAACACATTTTGGGGCGGACATCTTGGATTTTGGGGCCGCCATCTTGGAATTTTGCGTGGCTAACGTTATTTTTGAAAAGAGTGGGTTTTGAAGAGTATATGTACCAAATTTCATGCTTGTATAACAAAGTGAACGATTATTTCCTTATCTGCTCAGCTATAACACGGAAGTGACATCAAGTGAAAACCTCCTATTGGAGGAGGAAACAACATACAAATAAAAGTTCTGTATGTGTCCACCTTTGTCTCACTGACAAAAATAAATCACAAAGACGAGGTTTGGAAAGATCAAACGGAAGTCAGAAATCTTACTCTGTGCTGAGGTTTGATTTGATTGTGCAGAAACGTGTCAAATAGTAAAGGAGTTCAAAGACGTGTGAAATCACTAACAGAAGTATAATTTAGCTCCTGTCACTGTAATGTTTGCTGGGTTTATTATTTTACTGGGACAATGAAAAAACGAGGCAGCCGGTGCAGCTCAGAACTGTACATGACGCCCTTTACTTTAGAAAGAAATGCTGCCATGAACAGGACGCGTCTTTATACCGCTATGGCGATGGATCTTTCCGTTTTCCAGTGGAGTGAGGAGAGCGTCCCATACCCACCCATCTTGTATATACCCTCCCATTTCAATTTAGGCGCACTCTGGTCGTTTGTTTATTTATTTCAGTGAGCAGACTATTTTCTGAACACATAGCAAACTATGTGTTCCCAAAAGTGGGCGAGTGTGTAGGGGGCAGTTTGGGATTGGGCCTCAGCGTTCGGCTGTGTGAAGCACTGTGGCGCTGCGGGGATGAATGAGAAAGAAGTCATGTCTGTTACCTGTGATAAGTAGCTGGTTCTGAACAAAAGATGAACATGTTCTAGCGCATGTTTAGTCAATTAAATTTACACACAGCAGTACATATTTCACCACTTTATATATATATATATATATATATATATATATATATATATTATTTTAGGGGAAGCTGAGCTTCCCTTGCAGTCAGCAATTGCAACCGATGTGAAAGAACTTCATCATGATTAATAATGGATGCTGTATACTTACATACGGATTACTCAATGACATTAAAAACACCTAATAGTTAAAACTACTAAATAAATAATTAAAATATAAACCAAACATTTCTAAACTGTTTCTGTTCCTTAAAGTAAAATTACAACTCATACTCAACAAATTTAACACTTTAAAGTTCATGAAACAGTCTGAAAAGCTGTTGGTCTAAAGAAACTAAAGAATAAAGGATTTATTCTGCCAGAGTGATATCTTGGCTTCTGGAGCAAAGAAAAACGGGACACAGATTAATACATTGCTGAATGCATCAGATGTCATGATCAGTCATTAGTATTCTTTCTCCAAAAGATCAGTAGTATATGGTTGAGCAGGGTTTTATGACAAAGGGCCTGAGGTCTGCTTCCTGCTCCTTAGCCCTTTACTTGGACTCTGGGTGTTCACACACTTTAAGACAGTAAACCGGGTGAGGCCTGAATGATTATTTAAATGGTCAGTGACGGAGTCGGTTTGATAGGTAAAAGGAACTCTGTTAGGTAGCATGAATGTACAAACAAGTCTGAAAAGATTTATATTATCCAGTGTCCTGGGACCAGATAAGGAACCCTTCCTGTGAGGAATGTGTGAGTTTCACACACAGGGTTGTCTTGATGCTGCGCTACTTTTTCACTTATCAAATCAAATATTCTCTCACCACTTGTGGGAAGTCCACTGCACACACACACACACAGACATGCATGCACAGGATGGGTGATTGTCTCCCTGTTCTCAAGGTTACATCGCAGTTCTTCGGTCACTCACAACAGATTTGCATCAAACCAATAGCCAACAGCTGCCAATTAAGAAACAGCCCCTCAGTTAACACACACGTCATTGACAATTACAATATTGGCTGATCTCTCTCTCACATACAACACACACACACACACACACACACACACACACACACACACACACACACACACACACACACACACACACACACACACAAAGAAGAAGAAAAAGAGGAGGTGGGTGGAGTTTTCCTTTCTTTTTTTTAAAGCAAATAATTGCAAATGTTTGAAAAAGGAGGGTGGGGGGTGGGGTGGGGGGAGTCAGACGAGGGGGAACTGTGCAGAAACAAGAGGTGATGTTCTGTGCCAGGAAGAAGGCTTTCAAGATTAGTTCTGTCACGTAGCCATACAAATGTAGAAATAGTGGTTTGCTAGATGCAGTCTGACAACCAGAGGAAATGCACAAAATGCAGAATAGCACACTAATAAGCAAAAAGAACAGAGCAATGTACAAATGCAAAGGTAGGTAAAAATAAGCACTATTACTATAGATGGAAGCATTTATATTGAACACTGTGCGCAGATATTTACACATCAACAGTTAAAGTCAAAAGTTACGAGTTAAGGTTGTACTTTTCTTCTTTTTGTTGAATTGGCAACAAAGGAGAAATACATGCAAGGGGCATTACTGCAGCATGACTCTGCAGGTACACATACATGCAGGCACAAATACCATCTTATCACCAACACACATACACACACAACTGTGCCCTCTAACACATGCACGACCTGCACAATGATTATTCTCTTTACGCCGCAGCATACGATTGAACTATTCATTATTGTCAGCCATGAAAACAGCACAGTGCAGACATGGTAATGAAAATTTATTAAAGTACACAGCCACTAGATGGCACCCTCTTCCTTTTCATTTTCAATTTAGTTTCTCATTCTTCACCTGGTCAGCTGACTCCCTCTGTGGCATTAAAACCCAGTAGATGCGCTTCATATTTTAAGCTAAGATATATGTCTTTTGTTCTGGTGTATCATATTAATTTGGAGCAGAAACAGATGGATCCACAGTTTTATACAAATTACAAACCTGACTGTGTGCTCTGAATTGCACTGACTTCAACCTTGGGGGTAATCGATAGCTGCCATGTCGCCATAAAGATCTCTGCCACCTTCCTCTGATGTGTTTTTCATACATAACTCTTTGTCTTGCTCTTGTAGGAATGTACTCTTGTGGGCTTCTATCAGCAAGAGTATATCAATCAGCCAATCAATCAGTAGCACTCAGCTTGTGGGAGGTTGGCTTTATCCTGCAGGCCTTGAGGCATACAGTCAATACAGTGACCTTCAAGGAAATAAAAGATTTGCAAAATATAATCAGGCACAGTGGGCATGGAAAAGCCAAGAATGACATTGCTGGCAAGATGGGCTGACATTCTCAGGGGTAATGAAAGGAAAGTGGTTTTATTTGTCTGAACACTGCCAATGACAGGCATTTTATCATTCAAAAAGGTTAAGAGAAAAGATGTGAGCTGGAAGCACATGATTGAATACAGAGTCAAAGACAAAAATTTAATATGAACATTTTTGGTGAACACTACAACTCCAGTGAACTAACTCTGATGATTAATAGATTTCATACTTCTTTAAAGTGAGACTTCAGGGAGTTGCATTAACGATCACTTTTGAATCTGGTACAGCAACAATCAAATATTATGTCATCAAGAATTGGCTGCTATACTGTGATGAAATGAAGATTGCTCACTGTTCAAACAGACTTGTTGAGAGGTGTCTGCAGAGGAAATTGAGACAGGGACTCAGTGCCAGTGACCATCATTTCTTCTTGCCAGCGCTCTCGGCTGGTTTGTTTGGCTGCTGAGTGACAGCAGAGGCTGGGGTTGTTTTTTCCAGAACTGCCTGCTGGGCCTCCTCCACAGCTTGTTTCTCCTCTTTTTCCTTCTTCACGGCCGCCATCTGATGGCTCCGGTATGCATCGCAGGCACTAAGAAATTTCTCTCTGCACTGCCACAAGGCTGCCTGGGGACAACACCAAAAGAACAGAAAGACATGTTAGAGAATGATGATGCCTGTCCAGAGGGAAAAGCGGTTGACAACAAATCCTCCCCATTTTTTTAATTCAAAATGATAACTATCCATTCTTTTGGGTGTCATACAGCTCTCCTTTTGTCTTTACAAACCTGCATGTCCTCGTACATCACCAGCTGGTGTCTCATTAGCTCCTTCATCTTGAGCTCTTTCTGTCTCCGGTGCTCCAGCACATTGTCTTGGACCAAACGATAAGTCTGGATCATTTCAAAGCGCTTCTTCTGCTGCATCTCTTCAATCTGAGGGTCCATCAGCACCGGGACATCTTTTTGTTGTCTGTAAATATGAACAAACACTTGAGTCTTACAATGGTCGTAAATGAGCTGAGGCCTTTAATACATTTTCACGACTGTCTCTGACAGTCTCTGTCTCTGTTGATGCTGCATTTTTTTCATTCACCGTGAAGCTCAAAATACTGTATTGTTTTGCAAATGTACTCTTTTAAACAAAATATTTGCCTTGGTACTTGCATGCAGTATGTGAGGATCAGATATCAAAGTAGCTTTCAACTGAGCATTGTTATAAAATTCTTACACTGGCAATTGTGTGGGGTTGTACAAGTGACATTGTTAACACAGATAGTAAGTTATTTCTGCACCCAGAAGAAAACGCATAATAAAAGCACACAGTTGCATCATGTAAATGGAGATAACTGACATAGATCGTATTGACACGTAGGGAGTGAAAGAAGTCATTGCACATAGTGTGGTTGGATGAAAGGATTAGGAAGTTATTAAGGGTTATAAAAACAGGATATGACGTCATATTTTCTATGATTGACTCTAGGATACAGTCAATTGACACTTGGATACAGCCAATGGGTGTCAGGAGATTGCGTTGATAATTGGGGGGGTACACTGTTTAAGCAGAGAGTCATCACTGTGTCTCTCCAGCTGAGCACTCCTGCGCAAATGCTAGTTTCAAGAAACTGAGAAAATTCCCAGAAATAATTCTGACTTTGGATTCACACAATGACGGAAGGCGGACCTACGTTGTCCATACGATATACAGTCTGTGGTGAAAACACAGACACATGAGAGAAAAGACGGGTGGTCAGTAATTGTGTGCTTCAGAAAAATAAATGACAAGGTCATATCCCTCTGTGGCCCAGACACACAGAGAACATCCAAGAAGGTTTCAAAGCACTAAATACGGCTGCCTATTTCTTATAAGATGACCTTAATGAGCCAGTGGAGGTGGTGATAGAGTTCGTTTGGTTAATGAACATTGCCCTGCTTTATCCTCTGTCACTGCAGATGTAAGCATGTGTGAAAATGCTATGAATTTGCTATGCATGAATGTGGGTGCGCATGCGTGAGTGTGAATCTATGATAAACCAGTGGTTAGCAGTTGTGAGAAAAAGGTGTAAAGAACACTAAACAGACTTCACTAATAGACTTCTCCTCAGGATCCTTCCCTCTCCTTGGATCACAGGCTACAGTGTCAGCCACCATTAGAAGCTGGACACGGACTTATTCACACACACACACACACACACACACACATGCACGCACGCACACACATTTGAATTCCTTTATTTATGTCCGAAAAAAAAAAACATATTACATGGACATAGATACAAACAGTGCAATTAGTTCAGTGACATACGTGACTGGGTAGTGATCAGTGTACAAAACTTGTCACATGTGTTGCTTTTACAGGAGCAAGTTATATCTACCTCATGGGTACAAAATGCAGCGCCTTCTCCATATTGAGCGGCTACCGATAATAGCAGATATAGAGCAATACCTCGCTAACTGCTTAGCTTTTCTTTTAGAGAGACCAGCTATGTGAAGACCTCTAACTACAAGCTTGAACATGGCCTAGGCTGCCAAATATGAACACACGAAGCTCACATTTGTAGCCCAGCTGCGAGATAATCTGCTTGAGCTGCTGATATTTCAGCAACTTGGATACAAAGGCCTCCTCTAGGCTATGGTCAAAGGTACAGCCAACCTCCAAAATGAGCACCTCCTTACTGCTCTCATCCATCACCACAACATCTGGAGTGTTTGCAGAGGTGTTAGAAAACACAGGTGAATCATTTTCACACAGATCAAAAATGTTAGGCTTTACAGTAGAGTGCTTGTAAAGTGATGCAGAAGACCCAAAAGTAGAGCTGACATCTTTTGATAGCAACACACACACACACACACACACACACACGCACACACACACACACACACACACACACACACACACACACACACACACACACACGATCACACAAATGCAGCAGGAGAGGCTGGAGAGGCAATGGGAGAGGGGGCAAATCTCACTGGAGCTTCAAGTTCATTGGGGCCCTGAAATAGCTCTCTAATTAACAGTCCCAAATACCATCTCATTTATCATGGAGAGGTATAGACAGGGAGAAAGATGAAGGGAGGTAATGAGAGGACATAGCATGGGAGAGAAACAAGAGCCTCAGAGAAGGGCCTTTAAAGGGAAGACCCTCCTATAACCTCTGACTATTATAAGACCAAACTCCAACTTAGAAGTGGACCATAGCAAGAGACTAATACTGGGTACTAGAAACCTTGGATGATATTCACCAGCGTTGCTGATAAAAAAAAAAAAAATTCCATGTACAGTCCCTGACAAAAGTCTTGTCGCTTGGGTACAAGTTGACCTTAAGTGCCCCTCAAATATATGTGCAATAATTTTTTTTTTTACAAGAAATGTCTAATTTCAATCCCAACAGTGTTTGAAATAATGTCTTGGTGCCAAATGAAACTGCTGAAAAGCATTCTAATGTTCACAGCTTGGTAAAGCCCACTAAGTCAGTTTTTGCACAGACAAAAGTCTTGTCGCCTTGTCATATGATGCACCCAATCCAAGATTACAGCCTCACCTGTGATCAATTATTGACAAATCAATTAGTGGGTGTATAGAAAGAACCACAGCACACCAGACCTTCACATCAACTGCAACTTAACCTCTGACAACATGCCTAAGATTCACCCTGAGACCAAAGCTTTGATCATCAAGAGGCTGAAGACCAGATCCACTGCTGAGGTGGCTGACACCTTCAATGTGTCTCAGCGTCAAGTACAAAGGATAAGAAAAAGATTTGAAGAGACTGGAGATGTTTATGACAAGCCCAGGCCCAGCAGACCCCGAAAGACAACTGCTCGGGAGGACCATTTGTTGGCTTGAAAATCCAAGGCCAGTCCCTTTTCCACTGCAGCAGAGCTCCACCAGGTCTGGTCACCTCAAGTCCCTGTGTCAACCAGAACAATTTGTCGAATTCTGTCTCGACATGGCCTCCATGGTCGAATCAGTGCCCAGAAACCAGCACTAAACAAAAAGAAATTAAAAAAACTTGTGGCATTTGCCAAGACCCACAGCCTGCTAAAAGGATGCACTCTGGAAAAGTGGCAGAAGGTGGATTTTTCTGATGAATCTTCGGTTGAATTACATCACAACCGCTGCAAATATTGCAGGAGACCTACTGGAGTCTGCATGGATCCGAGATTCACCCAGAAAACAATTAAGTTTGGTGGTGGAAAAATCATGGTCTGGGGTTGCATCCAGCATGGAGGTGTGCGAAAGATTTGCAGGGTGAAAGGCAATATCAATAGCCTAAAATATCAAGAAGTATTAGCTACCTCTTACATTCCCAACCATAAAAGGGGTCAAATTTTGCAGCAGGATGGTGCTCCATCGCATACTCAGATCTCTACAGCAAAGTTCCTCAAGGCGGAGAAAATCAAGGTGCTCCAGGACTGGCCAACCCAGTCACCAGACATGAACATCATCAAGCATGTCTGGGGTAAAATGAAAGAGGAAGCATGGAAGACGAAACCAAAGAATCTTGATGAACTCTGGGAGGCATGTAACACTGCGTTCTTTGCTATTTCTGATGACTTCATCAATAAATTGTATGAATCGTTGCTGAACTGCATGGATGCAGTTCTTCAGGCTCATGGAAGTCATACAAGATATTAAATATGGATCTCACAGCACCACTACTTGATTCACTGATGTTGTGCAACATATTTTGTATTTGAAGTAAATTATTTGTTCAATTTTCACATTACTCTATGTAGGCGACAAAACTTTTGTCTTGCCGAAATCTGACCTTTCTGTGTTCATTAAATGATCAATCTTTCTTCGGTGAAGGAAATTTATTTTAGATTTTAAACATAATTTGGGAGGGTTTTAGCTTTCATATGAGCCATTTCTAAAACCAATGGATTAATGACAAGTCAGGTTATAAGCTGTTGTTTCTACAAAATGGAAAAGTGACAAGACTTTTGTCAGGCACTGTATCTTCGCATATTTGTGTCACTCATCTATCTACCTACAAAACCCAATTCCATTGAAGTTGGGAAACTATGATAAACGTAAATAAAAACAGAATACAATGATTTGCAAATCCTTTTCAACCTATATTCAATTGAATACACTTCAAAGATATTTAATGTTCAAACTCATAAAGTTTTTTTTTTTTTTGCAAATAATAATTAACTGTCTGAGACAGTCCATGCCACCATGAGGTAATCCACACACACACTCAAAATGATGTTCAGTGTCATCATACATTCACCGATAGGGTTCCTGCTACAAGCAACATTTCTGCAACATCTGGCCAAACTCATCCCCCTCCACTCATGGGGCATGGTCTGTCGATCCTACTCCCAGCTGCTCCTCCTGTTAATCACATCCCAGTCAAACAATCTATAAAGCATCTCGCTCAGTAAATTACGATAATCTTATTACCATTACTGACACTACAATTCCATCTTTGCCTCCCATCTCCTTTAAATTTGGTTTGCTGAATGTGAGATCTTTCTCAAACAAATCATTTATCTGTCCAAATTTTATTTTATCACAAAAACCTTACCTGCTTCTTCATCACTAAGTCATGGCTTACCCCTGATGACCTCTCCCATTTAATTGAAACCACTCCTCCAGGCTACTTTCACTTTCATCAACCCAGGTTACATGCACGAGGTGGTGGGATCGCTGTCATCTGCAAAAATGCCCTCAAGTACTCCTCTATTTCTATAGGCCCCTTTTTATCTTTTGAATCTTTGGCTTTTGTGATAGATGGCAGCTCACCGGTCTTCTGCCTGCTATTATACAGACCACCCAAACCAAACATTGATTTTATCAGTGAGTTTTCTGATCTCCTTTCCCACATTGCCCCAAAGTATGACAATATTCTTATTCTTGGAGATTTGGACATCCTTATTTTCGCACACGAAAACAGAGCCCAAAGTCATTAACATCAGAGCGAGTATTAATCCATCTGTAAACAGCCCATCCATCACCTCTGAAAATACTGCAGTTGTCAATTCTTTTAACTCCATCACTTTAACAGAACCTCATCATATTGGGCTCCATTTTCGTGTACGCCGGTGAGGCAGCGGAGGGTGGCGGACCCCGCGCAGTTGTATTTTCGTCTGGCGGAGCCCGGCGTACAGCCAGTTTGGTATTTTCGTGGACTGAGGCGCGTGGACTAACTCAGCTCCTCCCAGTGGCGTAAGTCGTAGCGAGGGATGAGAGAGGGCGTGGAGGGGGTTTAACACAGCCAAGACCTGTTTTCACCAATCACAAAAGCTCCTCTCCTTGCCTTTAAATCCGCCACCAGTGAGGCGTATTACTATTTTCGTGAAGTAGTCAAAAAGATCAAGAGATGTCTGAAGACAGTCATGCCACACGATGGCGACAGAAGGCAGCTCCTCAACAAGTGTCACTGTAAGCGCTGCATTGGGCGTCCTTCACACTGTCTCATATAAGCACAGATGGATTTGGTGTGTGTAATGTTGGACCCACTGGTAAGAAAAACACCCTTTTCCACAAATAAAGACACTCACATAACGTTGCATATATTCAAACCTCATGTGACAAAGGTGGGTTGTGCGCACAGATCACAACATAAACTCCATAAATGGCATTAAAATCAGAACCACCTGTGCGTAAATGACGCATCGCACTCCGTGGCCTGGCTCTTTCTTTCATAGATGTTGGCATATAAAATAAATTTGGCTCAAAAAACTGTATATTATTATATCCGTATGTAGGCTTAAAGTAAGTAACTCATCTGATCACTGAAACAAATCATCTGTTCAGCCACTGCAGCAGCAGCTGCAGCAGGATGGAGAGAGGACAGGGAGACATGTCCAGGTCGAGCTGCGCGTGAAATAAGAGGAAGAAGAAGAAATAAAAGGAGGGAGACAAATTAAATATCTTGTTAACTTCATCATGTGTGTCTATTTACTAGATATTTAATTCAATTTAATGCGGTTTCAGCTGTGTTGATTCCGTCAGGTTGTGTGTCCAAACGCGTGCCAAATGCGCTCATCATATCAGATATAGATCAGAATATATATCTATATAGATCTAAATGTATGTGCTGACTCAGATTATTAGTTGTTGATGATTATTTATTGCAATGAAATGTGCCTGACACTGTGGAAACCTGCCGGTGAGGCATCGGTGATATATGCTGATACGCCGCCGGTCTACCAAAATACCTCTAGACCAGCTGCGCTCCGCCTGCGCTGAAAGCTGACCAGGTTTGAATCGGCGAGCTTTCAGCGCACTTTACACGCCACTGGCGAGCACGAAAATGTCACTGCGCCCACTGATTCTGTCGACACCTCCCCCTGCCACGCCACCACACCCAGCTTGGTGGATCTCGGTTCGCCTCCATGTGCCTCAGTCCACGAAAATACCAAACTAGCTGTACGCCGGGCTCCGCCAGACGAAAATACAACTGCGCGGGGTCCGCCACCCTCCGCTGCCTCACTGGGTACACGAAAATAGAGCCCATTTTATTTTGGTATCACTCAGTCTTGTGATGCAGCAGCCAGAGATTTAACCAGAACTAAGAAGAGGGAACACATTACTCCCATGCTTGCCTCCCTTCACTGGCTGCCTGTTAGCTACAGGATTGAGTTTAAAACCCTGATGTTTCTCCCCCACCATTGAGACTTTTAATACTCAACTTAAAACCCACTTTTACTCCCTAGCTTTTAACTGTCCCTAACTTTTATAGCTCAGCCATTTCCCATGTAGGCTCTGTGAGCTCTGTAGGTTGGTAGATCTGTATTGTCTTTATCATTGTTATTATTTTTGCTGCTGCTTTTGTTATTATTATTACTGTTATTTATTATAACTATGATGATGATAGTGATGGTATTGAAAATATATTTCTATTGCTATCTTTATTATTATAACAACTGTCACTCAGTCTGCTCTTCTTCTTCATCGTCTGTTTGTTCTCTTCTTTTGTTTTGTTTTTTCCTCTGTGTTGTTGTAAAGCACTTTGGATCAACTCTGTTGTGTGTAAAGTGCTATATAAATAAAGTTGAGTTGAGTTGAGTTAACTCAGAATTTCATGGCTGCAACACATGCCAAAATAGTTGGGACAGGGGCATGTTTACCACTGTGTTACATCACCTTTCCTTTTAACAACACTCAATAAATGTTTGGGAACTGAGGAGACTAATTGTTGAAGCTTTAAAGATGCAATTCTTTCCCATTCTTGCTTGATGTACAGCTTAAGTTCTCCAACAGTTCGGGGTCTCCATTGTTGTATTTTACGCTTCATAATGTGCCACACATTTTCAATGGGAGAAAGGTCTGGACTGCAGGGAGGTCAGTCGAGTACCCGCACTCTTTTACTACGAAGCCACGCTGTTGTAACACGTGCAGAATGTGGCTTGGCATTGTCTTGCTGAAATAATAATAATAATAGAGGCGTCCATGAAAAAGACGTTGCTTGGATGGCAGCATATGTTGCTCCAAAACCTGTACCTTTCAGCATTAATGTTGCCTTCACAGATGTGTAAGTTACCCATGCCTTGGGCACTAATGCACCCCTATACCATCACAGATGCTGGCTTTTGAACTTTGTGTCGGTAACAGTCTAGATATTTCTTTTCCTCTTTGGCCCAGGGGACACGATGTCCACTATTTCCAAAAACAATTTGAAACGTTGACTCGTCAGACCACAGAACACTTTTCCACTTTGCATCAGTCCATCTTAGATGAGCTTGGGCCCAGAGAAGCCGGGGGTGTTTCTGGATGTTGTTGATAAATGGCTGTTGCTTTGCATAGTAGAGTTTTAACTTGCACTTACAGATGTAGCGACGAACTGTATTAACTGACACTTAATTTTTTAAGTGTTCCTGAGCCCATGTGGTGATATCCTTTATACATTGGTGTCGGTTTTTGATACAGTGCCACCTGAGGGATCGATGAGGGGTCATGGGCATTCAATGTTGGTTTCCGGCCGTGCCACTTACTTGCAGTGATTTCTCCAGATTCTCTGAACCTTTTGATGGTATTATGGACCGTAGATGTTGAAATCCCTAAATTCCAATTGTACTTTGAGAAACGTTGTTCTTAAACTGTTCGACTATTTACTCACACAGTTGTTCACAAAGTGCTGCACCTCGCCCCATCCTTTCTTGTGAATGACTTTTGGGGGAAGCTGCTTTTATACCCAATCATGGCACCCACCTGTTCCCAATTAGCCTGCTCACCTGTGGGATGTTCCAAATAGGTGTTTGATGAGCATTCCTCAAATTTCTCAATATTATATTCAATTGAATATAGGTTGAAAAGGATTGCAAATCATTGTTTTTATTTACATTTATCACAATTTCCGAACTTCAATGGAATTGGATTTTGTAGTTATTACCACTGATTCACTTTTTATTTGCTTCCAGTACTTCCTCTTTTATGATTTTATTCAGCCCTATTTTAGTTGTTGCTTTTCTTGGTATGTCGTGCTATTTTGTCTTCCTGTTTTATTCATGTTTTTGAGGCACTCAGTAACATCTGTTTTTATAGGTCGAGTATAAATAATTACTGTTATTATTAGCATGCTGTGTGATGTCATATCGTATCTGGTCATTGTATTTTTATTTCCTTGAGGGAACCTTCCCAAAAGGATACATAACGTTGCACCTCATCTAATCTTCTTTAATCTAATCTGCTATATGTTCTTATCAGCTGACCTTTTGCGTAGTATTGAGTCATGGTGCATCATATCCAAATCGAAATTAAAGTAAAATCAATTTACAGTTTTGATTTCATGAGGTGTTTTAGAATCATTCTAGCTGTGATGATGAAAGAGGTAGCAGCTCTGATACATGCTGTATAAAGTCTTTAAAGTATGACCAAGCATACTGTCTGTCTCTGATGTAATGTCTGCACAATGCACTGTACATAAAACAGTCATCTCAAGTCCATGTGTTGTCCTTTTAGGTCAGTAAAGAATGATGTTTTGTTACGCTTCATCTTATAATACCAAGGGGAGAAAAGGTCAGGGGGACATAAAAACAACTGCAATGTTGAGCACACGCTATATAAACAAGGTGAAAAAAGAACCCACGAAGCAACACATGCACTTTCATACACTCAAAAATCAAGGAGCGTGATGCGTCTTTTACGCACAGGTGGTTCAGATTTTAATGCCATTAATGGCATTTGTTTATGTTGTGATCTGTGTGCACAACCCACCTTTGTCACGTGGGGTTTAAATATATGCAACTTTATGTGGTGGTCTGTATTTGTGGAAAAGGGTGTTTGTCTTACCAGTGGGTCCAACCTTACACACACCAAATCCCTCTGTGCTTATTTGAGAGAGTGTGGAGGACGCCCTCCGCAACACTCACAGTGACACTTGTTGAGGGGCTGCCTTCTGTCGCCATTGTGTGGCATTGCTGTCTTCAGCCATCTCTTAATCTCTTTGACTACTTCACGAAAATTGTAATACGCCTCACTGGTGGCGGATTTAAAAGTGACGAGAGGAGCTGATGTGATTGGTGAAAACAGGACTCGGCTGTTTTAAACCCACCTCACGCCTTTTGCCCTCCCTCTTTCCAACATACGCTGCCAGGAGGAGCCAAGTTAGGTAGGAGGGATACTTACGCCGGGCTGCACCGCTCACCAAAATACCAAAGTCCGCTTGGGCACGCCTCATCAGCGCGGCAGACCTGACTTACGCCGCGCCTTTGCCACGCCGCTGGCCAGGCACGAAAATAGAGCCCATTGAGTGCCTTATGGTTAGTTAGAAATCAAATTGTCATAAAAACAGAAAAACATGAAGGGTGAGGCACCTTATGAAAGGAGTGAAGTCCATGGGAGCAGGGGGGCAGACCATATTAGGCGGGTTTTGAGAAGATGGACTGTGAGAGGTGGCTGGGAAAAGAGGAAATTTAGAAAAGGTCCCATTATTTACAGCGACATCTAATGGAAAAAGATCAAATATATATGTACTTAAATCAAGAATATTTTACCAAGATCAGCGATGTCTGCATCATTGCTGTGGGTTTCATTACTTGCTTGCTGTTGGTTAAGAAACTTGAGACAAGACTGGTAAGCCTGAAATAACAAAACAACACTGGGGGATTACATTGAAACAAATTTAGAGCTAAAAAAGAGTTGGAGATATTCCTACGGAATATGTACAAACAGGTAAGACCTGCTCCAAAGGAATACAGGTAATGAGTAGTTATATCAAATCACAATTCAAAACACAGCCTATGTTACCTTGGCACAGCGGCCTGGTTCGGCCATCTCCCAGGCGTTTTTAACAGCTTTTATCTGGTCTAGTCTCTCTGTGTCCTTTGTCACCTTGATGCTCTCTGCTTTGCTTTTGTCACTGACCACATGTAGCACCCAGTTTGCCTTAGTCAAGTCAAGGCTCTGCACAAACATATGCACAAACAAACAAAGGGAGGAGACACAAGCTTAAGAGTGCAATGAATGGTCATGCACACAGACATCCAGCTGAAGGTCACCATATTATAATACATTGTGAGTGTGTCCCTCTCAGTCAAACTCAGCCTGGTACATAGCCAGAAAGCCAGCCAGTCAGTCATTCACACAGGATTTTATGTGCTCTTGGGCTGTCTAGTCTTCATAATAAATTAAATATGGCTCTTAGTTCATTTATTCAGGGATCATTATGTCCTCTAACCCTTTTGCTGAGAGTAAATATTGAAAACTGAAATTTACTGACAGAAACCAGCCTTTTGAGAGTCTGTCCCGTAGTGCATTGAAGAATAAAGAGAAAAAAAGCATTTATTATGTGGCTCAGTGATTTATCATTAAGCTGTTTTTTTCTGAATACTAAACCCATTCTACTGCACACCACAAGATTATTATTAAAGTGCATGCATGCCATTCTGTTAAAGGCTGCTGTGGGATTTGGTTCACGTCAGTATTTTCTGGTTAGCACATCAGAGTTAGCAACAAGCTGAGCTTACTTAATATGCAAATGATATAGGAAATTGAAATTGTGATAAAAAAAGAGATGTAAGAAACGGATGAATGAATGAATGTCAGATAACAGTTTAACCATAAGCTCATTATGTGTGGTTTAATTGGGAATCGGTGAAAAGTAGTTGAGTGTGTACTTCACTGACGTGCCTCTACCCCCTCCTCTTTGAAAAGTTAAAATCCTATTTTGCTGTTTTTGAATAAGATTTGAATCACAAGTACTGCAGCATCTTGTGTTACTGCTATAAAATTTAAACCTTATTGAAACTTGTTTGATGATGAGTTTTTACATCTACTATCCTGTTATTGCCCCTAGCATTTCACTAACAACAGCTAATGCAGTAAATCCCAATGTAACTTAGTTCACAGTTTGCATAGTCATGATGTCATTTGCAGACATGTTGGACAGCTGATAAGCCATATGCTGGTCTGCAAAGGGGACCAACAATCATTTAGTAACTCATCCTTAAACTATAGATACATGTGCTTGCATTGGCTCTGATTTGCAGCTGACAATGTGTTTTAGGCTCTTGTCACTATTACCGTGTCCTGCTGAGACCCAGATTTGAGGACACCTGCCGGCTTCCCTTTCTCCTTGTCACCTTCTCCTTTGAGTCTGGCTTTGGTTGTATTGGATTTGTGCCCATCATGAACTGGAGTGCCAGTGGTGGATGTGTGCTTCAAGTCCTCAGGCTTGTAAACTAGGATTGGAAAAACAGAGGTTTTGGGAGACTTAATTTTCTTTTCAATCAGCTACTTACTGAACTTTCTTGAAAAATGTCTTTGACAAATATATATAAAAACATTTTTAAAATGATCCAAGTGAGACAAGAGGCAAGCTGCTGGGGCAGCCATGCCTCCTTTAAAACCACCCCAAAATTCTAAACTATGATTTACCCTATCAGAGGTGGGGCTATTTGGGTTGTGTTGCAAAAGGCTGCTTGGTGCTTTTTTTTTTTTTACATTTAAATGTGGTATATATCTTTAGGTTATGACTTTACATTTGTAAAGTCATAACCTACATCTTTTTAGGTTCTGATAGATTTAGGCTGTGAAGATTTTAGTATTGTTTTTATTATGTTGGGGTAGTTGATAAGCTTATGTAAACAATGGCATAATGTACTGATTGTTCGCAAATGATGATCCAGCTTGTGTCAATTTTTGTTAACAATCAGAGTTAGCTCCATGTCTGACTACGATTATGGTAGCTAATACTTGGCCTGTTATCTTATTGGAAAAACACCTGATACTCTAAAAATACCCACTTTAGATTGACTGCCATGCTACTGCTTAGACCCTGCAAGTGCTCATTTTAACAGACATGTTAAAATGTGTGACTTTGTATGTCCCCCAAAAAAGACACTGATGTGTACTTTCACTGACTGGCACCATCAAAGCCAGCCCATCTAGAAATTTGCAGTGAGCTCATGTTAGACAGGCAAGCTAACTGCTGCTTTACCAGCCGTAAGTGCCAAATAATATAACTCAATGCTCATCTCTGCGAGTAGCCATCTTAAACTAGAAATTAGACAGAAATGAGCTTAGTTACCTGTAAGCTGTCTGCTTACTTAGTCAAGAGAAAGTTGAGCCAGCTCTGGCTGTGTTTTAAGCTCTCTCCATTTTTCGAAAACATCTCAAGATTTGCCCCAATTTTACTGCATTTCTTTCATGAAACTTAAAAAAAAAAAAAAAAAAAAAAAAAACACTGAGGCTTTGAAGGTTGGGTAGAATTGGTTTTGGTAGATTTAATCAAGTTGGTTTGTCATAACTAGTTTCAAATCTGTCAAACCCAAAGGGTGTCCTAAATTGCAACGTGGGGTGCCTAAAACTGTCTGCCTTCCCGAGTTAAAACAAATACAGGCCATGAGTACCTGAATCAGAACTTAGGAGGAGGATATGATTGCTGGTGCAATAATATCAGAAATGCTAGGATTGCCGAGCATGTTTCCTTAGTGTCTGATCTTAAGGTCATTTTCTGGTTTAATTCAGTTGCTTTCTTAAAGATAAAAATAAACATACACAAGAATATAAGATCTATTGGATATATTGAAATAATAAGTCTTAGTAAACACAACTAGCGAAAAAAGGAAGGGGAAATGAATGAATCATTTTGTATGTGTGCAGACATTCTGGCCAGTCCAAAGAGTCTAGACACACCCCTGAATTAAACAAATACCATTTCTATTGTAGTACAAGTATCACAATAAACCTCAGCAGTTCCTTTTCTACTCTTCATATGTAAAGCTTTTCTGAGGTGAGACTGAGGAAGAACAGGTAGAGGTCGAATGTGTTGTGTGTTCTCGCATGTGCTAGATGGCACTGTTGCACTTCAAAGCTAAAATGAACTCGATCCCCAGCTCAGATGGGGCATTTACTATGAGTCTCACTTCTCTGACACAGCGAGGAATAATAATCCATCATTTAGCTGACATCCTGCCATTCTGTCTTAACATCTTTAGTGCATACTCATCGAGTTAGGATTAACTGGAGTCACACAAGAATTTCAAGGTTCAAACTGGATCAGGAAATCAATTTTTGGTATTTAATTTTAGGCTGATATCTGTTTTGAAAACTGATTTTGTGCTGGTCAGAACTGAACAGAATGTATATGAAGGCTTCTGCTTACTGAACAACATCGTTTGTAGATTCGGCATTGTGTTCTCCAAAGGCAAAGTTGTTGGGATTGTCAAAAGATAAACAAATGAGGCTGTGTTTACATCCTCTGCTCACATCAGACTGCTTTGATGGTTTATACTGGGCTTTAAAGAAGTATAAATGTGCATGCAGTTAACATATGCAGCGCAGTATTTTGACTGCAGCTTGTTAAACAGCTTGTTCAGGAGGCTTCAAAGCCTAGCGTGGCATGTAGTGCGTGTGCATCCATGAAGCATGTAGGGAGCATGATCAAGGGCGCAGCCTCACCACTGAGACAGAGTCTAACTGGGTGAAATTAATTCACTTTCCTGCTGAGATATTTCCCAGGGCACCAGGGGGCAAGAGCCAACTTCATTTGACTTCCTATTGACCCACTTACACAAGCTTATTGAAAAAACCATAAGAGGTTTGTGTGGACATCAGCCTGTACCTACATGCACGGACAACACAAAGCAAAATAACTCTAACCTGCTCACACATCTATCGATGCAGAGAAAAGACATGCAAAACATGCTGAATGAACCTGGAAGAACTAAGCAGTAAGAAATCTACTTCTTACACATGACCAGAGGTTTGCCTGTTTGTGCAGTCAGAACATATCTAGTATCAGTATATTTAGTTTGTTAATTTAGGCCTCCCACACAAAGACACACATATACCATCACACACCCACATGCACACACACACAGATATCATCTTCAGATTTCATGCCATGCAAACTGAACGGGTAAGCACAGTGACAGTAGTCAGGAGCAACAAAGCAAGAAAGAATAATGATTCAATGACAGCAGGCTGCCCTTTATCTTCGGGCAATCATGCAAATTGTCACCCATGCAGCACCTCTTTCACATCAACATCAACCAGTGCTGCAATTAATTCATCCCCCTCAAATTTATGAAAAGCTTCTGTAAATTTCAAAGCCCTGATTTTACTATCGATCCAATTTGTGTGGTCTTATTAAAGCAGAGAAGCAGAGTTGGTGGCAGAGGACACAATTATTGCCTCGGCCAGCAACCAGTGGGCACAAGAAATCACGCTCTGATTTGCAAAAGCAGCTGTATTCATTTGGCTTTCATTTGGCTTGTGATTAACAGGCCTCTGGCTGGCGTAAGAAAAGAACAAACACCATCTGCCTTGGCCCCTGACACTGCCGACTGAGTGTCTACCACACAAAAATATACTGTGCATAGACAAACATGTAGGACTTATTAGAAAATCTGCTCATAGGGCCCGAATGTTGAGACCTCTGAATGGGATGATGTGAGTCAAAGTGCTTCAGGGCCCAGTAAGGGATTTTTGCCTATAATGGAACCACGTGTGATACATACTGAGTTCAAGTATCTAATATAGCACTATTGTTTATCTTGAGCAAATACCTCTCATTCCTTTTTTCTCCAGGTCTCTGAGTGCATGGACAAAATCCAATTGAGATTCATCCAAATCCCAGCTCTTATAAAGCACTTCTGCCTGCACCACATACCTGTGACCCTGTGAGAAAACAGACATGATAGATCAGTGTACAAACCCATGTCAAAGTTAGAGCAAGCTTTGAAAATCACATAAAAGCAAAAAGACTTATCATCTTAGCACTGAAAAAAACAAACAAACAAACAAATAAAACAACGCACATGCAGTTGGTTGTACCACTCATGTAGATGATTCAAAGAGACACAAAGGTCTTACAAAAGAACTGGACATTTTATTTATGCCATTTTCTGCCTTCTTTGACAGAAGCACATGCTTGGCATAAAGACAGAAGAGGATAAAGAGACATGGAGAAAGAGAGATAGAGTGACAGAGAGGTCATAGAGGGTGATTTCATAATGAATGGTCACTACCACATCCATCTCACTGAAACAATGATTTAACAAAATCCCAATGTGAGAATCAAACCAACAGAGAAAGACAGTTTTTTTTTTCCCTGGTGATAACTCACACATACACATTCACGAAGATGATATCAAATTAAAGTGAAATAAGCCATTTCATGTGTATTCAAATCCCAAACAGTTTACTTTTCAGCATTAATGCACCATGACTGAACACCTACTGTACCCCCCAGTGGTGAAACACAGTGCTTTAATCGCTGACCCTTTGCTTCCGGTCTTGATCAACACTCTTGATCAGCAGATGTTTACTCTGGCCTGCTGGTAATCTGAAGGTTATTTCACAATAAAATGTCCTGAATGTCATCACACCCCACCCATTTGATAGCAGTGATTTTCCTGAAGATTACCTACTGGGTTCACTCCCCAGCTTAGCCCCAAAGTTGTACACCGAGGACTGAGAAATTGTGATGTTTGCATTCACATATGCAGCTTACCTGGCTCACTTTGGATAGATTTTCAGATTTTGGGTTAAGCAATGTTAAAGCATGAGTGAGGAGAGAATAAACTCAGAGTTTTCAGCACTTCCCTGGCTAGAACATCACTGTAACCTGAGCTGCACACCCAACTTGGTTATGGGCATTAAATACTAAAATGTCATCTTGTTTTACATATTCTTGTTCTGACAATGTTCACTGTCAGTACAGTTAAGGGGAAAAGGCTATCTATGCATCCCAGTCTTATTACTCCGAAATGGTAAATGGACTGACTTTGATCATGCTTTAGTTGTCTGACCACTTAAAGTGCTCTTCTTCTGCTTCTAGATTCATCGATTCATACACTGATGGCAGGACATGCTATGTAAAGTGCCCCTCAGTCATAACTAATCCCTTTTACACATCATTCTAACACTGCCAGCTATGCCACCAGGAGCATTTCATGGTTCAGTGTCATGTCCAAGGATGCAGGAGCTGGGATTGAATTGCTAACCTTCCAGTTGAGAGTAGACTGACTACCACTGAGCCTCAGCCATCTATTCTCTCTTCAGGTAATATATACCCTCTATACACTCAGCTGGCCTGTGGAATCTGCCTTATTACTGTTTATATCACTGGCTGTTGGGTTACTTTGTTAAAGCTAAAACATATTTGTAACACACTCAGGGCTCTTCCAAGCTTAGGCACTAAATTCTAAATTAATTACCTAAATTGATGAAGTGTGAGGAGCAACTAGAGGGACAATAAAGTCTGTTATTTTCTCCAGATGTATCACTGACAGTCACCAAAGCAAAATAAACGAAGCTCAGAAGATTTTAGAGTTTTATGGACACATGCTCTCAACCAAGTAGCGTGCCGCTGTGCATATCCAAGCATGCGAAAGTACACACCTAGTGCACTTTCTATATACTTTGCCAAATATCAAACTGGTGTGCTAAGAAGTGGAGAGGAGCCCTCAGACAATCAAGTGACTCATTAATCATGCACAAATCCCTCCTCACTGACAAGCACCGATAAGAGGGGTCTGACTGCAGACCTCCACTGTCAGGACCCACCTCCACTGAGAGGACCTGAGGTGACGCTTTTTCTCATGCGCTCCAGTTTGTTTGAAGTGGTCGTACCGTTTTCTATTTTCTCTTTGTTGAACACATGAATACATCAAGATTTTATACATGAAATAAGACCAAAGAAATAAATTATATTTATAAGAATACGTACTTCCCGGTCTAAACACTTTTAATACAAAAGGAATCGAATCAACTTCCGACATAAAAAAGCATACTCCCGGTATATTTGCTTTTATTTTGAAAGGCTTCAAATCAACTTCCAGTCTGCTTAGTGGCTGTGGGTCCTTACAGTGGAGGTCTGCTACGAAGAGTCCTGACAGTGGAGCTCTGCAGCCAGACTGTCTTGGATAAGTTGGACAGCAACAACAAAACTATCCCTTCAGTTTCTGCTCTTCTTCTCTTGTGAATTTTATCTGTAAGTGTGTGGGTTTGTGTAAGTTCATGTGTCTATGTGTGTGCATGCCTTAGAGTAAGGTGTTATCTGGCAGTGAAAAACTGATATCAACACAGGCAGCAAGCAAGTGGGTGAGAAAGACAGAGAGGGTTAGTGAGATGCACCCTTGCGTGTGTGTGTGTGTGTGTGTGTGTGTGTGTGTGTGTGTGTGTGAGTGCGTGTGTGTATGTGTGTGTGTGTGTGCGTGTCTGTGTGAGTTTGTGCGCACAAATGAGAGCAGTTAAGTGTGTGAGCAGCAGCAGATACCACGCAGGCAGCTGTCAGTGATACCATCGTTTCTCTGGGAGGCTGTGGCTGTTCAGAGTCAGACGACAAGCCTGATTTCCCAGCTGTGCCATTGTCACTGGTTCTTTGCTGGGAAGTGTCCACCACCTTAACTCCCTTGTCCTGGGTGGCGGATCCCCTCTGGTTCTGTTTCTTTTCATCAGTGCAAGTGTTGGCTGTAACAGACAGAGAAATATTAAACTCTGCCTGTATCTGAGAAAAGACGAGTGGCCAGTAATCTGCACCAACTGATGGAAGCAACAACTGATAAGCAGACTAGAGTTTGAGAGGCAGGCTTTGAAGAGCTCTTGTATGAAGTGCTGCTATTGTTGGCTTGTTTTTTGCTCTTTATTGAGCCTGCATAAAGACAAAGGCGAATCCAATGTAAGTTAAAGGGTCAGCTCATCCAAATCTCAGATAAAATGTTACAAACCACCTGTAACTTACCCCTGCAGTCATATTAATTCAGGCATAGACATTTTTGGTGACATCAAGATTTCTGCTAGAATCACAATTTATACTAACTGTGCAGTAACCTTTGACATTTGACTCTTTAAGGACTCCCCCCAATGCAGATTTGAAGCTGAATCCTGCTTTACATCAAAGATACACCTAACTACAACATCTCTATGACAGTGGCCTTGTATGTTTTATGAAAAAAAGGTTACTTTAATGAGTTAAACACTCTTCTTAGAAGTGATAAGATGCATCCAAAGCTAAAACACTGCCACTATTCTCAGAAACCCAATCTTTCAAGTTCCTTTGCTTAAGCATTAATCCCAAGCTCTCCAGTGACAAATTAAACAACTTGATGCTAAACCACACTGGCTGGTGTTTACAGTGGCCCCGTTTACATGAGTAGTTTTCCTCAATCTGATTGAAATCAATCGGATTAAGTGAATCTGATTCCATCTGTATACATGAACTTTAAGTAAAGAGATCCACGTTCAGTCCGCGTTTTCATGGCCCCAGCTGAATCCAGTTGTATTGTATTGTATCACTGGGAATTGTTAATGGGAACCATTGTTTTAGTTCCGTTTTAGAGTTGCGCACGGACGTGTTTGTGACACTGAAAAAAGGTTGAAAAAGCTTAGATGTTCAACATGCTTTTAAACTTTTATCAACAGCATATTTTTGGAAGTTTTTTGTGTACGGGTATATAAGTGCTAAAGAAAGTGGTGCTCTGTTATTTTGCAAAATAATAAAATAAGCAAAAACCATCTTGTAAAATTATGAGTTGACTCCTCTCCTTCACACACTGAGTCTTACCACTGTAAGAGTGTAGCCAGAGAGGTGCCCTGCTGTTTTGGGATGTAATAATTGTGTTTTTAATTCGGGTCACAAAAAAAAAAAAAAAAAAAGTGATTCAATTGTCATAGGACTATTTTAAAGAAGATAAACTATAGTTAAACCAGGAGTAATAGTGGAGTTTTGGGTTAAAAAAGTGGCACAGAACAATGAAAATATCAGTGAAAATGGTGGACCGTTTAGCTGTTATAATTTCAATGTAAACTGGGATATTAAATGCCGCTGTTAGGCCTCATTAGAAATGTGTAACACGTGGAAGCAGAACTGTGGGACATAGCTACTCTGCCTCTGAACCTCCTTTGGATAAAGTAATAGAGACCAAATGTAAATGGTAATATGTGATTGCTGCAATGACAGGGCAGAATAGTGCTCTGCGTGTGTGTGTGTTTGTATGTGTGTGCACCTCCTGTGATTCTGCAACACCATAATACAATGGGGAATCACACTGGAATACCAATATTTTTATTGGTTTAATATATAAGAACAGAAGTGCTGTTGCACAGTTGAAATGTGTAAGAGGCTTCTGATTACATCACAAACCAGCGGTGTGAGATAATGAGCGTTAATCACTCAAACTCAGGGCTTATTAGATGCTTTGGAAGATGTAACTTGTTTACACTCAGACGAGACACAGTCTGACAAAGCTTCCATTAGTATCCAAAATGATGTTATATATCTGTTGCTTCTGAAAAATAAAAATAGCGAAAGCTCACCTTTATTTGCCACAAAGCTGAACACAGGAATTACCACAAGGCCCTTCCCAGTCTTGCTCATCACCTCCTTCTCCTGGTCCAAAATGGACAGACGAATAAATACATCTGGCTTGGATGTCTGGATCTGAATTGTTCCCAAGAGGTCTGCCATCACATCCACAGTGTACCTGTGGAACATTTTCAAATGATTGTGAGCTCTCAGCTCTCTCAGCATCTGCAATGATCTGTTACAGAAATCCAGGCCTCCTGTGTCTGTTCATCTGTTCATACTATTGTGAAAATAAAAATAAGTGCAGCTTGTTGGTAATCTAGAGGTATAAATCCAAACTTTAGACCAAAATATAGCCAACAAGTCCCTTACCGACAGATGAGGTTTTTATCATTGGGAATGTAATAATCCTTGAACTCTCTCACTGTAAACGTGTTCAGAGGAGTCTCGCTGGACAGTTTTGGCAGAAGTCCCCTTGAGCCAATCAGCCGCATTCTCCACTTGGCACCAACAGCAGAAGTTTCAGGTGTAATAACCTCTGCTACAAATGTATAACCAAGCTGCAATGACAGATGTAGATAAATCAACTTGGAAAATTGGATCCATTACCTGGATTCTTTCATTTCCTTCATCTGCTTTTTTATTCTATTTTTTTTAAATCATAAATTACATATTTTGTTGCAAGTGCTGATGTCTGAGCCCCCAAAGAATTGTCTTTAGGCTGGCATTGACAGCTGTGGAATTTGAGTTAAGCATGCCAGCTCTCTTTCTTTAAACAGTTTTAAAAAATTTAACTTTTACAGAGAATAGGTGCTTAAATACAGAGCCATACTCCCCCATTCTCTTTTAAAGGGGGTTATTTAGTGCTAAAGGGGTTTGGCAGAAAGTGATCTTTAGGTTAGGCAAAGTATTATAATTGTATGTAAAATGTGACATTCTTATAATCCAAACTTACTCAAAAACTATCTCAAGTGCACGATCAACTGATGTGTGAAGATAAATGGCACAAACAGACCTTGTTTGGTTTATAAACATGGGCTGCCACTTTGTTGAAAACCACATCCAGCTCCTCTCCTGTATCATTATTTATGACATGCAGCAAACAGTTAGGGATTGGGGAGTAGACCTTTGGTACCAGCAGCATCTCCTCAGAAACCAGGAATACCTCTCTGAACAGGTAAACATAACATGTTCTTTTATATAAGGCAAAACCAAATTGTACAGTAGATTTCTTTTATGTTAAAATTTTTGCAAGAATATGGTTCGTTATTTACACCTGGATTCAAAGCTTAGTTCAACAATGTTTTCTAACCTAAAGACCAGGACCCAGGAGTTTGCTGTATTTGGAAGGGAGACGGAGTAATCAGCAAAGGTGATTCGAGTCGCTTCATCCTGCTGGCAAGGGTAGAGCTCTGCTTTACTCTCAGAATGTCCAATAATGTACCTATTAGAAAAATAAAAACCTGTGTTAACTTTTCAATTCTGGCTCATAACCAGAATTTAGAAATTAAAGACAATATGGGTATGGGGTAAGTTGACCATAGGAGTGAGGTAAGTTGAGCCATATCCCTACTACCCCCCCCCCCAACTCTCCACCCCAGCCTTCCCTCACCTTCTCTCCCTAAATAACAGTCACTTCTTCACATTCATTTGTATTTTTATCTTTTATACACTATTCAACTAGTACAATAATTCTTTTTATTATTATTGCATATAACAGCTAAAAAGCTGCTTTGTAAAAAAACATATTAACACGAGAATGTCTTTAAGTGATTCAGAACATTCCCAGCTGTGATTTTGAAAAGAAAAAGTAACACAACAATCTGAACTGAAACTCTGATCCTCTGATCAGACTTCTTTACTTTCTCAGTTGAACCACCACCTCAACTTACCCCAGAACTACTATTATGACTTTATTAGTCCTCCAAGCTAAAATGGTGGACATTTATGCTAGGTTTTTTACCTCATGTTGTAGCACATAGATACCACAATTGATGTATAAAACGAATCAAAAAGGATGTTTTTTGGTCTGAACACAATTCTAATACAACTTATAACAGACTAAATTCACTTTCAATTGTAAAAAATGTTTTTTTTGGAAATAAATGTCTAACCCCCTCACCCATGTGCTTCTAATCTTCACAGACTCCATGAATTGATGCCCATCTCCTAAATATTTGGTCACATGATCAATTTCTTTTACCATTTCCAAGCAACAGGGGATGGGGAACTTACTCTTCCCCATACTTGTCAAAACTTTTGATTTTATAAACACTCACTTAGACATATAAATGTTTGTAAACATCTCAATAGGGACTTATAAGTGGCCTATTACTCAATACCTGTAATAAAGACCTTCAGTTAAAGTATTTTTGACCAGGGGATCTTCATGCTCATGGTTTGATTTGCTTTGATAGGTCATGATGAGTCATAAATATTGGTTGTAGTCTGATTTATCACGAGCTCCTGAGTCCAGTTAAAATAAAAAGTACAAACAAGCAGCTCTTTTATTTATTTTTTTAGTGATTACCTTTGGGCTAAAGTGCATGTGTCTGTCAGTTAAGAAAAATGAATGTTTAAAGGCTAGTAACACCCACCAATCCCCCCTGCTCCCCATTTTTCATACACACGGTGACCAAACTCTTAATCCTCACACACACACACACCCACACACACACACACACACACACACACACACACACACACTTCCCCAGGCAGCAGGTCATTCGGCATACGCTGCTCGTCGATTGGAATGGGGGGAGAGGATAAACAGCAGATGGTACCACTGGGAAAAAGATGGAACACAATGTGGAAAATGCTCCCTGCCTGGCCACCACAGGCCACCAAAAACAGAAGAGGGAGCAGATTCTGGGTGTGGGGTGCTACAGAAAAGCTGAATGCCAAATGATACACATAGCCTTGGCATGGGAGTGCATTGGGAGCCCTTCTATTCTCTCAGACAGTGATGTACATAATGTGGAAGCATGAATTCTGCTTGGCTAATATGATGTCATGCTTTATGTGTATCCATGTGTCCATGCTGTTTATTTACCCCAGTATGAAGACAGCATGTTTTTCTGCGTCTGATTCGACCTTAGGCCACATGTCTGAAAGGATCTGAGATGCTCGAAGGTTCTTCTTGGTGCCTAAGTGACATAAGGACACACACAAGTATAAATACAGATGAATGACTACCCTTAAAGCAAACGTCTCTGTCACTAAAAAACACATTTATGTAACAAGAAGTTGTACTATCTAAGTATGAAAACGTGTGAAATAAGTAGGTATGTGTGCATATATATAAGAGTTGTGTAATAGATATTTCCACATCTGACATGTGGTATATGTGTCCTTGTATGCTCCCTCTGCCTCTTTCTACCTAGATCTCAACAGCTTCTTTTCAAATAGCCACTTCCCCAAATTGCCACTGCTATTACAGCTGACCAAGGCTGCCTATGGTGAGATGTGAACCTCCTGTCAACTTTGCAATAAAGGAGAGGCAACACACAAATAGAAAAGCAGGCAAGACAGGATAGATGAGAAGACATGAAATAATACAGAAGGTTGTTGGAGTCATAAACGGATGTGCTGGAGGACTTGGCTCTTTAAGATGAGAAAAGACAAGCTCTTATCTATAAATGAAACGTTATCAAAGGGTAACATTTTTAGACTATGATTGGTGGTTTGCTGTCACTTTAAGTGTCAGTTTGAAGTTGCACTTTATGCTTCGACAAGTGAATGAAACAAAATTTGAGATAACTTAACCATGACAGGCCCATTACATAGGAGTCAAGCTGGGAAGCTTTTGTGCTCATGTTTATGGCTCGTAATAAACAGCAATCACTTTTAGCATTGCTGGGCAGAATGATCCTATAATGATGCAGTTCATCTGGATGTTTTGTTTGCCTGAAAAATATATTTGAGTGATAATAAAGGAGATAAAATGTTGCTGTGAATACTATTGATTTTTGTGAATGCTGCTGTAATGAGGGTGTACATACTCTCTATATGCAATGTATAAAGTTGGTGACAGTGTCATGTCCATAACAGCCCACACAGAAACAGGGGCTCTGAAGTTTGGGGAATAATGAAAGAACATCAGAGCAACAAGGTACCTTGAGTGTTTTTTTTTTTTTTTTTAACAGAGCTACACCTGAGCTCTAAGATAATTACTGCCTCCTCACAGTAAGAATCCCATATAAAAAATGATTAAATTGAAACTAAGATAAATGGCATGTGACCAGCACAGGAGCTTAATTCTTTGCTCTGAGACAATGCAATAAATAATAATTCCAAAGCAACACTGATAAATAAATCTACAAAGGGAAAGCTGCTCAGCTCTGTCAACCTTGTCTGCCATTTCTTGTCACAGTTGAGAGCCTCTGCAGTGGATGTTGGAATGTCGTTTGTATCTATGGTGTTTTTTTTTTTCGTTCAAATAGTTTTTTTTTTATTTTAACAAAAATAACACAACATGACATAAACCACCAATAGACAGAACAGTGATAATCACAAAAACAGACAAACGAAGCTAAATAAAAACAAGTAACACAAGCACACACCAAAAACATCATTACAACATAAAACATACAGTGCATCAGCAAATTAAATAAATAATAATATAATAAAGGGTAGAAGGAAATAAAATTAAAAAAAACAAAACATCAAGCAGTACACCAAGTTTTGCTTTCCTTTTTTTTTGTATATGGTGTTTGTGTGTGTGTGTGTGTGTGTGTGTGTACGTGCGCGCGCATGTGCGTGCCTGCTCTTCCCACATGATCCTGTATCTCCTCCTGGCCACCAATCATCTGTCAGGGTGTATCAGTAAGAATGGCATGTCATCAATACATATTTGTGCCTCGGCTAGGGGGCTCAATATTTGCCAAGGGGCTGAATTAAATGGTAAATGGAAGAAACAAGGTGTTTTGTGTGGGCGTGTGTGTTTAGACACAAAGTAATGATCCTCAAATGAGGCAAAGGTGTCCAGTTGGTGTAGCGGTACTTCTTCACACGCAGCCTTAGCTTTTCCTGCAAATTGATTTGTCTTTGAAACATGAATCACTGCAGAAGTTAAGCAGGTTTTCTAATTGTGTATAGATGAAGTTACCTGGTTTTGAGGCATTAAGGACTTCTCGTACTAAGTGTCCTTTAAATCCAGCCTGCAGAGTTGTGACTGCCTTCACTTCCTGGTCTGTTGGCTCCCTTTCTCTCCAGCTTTCTGGGGCCTCTGTATCTGTTAAAGAGAGCAGTTTCAGGATTTTGCATGTTAATGTTGAATTCAGGAATGGGAAGTTGATTTTTATGGAGCATGACGGACAAGTACAGAGAGAAAATTGAATTAAATTGCTATTGTAAGAAAAAAATGAATCAAGGTGACACTAACAATTACATGTAGTTGTGTCTAATGTGGGATCAGTGGCTAAAGGAGAGGGGGCAGCCGTAAGGGCCCGTATGGCAAACCTCTCCTCTGCTGTCAGCTTTCTCCCCACTGCATTAGACATCATGTGGTTAACTGCAGAGTTAAACACCTAGACACAAATATGCACAAACAAATCATACAAACAGTGATGTTATTCAATCTATCTTAACCAAAGATTGCAACTAAATGGAATAATATAGACGAATTTTCAAGATAAAGAAAAAAGAAAAGTGAGTTATTTAAAGTGTCTGCATTATGGTACGATATGGTATGATACCATGCAATGTTTCCTCAGGTCTACGTTGGTATTTTGGGGGCAGTGAGCCTCCTCCAGTGCTTGTCTGGCAGCTGGCAAGTTCTCCTCATCGCTGAAGGAAGACGCCACTCTGCTCAGAGCCCTGAAGATGGATGAGGCCTGCTCAGTAAACCGTGCACTTTGCTGATAAAATTAAAAAAGCAGAGAGAAAGCACATCAGTTTTGTTTAATGATGCAAATTAAGCAGAAAACAGGTTAAATAAAAACAGAGGAGCAGAACACCCACACATTGGGACTGTGTGCAAAATTGTTCCTAGCAGGTAAACTGTGGATGGCAGACGAGATGAAAATGTTGTGTTTCTCACATGAATTAGCCTTCCAGTGCACCCATGTGTCTGACATGATTTCAATCAGCAGACACTTTCAGCAACTGGAATATGACTCTAACATATAAAAAAGGCAGAGGGATCTTACTGACTTGATGTGATTTATTAAACTGAAGCAGCCATATTTCAAAAAGTTACAGCCAGGATATTGCAACAAAGGCAATTTCCTTCACTCTGTCTCTATGTCAACCAAGCACTTTCTGTACTTTGAAAAACTTCATTGTTTGAGATGCAAAGGATATATATCCTCTGGTTGCTCTGTATTTCTTTTGTTCTCTCTATGCAGCCTTGAGCTGCAGCTTTGACAAAGAAATTCAAACTCAGTGATTTCTTGTGCATTTGTTGAGTTACCACTGTATTTGCCAATCCCTGGATGAGACTCTCTGTTTGTGTATTACAAGTGGTTTTAACTTTCCATGTATAAAGAACAGATTTTACTTACAATAATATTATAGCAGTAGATATGCTGTAGGAGTAAGTCCAAAAGGAGGCTTGAGTTGGCACGAGCCCCTTGAAATCATAATGGCCACCCCTCGTGCCAACCCCAAACAATGCTTGATTATTTTCTCTGCCAGTTGCATTTATGGTAGCCACTATCTGCATGGAACCATGGAATACATGGTGTGTAAGTATCAGGCTGCACAAGTTTGAAATCAAACACAGCTGTCCTTACAAAGCGGTGAATCCAAACACACGAGAAGAAAATGGCAAACACAGCAAAACTATACCTCATTAAAGCAGTGTTAATAAACTTCATCTGTGTTCTGAAACTTCATCTATGTAAAATAAAAAAATAAAAAATGCCTAAAGATTTTCAATGTATATTGTAGTGATATTTGTCATGAAACGTAGACATTATCTCAAAAATAGCACAGTATCTTATAAAATTTTGTTTCATAGTGGAGCAATAGTTGTTCTAACCACTGGTTGCCACCCACCCTAAAAAAGAGTCGGAACAAAGAAGAAGCAGGAATTAGTTTGCAGTAGCAGCCATCAATAACAGGTTTAATACTTTTATAACTGATGTTGCAACATATGTAAAAGGCTTGTGCCTCTTTTGGGGTGTGAGGACATTGAGCAATCATACTGTCTGATAAAACATAACCTTGAATGCCACTGGAAATTGATCATGACTTATAAGTCGGTCAGTTTTGCTTATTTGTGAAGTGTTTGAGGAGACGTAGTGCTCTAGCTCTATCCTGCCTCTTCTTTATTTGCCTGTGTTTTTTTTTTTTTTTTTTTTTTTCCAAACTTTCCATCAACATTGTGACTGTAATAATATTGTGAATTTGTTTGGCCGTGATAATCATGACCTGATAATGTGGTATTGTGATAGTCCTATTGACAGTCCTACTATAACGTTAAGACATCTGTCACCTTGGTAAGATGTGCCATGATGGTTTCATCCTCCCCTAATATGAAAGATGTCCTGCTGCACAGATGAATATGATAACCAAGTCTTGCCTTTGTGTGGATAGACAATACATGGCGCCTGCAGGAGAGAGAAAGGGATCAATTTAGCAGATCCAGAGTAAGTGTAAGACATGCAAAGATCCATATGGGGGGGAAACAAAAAAAAAAAAATCTCCAAATTGCTCCAAGTCCAATATGTACAAAAGAGGATTAGGGCAAATAAGGAGAAAAAATATATATTACAGGAAGGAGTTAAAAGTCGAAATTTCAAGATTAAGAAAAATCAAAATTATGTCAACAAAGTCAACATTTTGAGATTAAAAATTGAAATTTTAAGATTAAAAAATTAAAACTTTGAGATGAAAGTCAAAATTGCAAGATTAAAGTTGAAATGAATAAAGTCGAAATTTCTTGAATTAAATCAAAATTTCGAGATTAAAGTCTAAATTATGAGATTAAAGTCAACGCAAAGTAAGACAAAATTTGGTGTATAAATTCGTAATCTTGAGATTTATGATAATGAATCAACAGCATTGTCAATCGTCACCCGACAACATGTCCTCTGTAGAACAGTTTGTAAAGCTTTACTTTAGAATTGGATTTAGTAACAAGGAAATCCTTGCTCATTTAGCACACAAACACAGTGTGGTCATAAGCATTTGGACTCTGAAATGACTCTGCAAAAGATTATGCAGATGTAGGGTTATTGATGGTTACACCTGCATGCTATACAGCGAGGCTATGTTGTATCGCAATATAAAATAAGACAATTGATCAAGTTGATTGATCCTGAAGGCGTGAAGCACAGAAGAGCTCGGTGTCTGAGGCGCAGGCATGAAACTTAAATATCATCATTATAAACAGCATTAAGGAAAAACCCTGCCAGCATTTACTTCAGCTTAACTTTACCTCAAGGAGCGGCAGCGTCTTGCTGCTGTGCTTAGCATTTTTGCCAACATTATCAGACCAGATGATTTTCCGCTCCACAACCAAAACATTTCGTGGTCTCAGTCATGGTAAAAAACATGATGTGAACTCATTCCTATAAATAAAAACTATGCCAGCGTTAACCTCAGCTCAACTTTACCACAGCCAGTGGCAGCATCTTAATGTTGTGCTTTGCATGTTTTCCAGCAATATCAGACCAGATGATTTCAGCTTCACAACCAAATCATTTCCTGGTTTCAGTCAGGGATACAACCATGAATTTCTTATATAAAACAAAATAAAAACCCTGCCAGCATTTACCTGATCTTAACTTTACCTTGGTCAGTGGCAGCATCTTGCTGCTGTGCTTTGCATTTTTCTTCCACAATATCAGCCCAGATGATTTTCCACTCCACAACCAAACATTCATGGTCCTAGGCCTAACGACAACCATAAATTAATAACCAACAACAATGAATAAAATCTCCGCCAGCATTAACCTCAGCTTAACTTTACTTCAAGGAGCAGAGCATCATGTTGGTGCTGTGCTTTGCATTTTTCCGTTAATATGCTAGATGGTTTCAGTCATGGTGAAAAACATGTTTTTGAACCATCCACATTAAATAAAAACCCTGCATGTTGACCTGAGCTTAACTTTAGCTACCTCTGCCAGTGGCAGCATCATGCTGCTGTACTTTGCATTTTTTCCAAAAATATCGGACCAGATGATTTTCTGCTTCACAGCCAAAACATTTCATGGTCTCAGGTAGGACTACAACCATGAATTTCCTACAAAAACAATCAATGAAAACCCCGTCAGTGTATACCCAAGCTCAATTTTACCGAAGTCAGTGGCAGCATCTTGCTGCTGTGCTTTGCATAATTCCGAAAATGTCAGACCAGATGATGTTCTGCTCCACAACCAAAATATTTCATCGTCTTAGGCATAAACCATCAATTTATAACCAAAAACAATAAAAGAAAAAACCCAGCCAGCTTAACTTTACCTGATGGAATGGCAGCATGTCGGTGCTGTGCCTCACATTTTTTCTGACAATATCAGACCAGATAATTTCCGCTCCACAACCAAAATTTTTCATGGACTCAGGGGTAACGACAACCCAAAATTTAGGGCCAAGAACGTGTGCGTGTGTTTCCTTCTTTACTCCCTTTATACAATAAAACAGAGTTCCCAAAATCTTTTGGACTTTGGGTCTGTTTCACTGGCTGCATGCTCCTGGGTCAGCAAGACAGGGATGAGACCCTCTTGAGTGACTCCATTGAGTGTAAAACCAGATGGAATGTGTATGCATAAAACAACAGCCTAGTCCACTGAATTCTCTTCCAAGTCTTAATAATGGAACAGGCTGAGTTCACAAGGCCCTGTCAGGAGCAAGAGAAAGAAACCTCACTTTCCTGGCCCCATTAGCTTTACATAATTTAACCATTCCAGCCTAACTAGATTGATGAGCACCAAGGCAGTGCTGCAGGATGTTGGGACATTATACCAAAGGGAAATGGACAGGAGGGGAAGAAATGAAGAGAAGAGTGAGAAGGGGAAGGCAAATAAGAGAGGGAAAAAGAGGCAAATGGTAAGGGAGATTGAAAGAGAATGACATGCACAAGGGAGGAGGAAAAATACACTTCTAAATTAACAGACTAGCATAGGCATTCAAGTTGAAATGATATGAAGGAGGAAGCACGAAGTGTCACTAAAGAAATGCAAGGAAATGGTGTAACACCTGCAGATGGGTGGCCTCAAACAGAGAGACAGAGGAAGCACTTTAAAACCACTGCTGCTACTAAGGATCATGGACATACAGGCTCTTCTTCTTTGGTGACAGTGTGCTATGGGGTGCTTTGGCATGATAAGTTGAGTGCTATGTGTGTGATTATGGCTCAGTGGTAATTGCACTGCTGCATACCTGCACATGACCCCATAAACTAGGCCCTCTGATTCTAGGCCAAGTAGCACCCATTAATAGAGACTAGAACAGAAGCTTTTTACTGCTTTCCGGAGCATCTGAGGTAGGCAGATATCCTCGCTCACTCTTTGAGAGCTCTAAGTATACCTCCACATGGAGGCAAAACAAGAATGAAATGCTTCCTTTCATCCAAAGCTCCCTAGGGTGTCATGCAAAAGAAAATGCATGCATTTTTAAAATGGTTCCCATGATAGGGATAGAAAGCTGACTGATGAAAGCTCAGGGTGATTTAAGGTTGTTAGCTGTGAGTGGAAACCTGGAGAAAATTAGCAAAGATTTAAAAAAAAAAAACATAAGCCTACATTAGAAGAATTAGGTGCATGGATTTGATACATTCTAGCCTGTAATGGTTCTGAATTCAATCTCTGCTTTATATCTGGATCAATAAAGAAAAAAGTTCTCTGTATTCATTAATGCTGCCCTACCCTGGGGGTAAGTTAAGCATGGCTGCCTTCGAGGATGAGGACTTGATGGTGAGAAGTGGCAGCTGAGACTGCAGGCTTATCCAGGAATAAGGCTGGGCGATGAGAACTGCAGACCTGAGTGCTGCGGTCATATCCTTTTCTATGAGTGGAGATAAAAGGTGAAATGGTCACTCATACTGCAGTCAAAAATCACAAATGTGCTGGGACATGATCATATATAATTCAGTCTTCATAACATTGACATTATTAGAAAATTGTTTTGTTTTAATCTTTGAGTTTGTATTAATGTGTGTGCGTGTTTGGTATAAAAGAAATCCTTACTCTTCCCAGCTGTATCTCCCCACAGAAGCAGAGGAGAGAAGCTGATGAGGATCTGCGAAGTTTGCAGGCTGTCAACACACAGGTACTGAGTGCCTCTCACCTCCAGACACTGGGACACACACACACACACACACACACACACACACACACACACACACACACACACACACACACACACACACACACACACACACACACACACACTGACTTTCAATATCAGTTTAAAACCAGATAGTGAAAAAACAAGCGTAAGAGAGAAAGAAGAGAAAGCCTCAGGGACAGATGATGGATAAACTGATAGAGGGGTAGCTTAGTGGAAGAGAGGCACAAGGAGAAGGAGAGAAGGGGAGGAAATGAGAAGATAAAGGAAGGGGCTGAGTGACTCTAAGACGCATTTGAAGTGACACCAGGCTGAGAGAGAAGGAAAGGTGAATTTAGCATTGAAAGGAAAAAAATACACAGGTGAGAAAGACAAAGCAAGAGACAAAAAAAGGGAGAGAAGGAGAGATAGAGAACAAAAGGAGAGGGGCAGAGTTTGAACATGTTTGGAATGACAAGTAGATTAAGCTCTATACACACAAACATCCTTCCCAAACACACACAAACACTGCCACAGACTTGCACCAAAAGTCAGACAAGAACGCAGCTACACCCTCATGCACAGTCTATGGAGTACATTTGAAAAAAACACAAGGCTAACTTTAAGAACTGCACTTAATCCTTTCTTCCTGATAAATTGAACTTTCACCTCGTACAGGACAAATATCAGACTAAGACACCTTATTTTACAAACAGCAGTTCTTTCCAAAAATAAATATATCAGTATGTGATAGGTTTTGTTTATCTTTTTGCACATGCACAGCCCTTCCCTTGGTTTTTTCACCACTCCAATGATCTCCAGCTGGGACATAACATGATGAAATGCAGCCAGGCATAAATTGTTGGGTTCAAACTAATTTCAAATACTTGTGAAAATCAACTTTGCATGAAGTTAAATGTGCTTTTAGATGTGCTTCAAGATTGCATAGGGTACTCTGTCCCATGTATGATTCAACCCAACCCTGTAAAAACTTTGAGTAACTTTAAATCTTGGTGTAAATGCCCGGGTATGTGTCTGTGCAATGTAATGTGTGTACCTCATGGCTTGCTACAGCAGATGTCACTTGGAGGGAACTGGTGGTAAGAGAGTGTGTTGATCCAGAGGAGTTGTTATTTGTTGCAGTTTTAGGTAAGACAGTGCTCTGCAGAAGCACACAGGTAAGTTAATGAAAATATTTGGTGTTTAAAGCATGGATGTGTCAAAACACTGATATGAAATCAAAAAAGGATGATTAAAGCAAAGCTGAGAAAGTAAGACAAGAGCACTGAGGAATAAAGAAACAGAAATCAGGCTTATTTCAGATGTATACTGTACCTTAAAATGAGATTTATGGACATGATGTGGGTAGATCTGTGGTTTATGGAACACCAAGAGAGTCCTGGAAGAAACAAAGGAGGATCTGTTTTAGTCCAATCAACCAAAGCAAACTTCATCCTTACCACATTATTTTTTAGGCTCCTCAACAATCCCTGTTTTCAAAATTACAATGTTTTCTATCTGCATGGTATGCTTGAAGATTCTACACCCATGCATGTGTGTGGATGTTTTTTACTGAAAGCACTTGGCAAAGTCCTCCAGGTCCACCCAGGTCTGCTGCAGGATAGGTTTGAAAGCAGCTGAAGGTTCTTCAGTAAGTGGCTCCTGTGCTGCAGTTTTTGGACGGTCTGGAAATAGAGTTGAAATTCCAGATATCAGAATAACACTATTTGTGTTCTTCGCCATTTGTATTTATTTTATGCTCTCTAATGTTGCTCCCACAAAGCTGTAGCAACTCCACATAGGAAAATCAAGGTAAGTAGCATTCAAGTTGACTGGTGGTCATCATGCCACACTCGATACCAAACAGATACAGAATTGTCTGTGAAATCTACCATTTCAAAATGCTGTCAGTAACAAAAAGCCTTTCCTCTTGTGACTCACAGCAAGTTATCCTAGACTCAAATCATTATCTGAAACCCGGTGAGCCAAATTGGCCAAACTCCCACATAATGGCACTGTGTAAGCACACATGCACATCCACACGCCCACTCCTAGACTCCCACTATCTCTATGCATCCAGAGACATAGACATATACAGGCAGACACATATTCCACACAAAAACACATACATGCTTGCACACGCACTCGCACAAACAGTTTCTCTGCCCCCAAGCTCCTCTCAAAGCGAGATGTCTGATCAGAGAACTGAGGCGGCGAGGGGCCACTGGCTCTGCTGCTGAGCAATGGTGGTCTGCTAACTCAAACTGCAGGTGTTACTAAGCAACTAAACGGGGGCAGAGAGAAAGCAGGGAATTGGCTGTTTGTCATAACGCACAATTTCCCAAGTGTCTTGGCCAACTGATTAAGGCACAGAGGGAGAGATGGAGGCAAGAGAAGCAAATACTAATAATCACAGTGGTAGGACTATGCTGCTCAAATGCTGCCCAAGTCAATCAGTTATTACGACCTTGACTCATACATGACATATCATTTAAAAAATAGAACAAAGAAGCACCTAATTCCTCTGGCAACCTTATTTATGACTATTCTGTGTGAAAACAGGGCGCAAATCCTCATTGTCTACATTAATTAATGTTCCAGTGTCGCAAAGACCCTGTTTTTACCATTGGTGTTTTCATCGTTGTCCTTCTTCTTGTCCTCTGCAGTAACCTAAAGGAAAACAGACAGACAGCGAGACAGAGATTTAGAGAGTTGCTGATAGAGTAACACTGCCAGAGATCCGCCTTTACCCTTGAGTGACTCCATGCCAGCTGTGGTATTGCACCGTTTTCACAAAACACCACAGGACATAAGACACTGTTTCAATGCGACAAACACCAGCACTAATTTACTTTCCTTGTCAGTGACAAACGAGGAGTTATTTTGTTGTTGATCGAGTTATTTCTCCCTGGGGGGATTTACTCAACCTCTCAGGCTTTCAAGCTTGTCTGTCCTATACAACCAAAATTACAACTACTTAGTCATTATCACATCCTTCAAATGATAGAATATTATTTCTGATTAGGTAAGCATGTGTAGAAAGTCAAGCATGTGTAGAGTTGGATTTAAGTGTAGGAAATTCTGCTAATCTATCTGGTGGACAATTTTCAGTGTCCACCAGTTTATCCAGCTAAAATCCAGCTAAAATAAAGAGCCATCAGACTTTATAATCTTATATAATTTATAATTCTTCTGTAAATAGTAGATGACTTGAGACATGACACACGAGGCTACAGTCAGCTAAATTCCCCTCTGGAGATCAATAAAGTTCTTCTTCTTTTTCAAATAAAACTATAGTTATGAGTTGTGTAACTTCCAGCAACCCCGGCAAGACTTTCTAATGAGTCAGAGAGTGTGTTTGTGTCTTTGTGTGAGTCACCACTCATTTAAATAAGTACCCGGAGACCCAGACAGATGGAAAGAGGCATTGTGACTGGAAGCACACTTGAGCTCCTCTTGACGACAATAGCCACACTTTCACTCTGAGAAAAAATGTAAATGTGTGCGTGTTCTCACAAGGGTACATGAGACTCTGAGTCAAGCACCAAGGCATGGTACGTTCTGTCCGCCCACAGTATGCTGCTTTATTAGATCACTTACCTGTGTGTTGTAAGAAGACACTGTGATGAGTAGCTCATACGCACATGGCTCCGGGGATTTAAGCCAGAGCTTTTGGAGGGCAAGGATTTTTTTTTTTGCAGTGATCAGATTACAGCTGTGGGTTCAATGGAAGACGGTGCATATATCTAATCCCGGACTTCATGGGGCTTTATTCGTGGGGCTTAATTTTACACAACCACAGGTAAAATTTTCACTTTTGACCCTTAATTGTATCTTAGTTCATATAAAAAAAATCACAAGATCAAGTTTAAGGGCCTGTGTCCATTTCATTTGTTTTATTGCCTATTTTCCATACAAAACCAGGTGATTTTGTGGCATGATCTTGAGTCATGGTAGACTAGAAACGCACAAAACATTTGCCAACAGAACCTTATAGAAATTACTGTTTTCTTTTCCATTTTAATCTGATCAGAAGTTTTCGTGTAAAGCCACCTAATAACACATTTCTATCACCAACCAATCAAAATCAAGGAGGGGGTGGGTTTTCTGATATCAACTTTGTCAACAACAACAGTGGAGGTCTGGGGCCTGTTCTACGAGGCAGGATTACTGCTTAGCGAGGTAACTTCGAGGTTAAGTTCAGGGTTTCCTGTTCTACGACGCGGGTTCACTTCTTAGCGAGGCGAGTCTCCATGGCAACATACACTGAAGAGCTAATCTGCTCCGGGGCAGGTTAGGTTCCAGATTGAACTCACAGATTATAAAAACCCCGCCCACTGACCAATGAGCTCTCTCGAAAAATGGCTTGTCCGTTCTTGGAGGATCCTATAGACCTCGGTACTCGCATTGCCTGAGGAGCACTCCGGCGCTTGAGAGTTTTCAGGGACCGCACGGACCCACTTCCTTTTCCGGATGACCACCTTTATGAAAGGCTCATATGGCCGACATATCACACAAAAAATGTAAACACGATAGGAATGAACAAATGAATGAATTCGTCTTGGAAATGAATGGGCATGGGCTGCATGGGCTGTGTAATCACAGACAACATCTCTGTACTATTTAGTAGCAGCGCACGCCCCTTGTAATAACCCCCGTAAATACTGTTGTTCAGGACTGCTTACTTGTGCTTCCTACCCAGTGTAATAACCGTTGTTCTGGCCCACATGCAACATTTTAGTTCTCATTCATGAAACGCTTAAATCAGGGACATTTTCGGGGACAGATTTAGCCGGGGACAGATCATCCAATTCGGGGACTGTCCCTGGAAATCGGGGACGTCTGGTCACCTTAGTTAAAAGCGCATGTTGAACAGTGCTATTTCAGTGTGATAATGGCATCAAAGATTAATTTTCTGCCAGCATTCTCTCCGTGCTTTTGCAGCGGTGACGGTGTTGCTTTTGAGGTTTATGATAGATTTGAATTCTTCATACTTTCTCATGATCGTCTCCTGCTCCTCATTTGTAAAGTCAAGTCCGCGGTCCTTCGCTCTCCGGCCTGCTATGATGCTCCAGACCGGTCCATGTTCGCGATTGGTCAGATGCGGCAGGCTCCGCCTTACATGAGTGAACGCGCTCATAGCAAAGCTGGATCAACTTACGAGGTTGATAACCAGCGTCGTAAGACCGTTTAGCGAGACTACTGGCTACCGTGCTAAGTTGAGCAAGGTAGCTCCAATGCTACCTCGCTAGGTTGAACTTGCTTCGTAGAACAGGCCCCTAAACTAACAGCACCTGTTTTGAAGCAACTGAGATAAAAACAAACAATGCCAATTGTGGACACCTGCCCTAAAAACCTCTTTGTGGCTCCTCAAATTCTGCAGGTGCAAGGAAATCCACTGATCCTTGGTTCACGATGAAATACTGGGAGAGTGTTTCATTAAACCATAAAGGGGATTTGGTGATTAGAAGATTTTATCCATTCCAAGCACATTAAAGATTAAAAATGCACAGTTACACTAGGATCTATAACCCTCTAATGTTGAGTGAGTAGGCCATTGAGGCTGTTAAACAATATCTGATACAGTCTGTACAATTCTAACAGCTACATAGGTACAGAGGTTGATGCATGAGGGTCAGCCAGGGTTCATAGAATTAAAGGGAGGCTTCAAAACAGCTAAAAAACCCTACTCACTTGATGTACCGTTTCCTTGACATGTGACCATCATGTGCTTGCAAAGAGCAGGCACATACACTGAGCAAAAAATGTGCCACATATATGGCACATACACCAACCAGTCCACATCAGTGCATGTGCGCATGCACATCAAACGACACATCAAATTAGCATGTCCATACTGCCCTAGCCTGGCTGCTCTATAACTGGTCACAGTTACACAAGAGGGCGATTAATATGAACTCTATTTTTTCTCTGTATGCTAGGAGTGAAGTGTAATAATGAACCCCCCAGGAGGCGCAGACACTGATGGTTCACCATCTAATTGCACTGCTTTTTTCATCAGTGTGGTACACGACCTCTCCCTGTTAGAAACCTGTGCGCCCCATCGCACACCAGAGATCCTCCTTTCCCATCTCCCCCCATTTCCTGTGCTGCTTTTATCCCTTTCAGTCCAACTGTCTCTTTCTGTCCATTTGTCAGTCTTCCTATTCCTTTTTATTCAGCATCATTGCCCCCACCCCACCCCACCCCCCTTTGATTCTGTGCTCCTTTCAGCATTTGTCTGTGTGTCTCTGAGGTTGCTCTAACCCCACTTCACATCCCTCCTCATCTCCCCTCTCTTGCTGGTGCTGTCTTTAGTGCAGATGTGCCCCTGGTCAGTGGTAGCCTGACTGGGAGACAAAATAAGTGACTTTGAGAATGGGGGGATGGCAGCCTTGTTGTCACTGACACACAGAGCTGCTCGGATGAGCCTTCAACTACATATTTACAGGGTAGACAGAGGGGTCGGGGGAGAAATAAAAGAAGATGAGGAAATAACAGGAGCAGACAACAGCAATTCTGGCTTGCTGGTATTTCGCAGTTTCCAGTGATGTACAGTTTTTCTCTAGGATTAAGTTGTGAAACAGAAGGTTTAGGGTTACAGTTAGGGTAAGGGTTAGGTTTAAAAATTCATGTAAAGCAATCCTCAAACCAAAAAAAGGGAAAAAACAAGTATTCAAGTTAATTTAGCTAAGAAAGTGCACCTAAATGTCTTTTGTTTGATTTAATTTAGTCAACAGGGGCAGTATTGTTAACGGTTACATGACAAAGGTAATAATTATCTCAGCATTATGGAAAAAGTGTTCGGTGTTAAAGGAAACTGAAATACAATAAAAGATTTCTGGGTTTTGCAAGCAAGTCTGGCCTCTGACAAGACAAATCCAATCATAGTGTAGGTTTTTGGGTAACCAGTCACATTTCAACTGGGGACATGGCTGCCCCTCGCTCTGAGGGGTTATTCATCCATAGTGTTACCTCCCAATTTGAAACTTTGTTGTATAACTATCCAACATTAAAACAATAAATGTATGTATGCACCAGCATATGAGCTCTTCTCTATAGAAGGCGTCCCAGGATCAAATATATTTCCTGAAAATCTTTTGTAGAGGTTTAATGCACACACACCAAATGTAAATGACTTTTATGAGAAAATGCAGAAAGAATGTCAAAGTACCTCTGTTGTTTCAGATGTATTGATTGATGTGTTTGTCAAACATTCTGCAGGATTGAGTTCATGGCCTTCTCTGCATTCACTCTCTTCTCTCTCAGTAATGGACACCAGAAGGGAACCATGGGAACGCTTCCCTTGAGTGCTCTGCTCGGCCGCTCTGATACACAAAGACACATTTTCATGCTACAGGTTATGCCGACATATGGCATCATATCATCATGGCATACACGATTCCATCTCATGGCAACACATTTGAGGCAACACACCGTATCATTTCCAAGAATGAGTCATGCTTGACCCATGATGGACGTGGAATGACACTGGAACAGCATAACTAACACAGCACTGCCTTGATGTGTACAGTTATAGTCAAGTGGGAACCAATATGTTGTTATAACATTGTTAAATAGCAAGCAAAGGAGAACAAAGATGAGACTATTTCATGTAGTTATAGGTATGTAAAGACATAATTTTTCATTGCCCCTTCAGGAATGAAACAGAGAAGCAAATGGGTGATGGCAGGAAAGTGGAGAAAATCAGTCAGGTGAATATACTACACTGAATCCAAGATGAAAGTTTCCTCCCTCCACAGGAAGGTCATAGTGCAGGTTAGCTGTAGAACAGTGAAATACTCCCTTACCAGCTCAACACAGCAACACATGCAGAGGAGCAGAGCAAGAAAAAAATAAGTGGTGCTGTTCCATTTCTAAGTTTTAGATATGGAGGTTGGATCATTTCTGTATACGCACAGCTCCTGGATTGGGCCAACACTGCTCTTAAAACGGTAGGAGAGAAAAGGGCTGGCAACCTCTATGAACCGCTCTGGTTTTGACAAAGGAAGCTCTACAATAAAGAGAAGAGGAGAAAAAAAATCTCACACATCATGCCAGCACTGCTATTTCACCATGTTACGCTTTTTACTGCACTTTTTTGTTTCTCTCAGAGATCAGCTGATGTCAGATAGCCTGAGCCAGCAGCTATTTTCATTACAGAATTATTGTATCTTTCCTCCACCTTTTTTCATTTCGACACGTGGTACTGTATGCACTCTGTGCTGCAGCTTTTGAATCTCCTGCATTAGCGCTCGCTCTCTTTTCTAAGCATGTTTATTTATGAAACTCACCTACACTATCACATAATTTGTGCTTTTTCATTTGTTTGATATCCTCCCATGCATCCTCCTCCTAGTTTCCCCTCCACCACCTATTCTTCCAAATTCAATTCTGATATCTCTTTTGTTTCCTGCCTCCCTCTCTGTCTCTCACGCACTTTGTGGTTCATCAGTGATCACAATCTCCTTGCGATGGCGGATGAGTTTCCATCTGGGCACAGGTGGAGGTTTGGGTGGTGCCTCCAGCTTGCATGCTCGGGTTCTGGTCAGCAGGACAATATGACTGTGCAGCAAGGAGAGACCGTACTGACGGAGAAACTCTGAGGAATTAGCCTGCGTGCAAGCATGTGACAAGACAAATGCATAGAATGAAAACACACTTCAGTCAGACAACTCTCGTCATTCTTGGAGATGTTTCTTATGGTGGCAGAGTATTGCCAGTAAAGTGTCTGTGCTATGACTGAATTCAGCTTCTCGATGCCTTCTTTATCATGTGTCTTGGTTCTCAAGACCCTCAAGACCCAACAGGATGGTCTAACAAGATGTGTCCCTTACATCTTGATCCCTCACCCCCTGGCAGCCAAAACTACCTGCACCCCTTCTTGACTCCCACCCTACATTGACCTCTTTCATCCCTTCCCTTCCTAATCCTCTCACATATTATAGATAAAAAACTATCCACTGTCAAGGTTTTGTTAGTGGAACTATGATTAATCAAACCTACAGATGAGTTAGGTTAAACTGTCAAAATGGGATTCTGGCTCAAGCTAAAATCAAAGAGGTGATGTAACATCTCTGTCAGAAGAAAAATCTGCTAACTGTCTAACAATTAACGAAGCATGACTATAGATAAATGAACCATTGAGGCCTGTTGAGGCAAAGTATCCAAATAGAAGACACCATGCCCCCAGGTCACAAGCCCTTTTATGTTTTATCTCCACCCCTATAATACTATAGGCCTATGGTTAGTATTCACAATACTGTGTGATAAAATAGAGGTACTAAAGTCATTATACCTCTATTAATGTTTTAAAAATCTGAGAAAGTTTTACAGCATGTCTACTAATGAGTGATTTGAGCGATTGACTGCTGGCTACAGAGAGGACTAAGCATATTAACACTCCTATTCCTTTGATAGATTTTTTTTTTTTTTTTTTGACCAAAGACTCTTTGCAGGTCGTGCTTAACTGCATGAATGATGTAAAGACATGGATGGATCAATTTTTTCTTTATTAAATGAAAACAAAACAGAGGTCATCCTGTTCGGTCGCCCTGACCTGATTCAGGTCCTTGCCAGCTCCTTTGGCTCACTGGCACCTTACATAGGGTCACATGCCAGGAATCTTGGTTTTATTATTGATGGTGATTTTAAATTTGACAAACAGGTCAGCACAGTGGTCAAATCTAGCTTTTATCAGCTAAGGATTCTCACCAAAGTTAAATCCTATTTAAACCAGGAGGACCTTGAAAAAGTTATCCATGCTTTTATCACATCTTGTTTAGATTACTGTAATTCCCTGTATGTCGGCATTGGCAAATCAAAGCTCAACCGGTTGCAGCTCATTCAGAATGCTGCAGCTCATCTCCTAACTGGGACCAAGAAATGAGAGCACATAACTCCGGTGCTTGCCTTTCTTCACTGGCTCCCTGTTAGGTACAGGATAGATTTTAAGATTCTTTTATTTGTTTTTAAGTCTCTGAATGGGCTGGCCCCGGAATATCTCTCCAAAACCCTGAGGTCAGCTAATCAGGTGGTTTTAGACGTTCCTTGATCCTTTTTAAAATCTAGAGGAGATAGAGCATTTTCTGTCGTGGCTCCCACTTTGTTGAACGCTTTACCCCTTACAGTGCGCACTGCTAACAGCCTTTCCACTTTTAAAACACTTCTGAAGACCCACCTGTTCACTTTAGCTTTTGGGGAAGTAAAGCTGCTTTTATTTGGTATTTTATTTATGTGCTGTGTTTATCTATATTGTTGTTTTATGTTTTTATATGTTTTATGCTTTTATTGTTTTTATAGGTTTTTTTATTGTTTTTACTGTCTCTGGCTGTTTTACTGTAAAGCACTTTGGTAGGCCACTGGCTGTTTTTAAATGTGCTATATAAATAAAGCTGACATTGACATTGACTTTTTTTTTTTGGTGTAACACAATCTTAAAGGCATTGTGTGAAGTGCACAAAGTGAAACAGGATGTGTCTGACCTTGGGGTGCCAATGGCCTAGCAGTATGCGCCCCAGGTATAGAGGCCATGGTCCTCACCACAGTGGTTGCTGGGAACTTATTGATTGCATGTCTTCCCCCTCTCTACTTTCTATATTTCCTGTCTGTCTTCAGTGTTCCTATTCAATAAAGGGAAAAATGGCTATATACATGACTTAAAAAAATGATGTTTCTGACCACATTTTGAGTTGACCAGCGAACTCTCATTCCCTCTAAGAGACAGTTGTGCCTGCAAGCAGATGTGTTGCATGCACAGCAGATTCCAATCTTTCTGCTTAAACACACTGAGCTAAGGTGGCAAGAACAGCTTTTTTCCTTCGATTGGCCACAAAAATATTTACAAAATAGGAGATAATGACACGTGCAATGTAAGCCAAAACGCTTTGTGCCAGGAGAAAGATTTGGACCTTGGTATTCAATAAGCTCGGTGACATTGTGATGCACCAGTTCCTATGCTCTAGTAGAACCAGTCTTTTTGGTTGTTGAGTGGTACTTAAAAAATTAACTGCCAAAACCAAAAGAAAAATTGTGGCTTACTGGTCACTGAGGCTCTCTTGCGACATTTTATATTCTTCCAAAAGTAACTCCAGACTGTGCGGGATTTGAAACAGGATATAAATCCTTTTCCTGCATATAGATAGATTATAGATTTGACTGCAATTTTCCAAAGGTTAAATACCTCTCATAGCTGCAGATATGCAACTGTATGACCTACGAACCAAACTTGCACTGAATAAGTCAGTGTATGTAGAGCCAGCAGTAGCGGATGAGTTGAGAAAGAGACTTACCATCTGCCCAAATCCATATGAGTTATTATGTGGATACAAAGGGTAATAGCTGGCACACACTAGCACCTCTGGAAGACCTGAAGAGAAAAAAAAAGCAGGGGAGGCTGACTAGGGCTATAAATTCACATAAATACACACAATCCTTTTAAAAACATTTTGCAAATAATAATATAATCTATAATGAAGACTTGCAAAGAACAGTAAATGTAATAGAATACAATAAAGAGCAACAGTTACAAATTAATACAATATGAAATCATGGCTATATAAATGCATAAATGACCCACAGGTAAGATGCAGGTGAAAGGTCATATGAAATATGTAGGTTATCCATGGATCACCCTGCCTCCTATGGTATGTTAGAGTGTATGATATAAGGAGCACATGAGCCAGGAGACATGAAAACTCAATTTAAGGGGCATCAGTGAAGGAAGATGGGAGCACAGCTACACTAATATAAAGGAAACACATTAAGAGTTGAACAGAGAAGTGGTTCTCTCGCTACATCATGATTGTTGCATTTTCAATTTATGCATTTCAATTGAATGTGATAGTTAGCAGCACAAGAGTGAATGTGTAAGGTTTCCTATCTATGCATGTGGGTAGAGCACCATGTCATGCATCTGTCTAATGCTTTAAAATATTCACACACTGCTGGCACAGCTATTGGGGGAAGGTTTGAGGTTGTGTGTTTTACTCAAGAATACTTTAGCATGTGGACAGTGGTACTCTGGATCGAATCCCAAGTCCTCCAATTGAGAGACGACCAGGTGTATCTATACTTTAAAAAATATAAGAAAAATATAATATAAGATGAATCCAAAGCGCATTTCTATTATCTTTATCCACAGTTGCCTAATCAAACAAAGGCAAAAATGCCACAATAATAAGTTTAAGAGTTTTTTTCTTCAATTGATAATACAACCTTGATGGAGAATACTTGATCTCTGTACCTAAAGCACCCGAGACAACTCCAAGCCACACACGTTTTTCTGATGACGTTACTCAATCCTGTTCCATCACATGACCACACTTGCCTTGGGAAGCTCTCTTGCCCTGAGGGAGCGCCGAATAATTCACCCTACCACTGCTCCCTCTGCTGCTTTATTTATAGTCCACCTTACACACACTAACTCCCCGTGCTCCATTATACATGAGTTTGAGGAAACAGGAAGTGATGCTTGAAAAAACAGGAAGAGGATGGAGGGGCACCGGCTGACTGATTACACAAATTGATGTATTTCGCAACATGGCACTGAGTGACCCCAGGCCTGCCAGTGCTGAAGTTAATCACTAAGCTATACAATGACAGTGGTAAATGTGCAGGGGATATGCCTGCAGTATGAGAATGGAATCATTGATAAGTGCAAGTTTCTGCAGAACAATGAAATATTCATTTTCATGCTCCATACTAGTTGAATTATGGATGCAGGGGGTGGGGGCGATGAAAACATACCCACACACTGCTGTGCATTCACAATGGATTCACATGCATACAAACAAAAATATAAGGAGCTGCAAGTGCACAAAGGTATACACAGCACGAGAAACACATCATATCATTTTTAAACAATCCATTGATAAGTGAATAAGATGCTGTTTTAGTCTTGCATGCATACCAGTGATCATATTCTAATGGGTGATTAATTAAATTGACTTGGGCAATTACATATGGAAGCAAAGTGTGTAATTGAGTATGTTTGCGGGTATACATGATTGTGTGCCTCACTGTGTGACTGTGCATGATTGACTGTGGTGCCATTCAAACCTTCACTTTTCTCTGGCCCTCGCAGCAGACTCCTACTGTCATTAGGGCAGGATTCTCTCCCTGCAGCTGGATCTGCAGCCTGGGGCTCTGTGTCTGACAAACTTTCATCTGGATGTGTAAATACAGGTATGGCCTCTTGTAAGAAATCCCATGTTTTTCCCAGGTTTACAAACCTAAGTGCAGTAGAAATTATGATTATGGTTAGGACAGAATACAAGGGGAATACATTATTGCTGTGTATATAGGTTAAACGTTTTAACAATTTTCTTAAATACCTGTAACTTTGCTAAAGCCAACTGCATTTTTGACTTAAGTTAAAATGGCTTTTCTCGTTATTTTAGTTGCATTTTTATGTTAAAGATATCTTTTTAATCAAACTTATGATTCATGGTGATACAAATGAGAGGAGAGGAGGGTGAGCCGAGCAACAATATCAATGTGACATACATTTTACTCCACCTCAACTAATTTTTCTTAGAATAGAATAGAATATTCCTTTATTAATCCCCCATGGGGAATTTTTTATTTTTTATTTTTTGCCACAGCAGCATCACAGACAAAGAAAGTGCAAAAATGCAGATATAAAAATAAAGATCGTAATATTCTTCTTGTGAAATTCTAAATCTAAATCGAGCAGTTCAACGGAGGTAGAGGGGACAAGAGCAAAAAAGCCTGGTCAACATCAATAAATCATAAACAATGGGGGACGCATCAGGATCTTACGGGCACTGTAATCTTTCTGCTGGACAGGTAAACCGCTTTAACGAAGGATGGCCCCGTATTGTCTTGGCGTCTGTACCAAAACATGTATCACTGTTTACACATCGTATTGTACATAGGCTTAGTGCATTTACATGACAACCCAAAATCCACGCAAAATCCTGTAGTACATACGCCCGGCCTAAAGGTGACACTGTGAAATTGCCAGAAAGCACCAAAAACAGAGAATGTGCATGTGCATACATACATGCTGTGTGTGTGTGACAACATGGGTTGGGGGGGCGGGGAGGAGGAGGGGTGCTATGAAGTCACCGTCTTTTCTGGACTTATCTATTTATACCAACTGCGGCATAGAATAGAATAGAATAGAATATTCCTTTATTGATCCCCCATGGGGGAAATTTTTTTTGTCACAGCAGCATCACAGACAAAGAGTGCAAAAATGCAGTTATAAAAATAAAGATCCTAATATTAAGAACTTAAATAAATGTAATAATTAAGAAAAAATTTAGAAAAAGGAAAAAGGGAGAAGAAAAATAAAAATAAAAATAAGACATGAAAATAAGGCATGAAGACGAATACACAGATATCCACCTGCAAACCCGTTTTCAAAAAAGTTGTGGAGTCATGGACGAATATGCGTCTCTGTGTGTCAATATCACCAGATCGATAGTTTATTTTACCGGTGTCTTACAAATACGTATTCGTGTAAAGACCACCTTAGAAGTCCTGCAAACATTGTGTTTGCTGGTAGTCTGTTGGCATCTACAGTAGCACCAAAGATTTTACTTACACGTTGACTAGGCCCCATTTGTAATTATCTGCATTATATCTGAATTTAATTTAAATGAAACAAGCAAGCAGGAGCGTCTGTTTGTGGGCGGGGCTTTTTGGAGCAAAGATGGAGGGGAGAGGAGGAGCTGAGGGGAAAACTGGTTGGGAGGGGTAGTGTTTACATTCAAGATTCCTCCCAAAAACTGGCACTTCATCAGATCCTGCCTACCCCACTTTTAAGTGTGACTTCCAAAGTCCAACACTATTGTTTGCCATTTGTAACCAAAACAAATTAATATCAATAGCAGTGGAGCATTTTTACTTGCAGTTTAGTGTGCCCGACAAATAATCTATGAGCTGACTTTGAGGCAGACAGAATAAGATAAAATTAAAATAAGATACAACAGCCTTCATCAAGCTCGTATGATTAAAAGTAGCACATACAACAAAACAGGACAGGATGTCACTTTGTGAATACAGTGGGCTCTATTTTCGTGCTTCGCCGAGTGAGTGGCAAGAAGAAAGGAGGAGGTCTGGCTTTATTTGTCAACCAGAGATGGTGTAACCCTTCACACATAACTGTCAAAAAGAAGTTGTGTTGTCCAGATATTGAACTGTTGGCAGTTGCTCTTCGGCCATATTATGTTCCGAGAGAATTAAGTCAAAGAAGCAGAGCCCTGCCTTAACACCACTGGGCAAGTTAGATCATAACTTGGTCTATCTGCAAACCTGTTAAAGACCTTGTGTACTGAGGCAGCCTGTGACCAAAGTCAAAATCAGAAGATGGACACCTCAAGCCAGTGAAGCTCTAAGGGACTGTTTTAAATCAACAGACTGGAATGTGCTGCTGGAAACAGATGTGGATAGTATGAACATTGACAAAGAGGTTGCCCTCTTCACTGAATATGTCAACTTCTCTAGAGACACAGTTATACCCACAAAGACTGTTCGCTGATTCCCCAACAACAAACCCTGGATCACAAGTGACATAAAAGCAATCCTTCACCAGAAAAAGAAAGCTTTTAAAGATGGTGACAAAGAATGACTCAAAAAAGTGCAATAAGAGTTGAAGAGGAGACTGAAGATGGCAAAGCTGGAGTACAAAAAGAAATTAGAGAAGAATCTACAACACAGCAACATCCGTGAAGTGTAGAGAGGAATCAGTACCATCTCTGGACAAAGCAATGAAAAGAAAAGACAGCCAGTGGTGGGTGATCTGGGAAGAGCTGAGGAACTCAACCTGTTCTTCAACAGATTTGACACTGTTGTCACACCCACTTCCACTGCTACTCCACCTTTCTCCCTGCAACAAATCTCCACTACAACTTCTCTAGTTCCTCCTCCATCTCATTCAAAGGTCTCAACCACTTCAACTGCCTCCCTCCTAGAACACCAGTCCTTGTCTGTCACCAAAACAGGGGTGAGGATGGAGCATGGAAGACTGCAGAACTGTGTCAACCTCTCCACAGGATCTTCAACCTGAGTCTACAGCTGGGGAGGGTACCTACTCTGTGGAAAACATCCTGCATCGTGCCAGTACCAAAAACAAAATGCCCTGCTGAACTCAATGACTACAGACCAGTGGCCCTCACGTCACACATTATGAAAACCCTGGAGCGGCTGATTCTGCGCCTTCTGAGGTCTGAGGTCAAAGACAAACTGGATTCCCTGCAGTTTGCATACAAAGAACACATTGGAGTGGATGATGCTGTTCTCTATATGCTTCACTGTGCCCTGTCTCATCTGGAGGAACCTGGGGTTTATGTGAGGATCATGTTCTTTGACTTTTCAAGTGAGTGCACTCAACACCATCCAACCCAACATACTAAAAGACAAGCTTACAGAGATGGGAATGGACCCTTTCTGTGTTTCCTGGATCACAGATTACCTGACAGGAAGGCCACAGTTTTTCAGGCTGGGGAACTGTGTTTCTGGGACATTAATGAGCAGTACATGGGCTCCACAATGGACAGTGCTGGCGCCATTCCTGTTCACACTGTATACGTCAGACTTCAAATACAGCACTGAGTCCTGCCACATCCAGAAATACTCAGATGACACCGCTATTGTGGCATGTATCAGAAATGGACAAGAATCTGAATACAGAGATCTGATAAGAGCCTTCAGTGACTGGAGTCACAAAAACTGCCTCCTCCTCAACACCTCAAAGACAAAGGAGATGGTCATAGACTTCCGTAGATCCAAACCCCCTCTCCAGCCAGTGAACACCTGTGGAGTGGACATCGAAGTGGTGACATCATATAAATACCTAGGTGTACATCTGGATAATAAGTTGGACTGGTCTAAGAATATAGACTTCATCTACAGAAAGGGGCAGAGCTGCCTCTTTTACCTGAGAAGACTCCAATCAATAGACATCTGTACTAAGATGCTGCAGATGTTTTATCAGTCTGTGGTGGCAAGTGTTCTGTTCTACGCTGCAGTCTGCTGGAGAGGAAGCATCAAACACAAAGATGCAAGGTGTCTCAACAAACTGGTTAAAAAGGCTGGCTCTGTGGTAGGATCAAGCTGGACTCAGTGGAGGATGTGGTGGAGAGATCTACACTGAGGAAGGTGGAGACTATTCTCAAGAACATGGCTCACCCACTTCACAACACCTTAATGGACCAAAGGGCCAATGGTGGTGGACAGCCCCTCTCTTCGCTGCAGGACAGAAAGATTCAGAAGATCTTTTGTACCAACAGCCATCAGGCTTCATAACTCTAGTGTAAATAGGAGATAACTTTTAAAGACATATAATGTGAGACAACAGACAATTGAATGTCCCTTCAGGGATTAATAAAGTTCTTCTTATTCTTATTCTGAAAAGACAGCAGTAGGCTTGTGATGATGCATTACGGCATAGTGTAAATGTTTTTTTCTTTTGAGAATGTATTAATTTGACTTAAATTTAAAGTTGAGTGCACCTCAAGATTTTTTTGAACCAAACAATGGCCATTAATCTAAATCTTAACCAACTTTATATGACAATTCTAAGTAGTTTTTCCCCTTATTCTATATGACTGGTTGCAGTGCTCTTTTTTATAAGATAGAAATAAATGCGATGAGAGGAACAACTTTTTGATGGTACACAACTAAAAGATCTAAAATCCACTAAATCAACCAGCAACACAAAATTCTACGTTCAGGTTGTGTGAATGTTGATCGATTCCACAGGTAATCCAGACACAGCAGCAATCCTGCTGAGCTGTTGAAAATAATTCTTCCCTGCTTTAATCCAAAAGATATGCTCAATAGAGTTTGATTGGAAGCAAGCTGAGATCCTCCATTTTGACATGCAACCTCCCTTGAAATGACAGATCATTTCATTTTTACATGTGCTTTTCTCTGTCTGGATTCTTTTGAGGAAAAATCAACATACCTTTGTGACTTTATCTTAAAGCTATAGGGCTCTATTTTTATGCCTCACCAGTGGCGAGGCGGACCTGAGAATAGAGTCATCCCCTGAGGTGCAAAAATTTAGACCGACAATTTTAGATGTTGATAAAAAATCAAATTTTTGATACAGTCTACCGTGCTGACCAATTTTGTGCTTGTTTTGAAGTGTCTCGTAATCCAGGAAACTCCAACAGAGCTGATGAGTACATCGCTTAGGTCCTGTCTACACAACAAAAAACATCAGGAGTAAATGTCATATTGACGTTTCATCCACATGCAAATGGTATTTCGGGTGAATGTAATGCTTTGAAAACGGGTCCAGGAGTGCATAAATCCATATATAACGACTGCAATTTTGTCTCCATGTGGATGCCTATCCTTCTCCCTTGAAACGATAACATCACACACTGGTGTCTTCTTTACAGATTGTTGAACTGCATAGGGCACAAAACCTTTATATGCATGCTCCGTACGTTACGTAACTTACTGCCTGTAAGTTACGCACCACTACCAAGTAAGTAATGTTTATACAAACAGTTCTACAAGGGCCAGCTCCCTGCTCACTATGTGTCCCCCTACCAACAATAGAAAAACAAATTTGAGTTATAACAACTATGAGAGCTAATGTTTAGCAGTAAGATTTAATTTTAATGCTTATTTAACCCCAAAAACCTGTGGACACCTTGCTGACCATGAAATCAAAGGCACTGTTTTAAAAGCTGTTGAAACATTTTGAAATCAACTAAATTTCCTAGATCAATATTATGTATCAACTTGTTTACAGCTGTAATTGCCTCAAGGTGAAGGTGCCTGCGCTGAAAGCTGACCAGGTTTGAATCGGCAAGCTTTCAGTGCACTTTTCACGCCGCCGGCGAGCAAGAAAATGTCACTGTGCCAGCTGATTCTGTCGACACCTCCCCCTGCCGCACCCCCACGCCCAGCTTGGCACACCTCAGAGTACCTCAGTCTATGAAAATGCCAAACTGGCTGTGCGCCCGGCCAGATGGAAAATACCACTGCCTGGGGTGCGCCACCATCCGCCACGCCAACGACGAGCACGAAAATAGAGCCCTATAGCTTAAATTGTGTACAACTGGAGAGGGGGTATGCAGCATTTGAGGCTGCATGTGTTCATTCAATGCTACACAACATTAGGAAGTTTGATCAATTCTAACATTTCCAATTATAAAGCAGAAAATTGTAACAGCCGTATAAATTTAGACTCAAAAAGAAGTAGGCATGCATGATATTTCGAAAAATACAATAACAAAAGGAGATGACAGATCATGGGGGTCTACCTCATAGGACTGACTTCTGGAATCCATCCAGTGAGAATGTGGGTGAAGGTGAGTTCACCCATCTCATTGCAGACCTCTGACATGACACTAATGCACAAACACAGAAAAATTAGTTTTAGAAAATATGCAGGAACTTAACATCCAGTGTGGTAGAATCAGTGCATAAAATTATACAAATTTCTGTCTAAACAAGACATGGAAAAACTTGTTTGTGCATTTATTCTTAGTAGGTTAGATTATTGCAATGGTGTCTTAACAGGTCTCAGTGAAAAATCAATCAAGCAGCTGCAGCTCATCCAGAAAGCTGCTGCCAGAGTCCTGACCAACAGCAGGAAAATGGACCATATCACACCTGTCCTTAAGTCCCTGCACTTGCTCCCTGCGAGTCAAAGGATAGAGTTTAAAATCCTGTTACCAGTCTACAAATCACTCAATGGTCTTTGGCCTCAATACATGTCGGAGCTGCTGGTTGGGTATGAAGCATCCAGACCTCTCAAGTCGTCAGGGACAGGTCTATCCATTGTTTCCAGGATTAGAACCAAGCAGGATAAAGCTGCATTCAGCTTCTGTGGTCCTCACCTGTGGGACAGACTCCCTGAACACCTCCAGTGTGCTCAAACTGTCAGCTCATTCAAATCAGGGCTAAAAACATTCCTGTTTACTGTTGCTTTCCTACAGCTTCAGTTTCTTTTACTTCCACTTTGATATCAACTGCTCTGCCATTTTCAACAGTAATGATTTTAATTTACATTTTAATAAATGATCGATTTTAAGATTGATTCAAAATTGTTTTATCTCTCTTTTTTTCATTTCCATTATATTTCCTTGCATCTGTAAAACACTTTGAGTTGCCTTGTGTATGAATGGTGCTATACAAATAAACTAGCATTATTGACCTCCATGGACTAACAATAATTAAGTATTAGGGTTAGGGTATCCTCAGAGAAAGTCCCACACATGACACTGTCAACATCAAGATATCTGTGTTGCCTTATCTGGCTTGGATGTTGCTTGCTATGTCTGTTTTAACCATTATTAGAACCCCAGGAACTGGGAGAGAGGCACCTGTGTTTTCCTGTCTGGGATGAAACATTTATACTTCGACCTTCTACACTGCAACAGCCACCTTAGTGCACACTATGCTGCCTCATCTCAGACACGCACATCAGTTGTCTGTCACCAAATTCAGCACAGCTCGAGGCAGAGAGTATGTCAGGTGAAGGTTTGGCTGAGTCAGCGAGGGACACTCTGTGAGAGCTCAGCAGGTGTTGGAGCTGTAAATTGTGTAGTTCACCTTGTTAGGTACATACATTTATATTTCATAGATTTTCTCCTGTTTTGTGTCGTGCTTGTACTACTACTCGGTGTACCTCTAAAGTCACCCTTCTGGGACCGATAAAGTGATTTGAATTAAATTTCCTCATTAATATGTGCTGTTACAGTGGCCTCTTTAACTCAGGCTGTGTTACGGCTGCAGCTGCGTCCTTTCTCTCAAGGTGGCTACCTGTGTTGCCTTTTACCATGTTTGGAAGTGTCTCTCCGTGTGCCTGCAAGTGGATGTGATTCTACAGGAACAGCTGCGGATTGGATAATGGTCCAAGTCAGCAGGACCAATCGTAGGGGAGTGGACTGTTAAAGAGGCTGCCGATTGGAGTGCTCGGGGGCAGACATTCGCGTTCATTCTGTAGACACTTTTTTAGGGAGATCTTCGTGTGTTAACTACTGTTGAGGCGACATTGTATATTTCTTTTATCATCTTGTAAAGGATTAGGGTGCTGCTGACCATTTGATCATTTAAAACTGCTAGTTGAGTTAATTTGATTAGGGGCCGGTTTCTTTACTCAAATTTAAGAGTTGCCTTTTGTTGCAGTTGTTTGTTTCTTTGAGCAGTATTCCTTATTCCTTTGTTTTTTGCCTCAAATTTATGTTGGAACAGCACTTCCTGATTTATTTTGCAATTAAACAACCATTTTACTACAACTAAACCGGGGTTGATGTTACGTCCTTTCCCGTCCCGAGCTGGGTTGTAACAGGCTGCATAGCTATACACCAGTGAGGTGGTTTACTCAACACCTTGGAGGATTACTGTGATGATTATAGAGGTGCTGTTGTAATCTGCAGTCACTCACTTTGTGCTGGCCACTTTAATGAGTGCCTTAGCCAGCAACATTGGCCACAGCTCTGACTGACAGGTGGAGGCAGGGAGAAGCAAGTTGTTGTCTTCATCAAATGGCATGGAATCATCAACTGTTATCTTCCTCCAACAACCCTGGAAAGAGGAGGAGGAATCAGAGTGTGAAGAGAATTGATCAATTTAACGCACTGCAACAATGCAAGCACCCAGGAAATCAGGCCCTCTTCAATCAGTTAAGTATTTTTTAAAGCAAGAGCAAAACATGTACATCTGTGGTGGATCTGAAACTACTAATGGAGGGCAAGTATCACACCAAATGATTAACTGCTGCTGGTGATACAACCTTATTTACATGACCCATGGCAAATATTGTCCAATGAGATCAGTTTGACTGTCAACAAACAACAGGACAGGAGTTTGTCAATACATAAGAGCAGGACAAAATCAGCAAACACCACTCAGTGCACACAAGGCACCAAAATCAGCACAAACTTAGTCCCTCACTGTGGCTGACATGTAAAATAACCCTTTTTAATTTCAGTGGAATTTGCATTGCTATTCTACATGACTGAAATCAACAAAGCTGTATGCAAACTTAAAAGCTGTTAAGTGAAACATCTTTTAGGCAAAAACCATAGACTGTATGCAGAATGGACAGAGTCTGCCTCCTCGCTGGGTGAAGCCCTTTCGAGAACAGCACCCTCTGATGGTGGGCTGCAGTACAGGTCATAAATCCCGCCTCCGCCAGCAAAGTTTATGGGACTGTGGACAAACTTTAGAAATTTATTACACAGAACATAAATTTTTCTCCCCCCTGCTTGTGATGTTGACATGTAGTTACAGTAAGACTGGTTTGTGCCCAAGTCCCTTTTTTTCTGTACAGCTCAGTTTTTAAAAGTTATTAGGGGGTTCATGTTTTCTATGATTGACACCTGGTACAGCCTATGGGCGTTCAGGGATTGTGTAGCTCACCAGGGGGGATACGCTGTTTGAGCCGAGCGTCATCACAGGGACTCTCGGAGACTGCGCGGCCGAATGCGCGCATCGCTACTGCGCAGCTCTGGTTTCAAGGAAGTGGAGAAAAACCCGGAATTACTGAGAGCTTTTTGGCTTCAAATCCGTATACAGGCGGAAGGCGGAACCAGGTTGTCCATAGTATATAGTCTATGGCAAAAACCTCTGTTTATTTCTAATCCTCTTTGGAGTGACAGAACTGGGAAACTGTGTATTGATAACATTTATAAAAGTGTAGCAGTCACTGCTGATCCTCACCCTTACCCACACATTTATAAGAAGACAGCTGTTAATCTAGTTTTATGACCCAGATAAAAACCTCATAACAACAGCAGAGGTTCACTGGTTAACGTTTTTCAAAGGTTGATGCCAGTATCAATTATAAGACAGCAGGGTGGAAAATGGCCCATAAATAATGTTGATATGCTGAATATTCTGAATCTTTGATCAAAGTCTGATCAACTCTTGGTATAAAGAATCATTGAATTGGGAATCACTGCAACTGGAGCAAGCTTTCAAAGAGGGACACAAAGATAATTAGACACCACATTGAAAAGGATTTTAAGATGCAGCATTGGTGCACTGAGAATCTGTGTTGATGTTCAAATTGATGCTAATCACACTAACAGAGATGTAATGACTGATATTAATCACAAATGTAATGATTCAAACAGCATCAGTATTACATTTAGACCCTGTTAACGGTTTTGGTGTCTTTAATCACAGTAGTAGTGATTTAAAAATAAGAATAACTTTATTTTATCCCCAAAGGGAAATTCAGTTGTCTGTAGTCTCACTTGTCATATCTCAAAAAGTCTACTATTTATTGAAGAGTTATTGAGTCTGATTTCTGTGGGTACAAAAGATCTTCTGAATCTTTCTGTCCTGCAGCGAAGAGAGAGGGGCTGTCCACCACCATGGGCCCTTTGGTCCATTAAGGTGTTATGAAGTGGGTGTTCCATGTTCCTTAGAATAGCCTCCATCTTCCTCAGTTTGCAGTTTGCATTCTCCACCAAAAGTCTGAATTCAGCCACATGGACAAAGAGGGGAATGACCGAATGAACTGTGACAATCTTCTTGAAGACAAAGATGTCCTCTGTTGTCATGGTTCTTCACCTTTAAATGAAAACTGGTATGCTTTGTCTCGGGGGTTCCCTCAGCTGGGACATCAGGTCCACATGCCCCTGGAGTTCCTTCTGTGGTTCTTCTTCCTTTCTTTTTTCATTCCAGAACCTGCACTTAACCAAAGAGAAGCAAAGTCTAGTCTCTGAATTTTTAGAGTTCTTTGTTTGTTTGTTTGTTCTTGCTCCATTTTTCATGTTTTTGTTGTGTTTTGTCGACTGCCGATGGATGTTTCTGCTGGGATAGGAGTTTGTTCAAGAGAGGAGCTTCTTTCAATGGGATGGAGTGGGTCTAGATGACAGCATCCAGCTCAGTGGACATTAGAAGGTGTTTTTTGTGGTTGCTGTGCTGGTGTGGAAGTGAAGGCAAAGTTGAAGGGTCGGAAATGGAGATAAAATTCAAATGATTCGCTTGAGCCGAGAGGTTGCTGCAAGTATGGTCTCTCCATATTAGCTGTAATTTTTGCTAGAATTTTTTCATATTTTGTTGTCATTTTGTTGGCAACTGATGGATACTTCGGCTGGGCGAAGAGTTTGCTCAAAAGAGGAGCTCCTTTTCATTGAGGAAAAGCAAATCTGGACAGCATACAATTACAGAGGACATCAGGAGGTGTTGTCCTGGTTGCCATGCTGGTGCAAAGGTATAGGCAAAGATGAATAAGAATGAGAATAAGAATAAGGAGAAATTTATTAATCTCCGAAGGGAAATTCAGTTGTCTTTTCTCTCACATAACATGTCTCTAAAAGTTATCTACTATTACACAAGAGTTAGAAAGCCTGATGGCTGTTGGTACAAAAGATCTTCTGAATCTTTCTGTCCTGCAGCGAAGAGAGAGGGGCTGTCCACCACCATGGGCCCTTTGGTCCATTAAGGTGTTGTGAAGTGGGTGAGCCATGTTCTTTAGAATAGTCTCCACCTTCCTTAGTGTAGATCTCTCCACCTTATTCTTATTCTCATTCTTATTCATCTTTGCCTATACCTTTGCACCAGCATGGCAACCAGGACAACACCTCCTGATGTCCTACTGAGTCCAGCTTGATCCTACCACAGAGCCAGCCTTTTTAACCAGTTTGTTGAGACACCTTGCATCTTTGTGTTTGATGCTTCCTCTCCAGCAGACTGCAGCGTAGAACAGAACACTTGCCACCACAGACTGATAAAACATCTGCAGCATCTTAGTACAGATGTCTATTGATTGGAGTCTTCTCAGGTAAAAGAGGCAGCTCTGCCCCTTTCTGTAGATGAAGTCTACACTCACCGGCCACTTTATTAGGTACACCTGTCCAACTGCTCGTTAACGCTTAATTTCTAATCAGCCAATCACATGGCGGCAACTTAGTGCATTTAGGCATGTAGACATGGTCAAGACAATCTCCTGCAGTTCAAACCGAGCATCAGTATGGGGAAGAAAGGTGATTTGAGTGACTTTGAACGTGGCATGGTTGTTGGTGCTAGAAGGGCTGGTCTGAGTATTTCAGAAACTGCTGATCTACTGGGATTTTCACGCACAACCATCTCTAGGGTTTACAGAGAATGGTCCGAAAAAAGAAAAATATCCAGTGAGCGGCAGTTCTGTGGGCGGAAATGCCTTGTTGATGCCAGAGGTCAGAGGAGAATGGCCAGACTGGTTCGAGATGATAGAAAGGCAACAGTGACTCAAATAACCACCCGTTACAACCAAGGTAGGCAGAAGAGCATCTCTGAATGCACAGTACGTCGAACTTTGAGGCAGATGGGCTACAGCAGCAGAAGACCACACCGGGTGCCACTCCTTTCAGCTAAGAACAGGAAACTGAGGCTACAATTTGCACAAGCTCATCGAAATTGGACAATAGAAGATTGGAAAAACGTTGCCTGGTCTGATGAGTCTCGATTTCTGCTGCGACATTCGGATGGTAGGGTCAGAATTTGGCGTCAACAACATGAAAGCATGGATCCATCCTGCCTTGTATCAACGGTTCAGGCTGGTGGTGGTGGTGTCATGGTGTGGGGAATATTTTCTTGGCACTCTTTGGGCCCCTTGGTACCAATTGAGCATCGTTGCAACGCCACAGCCTACCTGAGTATTGTTGCTGACCATGTCCATCCCTTTATGACCACAATGTACCCAACTTCTGATGGCTACTTTCAGCAGGATAATGTGCCATGTCATAAAGCTGGAATCATCTCAGACTGGTTTCTTGAACGTGACAATGAGTTCACTGTACTCAAATGGCCTCCACAGTCACCAGATCTCAATCCAATAGAGCATCTTTGGGATGTGGTGGAACGGGAGATTCGCATCATGGATGTGCAGCCGACAAATCTGCGGCAACTGTGTGATGCCATCATGTCAATATGGACCAAGCTCTCTGAGGAATGCTTCCAGCACCTTGTTGAATCTATGCCACGAAGAATTGAGGCAGTTCTGAAGGCAAAAGCGGGTCCAACCCGTTACTAGCATGGTGTACCTAATAAAGTGGCCGGTGAGTGTATATTCTTAGACCAGTCCAACTTATTATCCAGGTGTACACCTAGGTATTTATATGAAATCACCACTTCGATGTCCACTCCACAGGTGTTCACTGGATGGAGAGGGGGTTTGGATCTATGGAAGTCTATGACCATCTCCTTTGTCTTTGAGGTGTTGAGGAGGAGGCAGTTTTTGTGACTCCAGTCACTGAAGGCTCTTATCAGATCTCTGTATTCAGATTCTTGTCCATTTCTGATACATGCCACAATAGCGGTGTCATCTGAGTATTTCTGGATGTGGCAGGACTCAGTGCTGTATTTGAAGTCTGACGTATACAGTGTGAACAGGAATGGCGCCAGCACTGTCCGTTGTGGAGCCCATGTACTGCTCATTAATGTCCCAGAAACACAGTTCCCCAGCCTGAAAAACTGTGGCCTTCCTGTCAGGTAATCTGTGATCCAGGAAACACAGAAAGGGTCCACTCCCATCTCTGTGAGCTTGTCTTTGAGTATGTTGGGTTGGATGGTGTTGAGTGCACTCACTTGAAAAGTCGAAGAACATGATCCTCACATAAACCCCAGGTTCCTCCAGATGAGACAGGGCACAGTGAAGCATATAGAGAACAGCATCATCCACTCCAATGTGTTCTTTGTATGCAAACTGCAGGGAATCCAGTTTGTCTTTGACCTCAGACCTCAGAAGGCGCAGAATCAGCCGCTCCAGGGTTTTCATAATGTGTTAAGTGAGGGCCACTGGTCTGTAGTCATTGAGTTCAGCAGGGCATTTTGTTTTTAGTACTGGCACAATGCAGGATGTTTTCCACAGAGTAAGTACCCTCCCCAGCTGTAGACTCAGGTTGCAGATCTTGTGGAGAGGTTGACACAGTTCTGCAGCACAGTCTCTAAGCAGCCTTGGACACACACCATCTGGACCAGCTGCCTTCCCAGGACAAAGTCTTCCAAGCTCCATCCTCACCCCTGTTTTAGTGACAGACAAGGACTGGTGTTCTAGGAGGGAGGCAGTTGAAGTGGTTGAGACCTTTGAATGAGATAGAGGAGGAACGAGAGAAGTTGCAGAGGAGATTTGTTGCGGAGAGAAAGGTGGAGTAGCAGTGGAAGTGGGTGTGACAACAGTGTCAAATCTGTTGAAGAACAGGTTGAGTTCCTCAGCTCTTCCCAGATCACCCACCACTGGCTGTCTTTTCTTTTCATTGCTTTGTCCAGAGATGGTACTGATTCCTCTCTACACTTCACGGATGTTGCTGTGTTGTAGATTCTTCTCTAATTTCTTTTTGTACTCCAGCTTTGCCATCTTCAGTCTCCTCTTCAACTCTTATTGCACTTTTTTGAGTCATTCTTTGTCACCATCTTTAAAAGCTTTCTTTTTCTGGTGAAGGATTGCTTTTATGTCACTTGTGATCCACTCTTTGTGGGTATAACTGTGTCTCTAGAGAAGTTGACATATTCAGTAAAGCAGTCAACCTGTTTGTCAGTGTTTATACTATCCGCATCTGTTTCCAGCAGCACATTCCAGTCTGTTGATTTAAAACAGTCCCTTAGAGCTTCACTGGCTTGAGGTGTCCATCTTCTGATTTTGACTTTGGTCACAGGCTGCCTCAGTACACAAGATCTGTAGCAGGTTTGCAGATAGACCAAGTTATGATCTAACTTACCCAGTGGTGTTAAGGCAGTGGCTCTATAGGCTTCTTTGATGTTGGCATACAGCAGATCCAGGGTTTTGTTATCTCTGGTAGGACAGTTCACAAACTGTGTGAATCCAGTCAGGTTAGAGGAGAGGGTGACATGGTTGAAGTCTCCTGATATTATTATTAGTGCCTCCGGGTGCTGAGTCTGTAGCCTGGCAACACAATTTTGCAAAACATCGCACGGAAGTTCTTCAGTTGATTTGGGTAGAATGTAAACAAGTATTGTTATGATATGACTAAATTCTCTTGGACATAATATGGCCGAAGAGCAACTGCCAACAGTTTAATATCTGGACAACACAACTTCTCCTTGACAGTTGCATGTAAAGGGTTACACCATCTCTGGTTGACAAATAAAGCAGGACCTCTTCCTTTCTTCTTGCCACTAGCTTGAGCATCTCTGTCTAACCTTATAAGAGTGAAGCCAGGTAGATCCACACTGGAGTCCGAGTTGTTTTGATTCTACCAGGTTTCAGTAAAACACAGGAAACTGCACTCATGGTATGCTTTCTCAGTCTTCACCACCATTCCCAGCTCATCGCTTTTGTTGGGCAAAGAGTTGATGTTTCCCATGATGACTGATGGAAGAAAGGGTTTATATCGCCACCTCCTAGCATTCAGCTTTGCCTTCACCTTTGCACCAGCACGGCAACCACGATAACACCTCCTGATGTCCTCTGGAATTGTATGTTGTTGTCCAGATTTACTTTTCATCAATGAAAGGAGCTCTTCTTTTGAGTAAGGTTTTCCTATTGTGTTCAGAACGCAAGATGGCGGCGCACACAGTTGCTGCGGCTCGGTGCTCTCTCAGTCAGTGCGATAGATTGTTTTTTTTTTTTTTGCTTCGTGTTTTTTTGTCTGCTGGGTGTTTTCTGTAAGGCGAACAACATCTATAGCCGGTACGATCTCCTTAAGATAGGAGTCGGTTGTGAACAGAGTATAGCTGCAAAGTTTCTCCACACACACAACATACCGGTCGACATAGCACGGCACCCAGGCTCCCTGTGGATTACTATCCCCGCCGGGAAGCGGCGAAGGCGGCGCAGAGAGAGGAGGCAGAAGCGGGGCTGCAGAGCTGGCCCGCTATCCAGGCTACGGAGGCAGCCACTTAAACCTCCGCTTCCCAGCCTGTTTCTCGCCAATGCTCGGTCCCTCGCCAATAAAATGGATGAACTGAGGCTACAGGTTGCAACCAACAATGCCGTGAAGGATAGCTGCATTCTACTCTTCACGGAGACCTGGCTTCATCCACTTATCCCGGACTCGGCGGCGGAGCTAACAGGCTACACCATGCAGCGTCAGGATAGAACACAGAGCTCCGGTAAGACCAGAGGAGGGGGCTGTGTATGTACGTGAACAACAGCTGGTGTACGAACACAGTGACTGTGGACAGCCACTGCTCCCCAGACCTGGAGTATGTGTCTGTGAAATGCAGACCCTTTTACCTCCCGAGAGAGTTCTCTGTTGTAATACTAACAGCTGTTTACATACCGCCGGACGCTAATGCTAAGGTGGCTAGCAACCATCTGCATAGTAGCATTGGCTCCCAGGAGAGTAAATATCCTGACGCTGTACACATCGTAGCAGGGGACTTCAACCATGCCGATTTGAAAACAGTTCTCCCTAAATTCTACCAACATGTCAAATGCACAACCCGTGGAGATAAGACTCTTGACAAGGTCTACTCTAACATCAAGCTTGGCTACAGGGCCAAACCACTACCTCACCTGGGCCAGTCCGACCACTTGTCTCTGCTGCTAATACCCGCATATGCCCCCCTCAGGAAAAGTACACCCACCATCACAAAAACGGTAACAACTTGGCCTGATGGAGCCTCTCAACAGCTGCAGGACTGCCTCGACAGGATGAACTGGGAGGTGTTTTTACATCACGATCTGGAGATCTTTACAGGCAGTGTACTTGGATACATACAACACTGCATAGCCACTGTTACTGTGGAAAAACAGATCCGGATCTACCCCAACCAGAAGCCCTGGATGACCCGGGAAGTCCAGCAGCTGCTGAGGGAGAGGAATACCGCCTTCAGGTCTGGTGACCAGGTCCTCTACTCTGCGGCCCGGGCTGACCTGAAGAGAGGCGTCAAAGGGGCCAAGTCGGACTACCGGAGGAGGATTGAGGCACACCTGGAAAGTAACAACAGCAGGCAGGTGTGGCAGGGAGTCCAGCAGCTCACCAATTACAAATCCACCTTGGGAGCAGCTGAGGGTGAGGCCTCGCTGGCAGAGGAGCTAAACACCTTCTTTGCACGTTTCGAGGTGGAACCACCCAAGGCAGCCACACCACACCCCATGGTACACAGCAACTTCACCCTCACAGAACATGAGGTGAGACGTACCCTGCGCGCCGTGGACCCAAGGAAGGCTGCTGGGCCTGATGGAGTGCCCGGGCGTGTGTTAAGGGACTGTGCGGAACAGCTCGCCGGAGTCTTCACAAGGATTTTCAACCAGTCCTTGGCCGAGTCCAGTGTTCCACCATGCCTGAAGTCCTCCATCATCGTCCCCCTGCCCAAGAAACCTCATATCTCCAGCCTCAACGACTACCGGCCAGTCGCTCTCACCCCGGTGGTGATGAAATGCTTTGAAAAGCTGGTCCGGGGCCACATCACATCACACCTGCCAAAAAGCCTTGACCCTCACCAGTTTGCATACAGGGCAAATAGATCCACAGAAGACGCCATTGCCTCAGCCCTCCATGCTGCACTGTCCCACCTGGAGCAGCAGGGGAGCTACGTACGGATGCTCTTTGTGGACTATAGCTCTGCTTTTAACACCATACTTCCTCACAAACTGCTGAACAAACTGGTCAATCTAGGCATTCCTCACCCCACCTGCATATGGATCAACAGCTTCCTCACCTGTCGCACCCAGAGGGTGAGAGTGGGCCATCACACATCAACGGCCCTCAGCCTCAGCACCGGTTCGCCACAGGGCTGCGTGCTGAGTCCCCTGTTGTTCACCCTTTACACACACGACTGCGTCCCCACACATCACAACAACACCTTTGTCAAATTTGCAGACGACACCACGGTGGTGGGGCTCATCTCTGGGGCAGACGAGTCTGCGTACAGGAACGAGGTTGAACATCTGGCAGCATGGTGTGGGGAGAATAACCTCCAGCTCAACACAGCAAAAACGAAGGAGCTGGTGATTGACTACAGGAGGATAAAGACTGACATCACACCACTCATCATCGGCGGGGATTGTGTGGAGCAGGTGTCAGACTTCCGGTTTCTGGGTGTTCAGATTGAGGAGGGCCTGACCTGGACTGTAAACACCACACAGGTGATTAAAAAAGCCCAACAGCGTCTCCATTTCCTGAGGGTCCTCAGGAAAAATAACATCACACAGAGACTGTTGGTGTCCTTTTACAGGTGTTCCATCGAAGCCATTCTTACATATTGCATTTGTGTATGGTTTAACAACTGCACTGTGGCCCAGAGAAAGGCTCTCCAGCAGGTCGTCAACACAGCCCAGAGGATTGTCGGTTGCCCCCTTCCCTCACTGGACGACCTTCATGGCGCTCGCTGTGCTAAAAAAGCCCAGAACATTATCAAAGACACCTCCCATCCTGGTCACCTCCTGTTTGAACTTTTGCCGTCAGGCAGACGCTATAGGACAATCAGATCCAGAACGAACAGACTTAAAAACAGTTTTTTTCCGTCAGCAATAACTACCCTCAATGCCTTAAGGAAGTGACTGAATACCTATTTACTCATTTACTTTATTTATTCGGAACTTATTTATTTATTTAGAACTGCTATTTATTACTGTATTTGTTTTTAATGATGCACTGACTGTCTGGCACTTTTTTAATTTCGTTGTACTGGTTACAATGACAATAAAGGACTATTCTATTCTAAACTCTTCGCCCAGCAGAAGTATCCATCAGCAGCCAACAAAATGACAACAAAAATATGAAAAAAATCTAGCAAAAATTACAAATAATACAGAGAGACCAGACTTGCAGCAACCTCTTGGTTCATGCGCATCATCTGAATGTGTCGATTCTCTTTAGAAACACAGATCAAGAAAATGTTTCTGCTCCTGCTGCCTTCAAGACATCTTTCAAATTCATCCTAAGAGGTCATCTGAGGAGGGAAATTCATTGGGTAAAAACTTCACACGGTTAACAGGAGAAGGAGACCTCAGCAGAGTGTGAGACCAAGAAGAAACAGAGAGGGAAGTTTTTCAAATGGTTTTACAGGAAGCTAATGCCGCCAACCCTTCTCAAATGAATCATTGAGGTGGACTCTGACTGTAGCCCTGGGAAAAGCAAATGAAATGAAGGACAATTGCTCCTCTAGTGAAGAAGACCGCGTCTCCATACCTCTTCAGCTGGTGGACTATATAGATGACGATAATTCATTCTGGCAATGTCTGCTCTTAAATCCCCCAATTTTAGGTCACTGGTACCAATTTCCACAAGTCAATGACCAAGACATCTGTGAACTACATTCAGCCTGACTCTGGGGGTCCAAACAACAACTAAGTCAGTGCTGAGACAAACACAAAGAAGAGCAACCGGTTCATTAGGTTCCTCAGTGATACAGTCCCAAAGGTAAGAATGCGTCTATCTGCAAATTGTTTGGTGGATCATGGGGGAAATTGGCTGCAATGGCCTAGACTTGATGTTATTGGACATTGTCTCAGTGATGTCACCCATGGGTATCTGAAAAATCCTTTAATATAGTGGTTGCAACATTGGTACCAGACTCAGGGTTCCTGTAGTGCCAGGCTGTAAAGACAGATGTTTTGATAAGGGTCCCATTGAAGTCTGCTTTGCTTTTTGAGCAAAATCTTAAATGGACAGTCAGGAAACTGCAATTGTTTTCCACGTCTGCATTGCCTCTATTTTTCGTCACCTGGAGTTTCTGCTTGTTTTTTTTCCCCCATAAAATATGTGTCATCAGAATGCAGTTCTTTGTCTTTGCATCATTGACAGTGCATTTATTTAAAAAAAAAAAGCTTTCTTGCAGTATAGTCCTCTCAGTTTATAATCTGTTTTTGTTTTTTTGTCAAACTGTTAATTGATACTTCTGTACAAATTGTTTGTCTTTTTTCACACAAAGAATGAGAAGAAGCTGAAGAAGGAGGAGGAGGAGGAGAAGAGGAGTGAAAAGATTTCAGCTGACAGTGATGGCAAGCTGCCTCCTTAGTGGGTTCAGCTGGTTTGCCATCAACCGTCAAGCTACTTATTCACCCAAATGAACAAAATCAGGATCAGTGTGAGAAGCTGAGCTGAAAATTGTCTCTTTAAATAAACAAAGAGAGGAAAAATAGCTTCCCTTATATACTTCCTTCCTGTTTAAGTAAACCCTCATCTGGGAGCAAACTATCCAAACATGTCAAATTAAGTCCAATAAATTCACATCAGGGTCCCTTTACTAAAAAGGTGCCATTCCAGCTTTAAAATTTAAAAAATGTTTGACAATTGTTTTTTTTTTTTCCACACTAGCATACCACTAAGTCATATAAACACATAGTTTTCCACCTTAGGCATAAAATCCTTATCAATAACATCCTTTCTATTCTCCATCCATCCATTTTCTACTGCTTTTCCTGTTGGGAGTTGTGGGGGGGCTGGAGCCGATCCCAGGATCTTAGAATGATGGCAAGGGACACCCTGGACAAGTCGCCAATTTATTACAGAGCTGACATATAGAGATGAACATTCACCCACACTCACACCTACAGACAATTTGAAAGTGACCAATTAACCTAACCCTACTTCTGCATGTTTTGGGGATATGGGAGGAAACCAAAGTACCTAGAATAAACCCACACAGAGGGAGAACATTCAAACTCCACACAGAAACACCCTGACCCGGATTTGAACCCAAGCCCTTCTTGCTGTGAGGCGACACTGCTAACCACTATACCACTGTGCTGCCCCCTTTCTGTTCTTACCTTTACAATTTGTTAACAGGTTGATCATTTGTCCTTGATTTTTGAGTTTAAAATCCTCACGAACTTAACATGTCAACAGCCTCATCTGTTTTGTCAATAGAAATCCTAGTTCATTAAAAAATTTCACCCAAAACCTCTATATTTTTATTTGCCCACAAAAGACAAATGTAATTCAAAGTGTTTTCTGTTTTTTGACAGACTGGCCCTGTGGCAGAGCTGTTCATTGTGAGAGAGTAGTATGAATGAACGTCAGTCTGGTTTCAGCCTTTGTCTTGCACAACAAACTTTTGTCAGTTCTGGGTGTAAATGTTGGACCAATAACACATTTGAAATATGTTAAAATTAGCTCTTGATACAAAAGCAAGTAAGAAAAAAGCAAAAATGCCAACTGCCAACTGTGTCACGATTCACCTCTGTAGGAGCCGCAAGGTAAAGGTTTGTGGTTATGCTCTTGATTTGTTTTTGGTATTTTGTTGTGATTGGTGGCAGTGATTTGTGGAATCCGGGTCACGGGAATAGGGGCGGTGTCACTCAGTTGATTTAAGCACCTGGTCACCTGTGTTCACGAGGGAAGAGGTTTTGAGTGGGTCGCCGTATTTTTTGTTGACCGCATGTACACATACTCTTTAAGTCCAGTGATCGCTGTTTCTTCAGTTGGTATCGTTTTGTTGATTGTTTCTTTAGTATTAAAGCACGTTTTTTCCTAATCGATTCCCGTCTCAGCTGATCCATTGACAAAGCGCGTCAGACAATTAGACTCGGCCCGTATCTCATCCTCTAAGCGACATCCTGGTCTCTGAGGTCGCTAAAACCTCCATGAGTGGATTTTTCTGTTGTTTGTATCTGGCATTTGGTTGTTTTGGGGTTTGCCTGTTAGCCTGTGTGTTTTGTGTTTCCCCTCCCCCAGTGACTACAGAAGCAGCACATCTGTGTGCTCACTGATCATAGAGCTCCTGTTGAATGCAGATCACTCATTAGCAGGTCATATAGGTGGGTGACTGGCAGCAGGATGCTGCCACCACATCATTGTTCTTTGTCCTGAGAAGAAGTGCCCTGTTGAACTCATTAGCCTGACTTGTGAAACAGATTTAGAGACATTGATCCTCTCAGCCTTTTAGTTTGTCATTTCCTCTCAGTAAGAGGGATTTTCAGTTGTTTAGCATTTGTGTTTTCAGTTACAGTTTTGAATTTACCTGTGTTTGTTTGCATATCTGCTTCTGGCTCCACAACTTACCCCAGTGTCAAACTGTGCATGAAAAAAGTGTAACATGGGCCAAGTAAATTTCCTCAATTGTGCAAAAATAAAGTAAAACGGAAGTACAAGGAAAGTTATTAGACTTTAAAACTGACAGATAAGTGAACAGATTACAAATCTTATTTAATGGTTGAAATTACAGTCAAAATGTAAAACAAAGCAATCACTAAAATCAAGAGAATCATCCTCTTGAGAAAAAAAAAAAATAATATTCCTGAAAACTTTCAAGGCATGAAATTCAGTAGTCTTCCAAATGTTAACCATTTGGTATCAGCAAGAGTCTCAAAATCTCCTTTTAAAATGTATTGAATGTCCATTCAGGGATCAAGAATCTTGTTCTTGTTCCTAAAAGGAACTTCACTGAGGCACAAGAATATTCTTGAAAAATACTGATCTGTCGGCTTGCGTTTTCTTATCAGTTTTTTTGCGTCCTTTTCCATCACAGCTCCTGTAGCTAAGCTGATACGCTACTTTTAGCCACTCAAAGCTCCGAGGAGGGCCGGGAGAGTGGGAGGGGACGAGTCGGAACTACGAGAGAGGGGTGTGTCGAATACAGAGAGGTGATTGGATGAAGAGGCGGAGCAGGAGATTGACCAATATGACCTTTCCGGGATGGATGGCTCCCATTGGTCAATGTTTTAGCAGCCCTGCACCTGGTAGGGTGAACAGATTTTTTCCATTCTTTTTTCTCTTCACTTTGTGGAGATAACACTATGGGACCATATAAATGAGGTTCATAACAATAACGAATCTCTCCAATTGTCAACCATGCCTTTAACAGTTTTCTTGATAATTATCCCTAAACCATTGATACCAGTTAAGAGAGTAAGGGAATCATAAATAGAGTCATCCCCTGAGGCACAAAAATTTAGACGGACAATTTTAGATGTTGATAAAAAATCCAATTTTTGATATAGTCTACCGTGCTGACAAATTTTGTGCTTCTTTATGAAGTGTCTCGTAATCCAGGAAACTCCAACAGAGCTGATGAGTACATCTCTTAGGTCCTGTCTACACAACAACAAAAAAACAGGAGTAAATGCAAAAGTTTTTTGTCATAATGACGTTTCATCCACATGCAAACGGTATTTCGGGTGAATGTAAACAATGCTTTGAAAACAGGTCCAGGAGTGCATAAATCCATATATAACGACTGCAATTTTGTCTCCATGTGGATGCCTATCCTTTTCCCTTGAAACGATAACATCACACACTGGTGTCTTCTTTACAGATTGTTGAACTGTATACACCACAAAACCTTTATATGCATGCTCTGTTCGTTACGTAACTTACTGCCTGTAAGTTACGCACCACTACCAAGTAAGTAATGTTTATACAAACAGGTCTACAAGGGCCAGCTCCCTGCTCACGATGTGTACCCCAACCAGCAATAGGAAAACATAGTTTGAGTTATAACAACTGTGAGAGCTAATGTTTAGCAGTAAGATTTCATTGTAATGCTTATTTAACCCCAAAAACCTGTGGACACCTCGCTGACCATGAAATCAAAGGCACTGTTTTAAAAGCCGTAGAAACATTTTGAAATCAACTAAATTTCCTAGATCAATATTATGTATCAAATTGTTTACAGCTGTAATTGCCTCAAGGTGAGACCCCTCATCTTTGTATTACAGACATCACCTTTTAGTAATTTGCTTACATTCTTTGCTTACAGATTTCATTATTGTTAAATCTGAAATAATCAAATGTTTTCTGTGCCATCAACCAGAATTAGAATTAGGTCATTTGCTTAGGATGGACACATAAGAAGTACAAAGAGTGAACAGCAGTTGTCCTTTGTCCTCACATTTAACTCCAAGGGGTTTACTTTCGTGGCACAGGTGTGGCGTAAGTCAGGTCCGCCGACAAGGCGTGCCCAAGCACACTTTGTTATTTTGGTGAGCGGCGCAGCCCAGCGTAAGTATCCCCCCTCCCTAACTCAGCTCCTCCCAGCGGCATAAGTAGTAGAGAGGGAGGAGAGAAGGCGTGGAGTGGATTAGACATAGCCGAGACCTGTTTTCACCGATCACATCAGCTTCTTTCCTCACCTTTAAATCCGCCATCGCCGCGGGGTATTACAATTTTCGTGAGGTAGTCCAAGAGATCAAGAGGTGGCTGAAGACAGCAATGCCACACGATGGCGATGAAAAGCAGCCCCTCAACAAGTGTTGCTGTAAGCACTGCGGAAGGCGTCCTCCACACTCTCTCATATAAACACAGATGGGTTTGGTGTGTCTTTTCCACAAATAAAGACACTCACATAAAGTTGCATATGTTTAAACCCCATGTGACAAAGGTGGGTTGTGCGCACAGATCACAACATAAATTCTAATAATGGCATTAAAAACAGAACCACCAGTGCGTAAAGGACACATCGCACTCCGTTGCCTGGCGCTTTCTTTCATTAATGTTAACAAAAAAAATGAACTCACACAACTGAATATTATAATGTTCATATGTTGGCCTGACTCCGGATTAATTATTCACAAAATTTTAAGGATGTAAGAAAATCAGATAAACAGGTAATTTTGAATGAAAGTTTCTTTTATTTTTTTGTTCAAATTTTCAAAGTAAATAACTCATCTGATTACTGAAATAAATCATCTGGTCAACCTTGCCGCCGCAGCAGCGGGGCAGGGAGAGGACACGGAAACATGTCTGGTCAAGCTACACAAGGAAGAAGGAGAAAAAGGGGGAGATGAATTAAATATCTTGTTAACTTCATCATGTGTGACTATTTACTGGATATTTAATTTAATGCGGTTTCAGCTGTGTTAATCCGGTCAAGTTGAGTGTCCAAACACGTGTCAAATGCGCTCATCAGTTAAGATATAGATCTGAATCAATTGTAGATCTAAATGTATATGTGCTGACTCAGATAGCTGCACTGAATATTGGTTGTTGTTGAATATTTATTGCACTGAAATGTGCCTGACACTGTGGAAATCTGCCTGTGAGGCATCAGTGACGTATCCGCACTACGCCGCCGGTCTACCAAAATACCACGAGACCAGCTGTGCTCTGCCTGCACTGAAAGCTGACCAGTTTTGAATCAGTGAGCTTTCAGTCCGTGCGCCAGGCTCCGCCAGACGAAAATACCACTGCGTGGGGTGTGCCACCATCCGCCGAGCCGCCAGTGGGCACGAAAATACGGCCCTGAGTCTGTATTTAGTCAGGTCATTTGTTTTTAGAGCAGAATTTGCATCATTGCAATGATGAAAGTTTTTTTTCAGCCAAGTTAAAACAAGCTTGTGTGACTTCTAATTTCTTAGATCAAACACTTAGAATGTTTGGCAGAAAAACAACTACCTGTTCAGAGAACCAAGATGCAATGGAGTGAAACAAGTCCTGAAAGGATTGCCACAAAAAGCACCCAGAATTTTTTCCTCACAAACTCAATATGTAATCAAACACCTCTTATCGCTCTATCTATCTGCTTCACAGTACAACGCCTTTCAAAACACGAGCTGCGTTTATGCAAACTGATTGTGGTCAGAGCCTGTAACATGCTGTCTGCAGTGTGGTCTATCTATTGGCTGTCTGGGGGAGTTTCACACTGCATGTCAGAAAAAGCAGCACAAGCAGGTGATAATCTGACTGACTGCTCACAGCTGTGCCTTTCCTTATCTATTAGAGCAGTGTGAGCTGGTACTGGTGAGCACACACACACACTCCCTTTAATTGCCTTTTCTTCCACATTCTTGTCAAACCGTAGCCCAGAGTAGGAGCACTATGTGTTCACAAATGATGTGGAATACAATGCCAAAAGACAGGCTGGGGATAACACAGAATACAGGAGAAGAGAGACAGAGACAGAGTTTTGTATTGGTGAACAGGGTGAGGAAAACAGCATGACAGCAGAAACAGTAGGAAAGAAGGATTAGTGTGCAACAATAAAAAGATCATATGAGCAGGAGAGAAAAAGAATAGCCTATGAGCTACAAGAGGCAAGGAAACGGGCAGGGGGGCTGGGGGGTTGGGTGCTTAATGCCATCTCAACAACCATCTGTTAACGTGCTATGGTTGGCACAGGGACTTCTGCCTACAACCGTGTCATGCCTGTTTGTCAAGGCGAGAGCCACAGGGTTGGAGTACGCCATCAGTCTTTTTCAGTCTCTCTTGCTGACCCAAATTCTTGTGATGGAAGACACAGTGATGCAGTATCCTCTACTCTGAGATCTGTGGTAAGTAACACACATAGGCAAGCAACTTCAGGCTGTGGTGCAATGCAATGCCTGCATTCATTTAGCGGTAAAACTTCTTAAAATGTTTGCATTTAATTAATAAGAATGACACTTAAAGATCTCTCAGGGTGGTTTCTGCTCTCAGGGTCTCACTCAAGCCCTGCATTCTGAGAAGCAGCTGACTCCTGTTAAGCCGTATCTATTCATCAAGGAGTGTATGAAGCCCAGTCTCTTTTGGCACAGCAGTGAATCTGATTGATTTGAGCTGTAAGTGGATAAGGCTTTCTCATCCCTCCCCCTCCTGCAAGCCTCAGTCCTTCCTCATTTTGTTTCTCATCTTCTGCATCCTGTGGAGTCTGATGAGCACTGCATGTCTGATTTATGTAATATTCCTTAAGTAAAATGCAAAAAAATATTTTATAATAACAGAGTGGGACTACATAATTAACTGCAAGTATCATTATCATCACAATAAGAGCATTTAATTTAAAAGCAAGGCAAAAGCCTGAATCTAACAAAGAAAAATAAGACATACTTTGTTAACGAGCGCGGTACTATCTTGCTCAGCATCATATTGGATGAAGCTGTAGGTTTATTGTTCATACTGTGCTTTTACACCATTATGATGTCATCATATTGAGCTCAAACAAGCCAATTTGATGGTAAAAATGGGGTTTTGTGTCAGTCCTGATCACATCTTTCAATAATACCTGGGGGGGGGGGGGGCTAACTAGCTATTCGTACAAAGGTTGAGAACCCCTGGTATAGATGATTGGTTTGAAGTTTAAGGAAATAACAGCACCATGATTCAGATCTGTAGAGAGTAAAAACAAAAGCATATTTTTTGAATGGTTCAATTATTTCGATGTGCTCCAGGTAGTCAGGAAATCTTCACACTGATTGAGTTTGTACAGATTTTGTGTGGGTGGGACATGATAGAGGATACAATACACTACAATACACAAACTTTTAATCAGTTTCCTGCTTTTGTGGAGCCAGGCTAATACCTGAGAGTCAACTCCTGAGGATAAAAAGGACTAGTAAATGAAAAGAGTCTCTAAAGTCTCCAAAGTCTCCAAATTGTTTAATCACTATAAAGCTGGTGTCCATTTGCTGTGATGTGTGGTTAAACAGAAATACTAAAGAGTGTTGACTGTCTATAACTCTGTCTCAGGACCCATGACTTTGTGGCAAGCTTATGATGGACATTGATGTATGATGGACCCCCAGTTTGGGTTATAGTATATAAACCTCTTTGAACAATTTTAATACAACATATCATGTCTTAATTGCATTCTTGAAATTTCATCAGATACTGATTTCATAGCATATTCCTCTCCTGACACCTGCAGGGGTACAAGAATTGTTTCAAGTTTCCCTGAAACCGTGTCTCTTGTGTGTGCAATGTTAGGCTGTATTTTTGTGCATTGCGCTCACCATCCAGTAGAGTCTGACCACATATTTTCCATAGCTGTTGTAGAGTGGCACATGGCCTTTCACCACCTTGCACAGCGAGTAGATGTGCTCCCAAGGTCTCCAACCATCCTGCCTTGTCAATGTGCTGTTATGCAGAGTCCAAACAATATAGATCTCACTGATGATCCATCTCATCAGCTGGACAGAAGACAAAGGAGAGAAAGAAGGGAAAAGTAATCATGGGTGAAACAACTCACAGCCACCTTCTAAATCTATCAACCAGATCACTGATTATCTAAGCTATCATTTACAGAATCAATGGTGCATTGCGTTACCCTGCTGTAATTCATTTCTGTCAATCAAACTTCACCCTGTCCATCATCTAAATTACACCATCCAAGGGCTGATCAATAACAGTTAGCCAAGAAGTCAGAGCAGTCTTCAATAAAGACAGTTTAAAACTAACCTCACTGCAAGTCAGATGATCATTGGAGGAGATGAGGTCAAAGCTTTGATTTTTGACCACGGTGAGATTCTGAAATAAAAGTGCACCATCCCAGTCATTGAAGGCATAGACTGGAATAATCACCATTTATACCTTCCTATCCAGATGACAGAGGCATTTTCTATGCACACATCACTAAGCTTCAGAATATCACATCACCTGATTAAAATAGACGTGAATACATGACCTACTTAATGCTCCTAAACATATCCTGGGCCTAAACTAGTGTAACCCAGCCATAATTTCTCCACAACACTGTGTCTGTGATGAATATTTCAACACTATGTTAATAGACTCTGTCATGTTACTAATTAAAAATGAATTACTAGGTCAAGTAATAGGAAGAGAGATCAACTGTGTTGTTAGCAGGATTTGATTTGTTTGTTTTTTTTACATTGTCATGGCAGCGCTAAGTGGTAACAAATCTTTCAAATATCGTCGAATCAGTCAGTAAAAACAGCCTGGATAAAAAAAAAACAACACACAAGCTCATTTAAAGTGACATTGGAAAAGCTTCACAAAAGAGCTATTCCCTGCATCCGCACGTCTGATGGCTTTTTCTGATTAGTGCTCCCCTTGTATGAAATTAATGAAATGCTTTTGACATCTTGACTGAAAGTGCAAGGACTAATTCAGAAAGCAGGAAGCTTGTAGTAATTGCTCAATTCTGCACCGAGAGAGGGTAACTGAAAAGTGGAGTGATGCAATTAAAACTTTGTTGGAGGCGAATAGAGAGCATATTTCCTTAACTACATTTGACACTGTGTGGCAGAGAAATACACGTTAATAATACATGTAGAGGCTGCAACCAGCAGCTTCTTATTAACCTGTCATTTTTCTTTTGACGAGGAGTTAAATGATTTCTCCTGTCCAAGCTCTTGCAGCCTAATAGGTTTTAAGTCTACATAATGTTTAATAAGGCCCCACAACCACAAGAGGATACAGGGAGGTAGCATAGTCTTGAAAGAGGTTATTTTTTCTGTCAAAAAGTCAAACTAATTAAATTTTGAGTAATATTGGGGAGGGGGGGGGTGCAACTCTGCTGCAATTAAATTGAAATGTTAATTTTTACAAAACAATCAATATGAAATCTATGATCAATTAAATCACATGTATCCCTGGAGGACATGTGCTGCCCCCCCGGCATTTACTTGAACTACATCACAGAAGTTTAATGGCATTATACCTTGGAGCAACAGTCATAGATTTTGAGTTTGAACAGGAAGAAGTTCGGTGTGTACATTCCTTTAAGACATCATATGATATCATGAAAGCATGAAGGTTACCTTGTTGATAGAGAAATCTATAGGACGCTTCCAGGAGTGCACTTTCAAAGATGGTGGCAGATAAATTTTTCCTTCAGGGTCTTCAAATAATGGCTGCAGGTAAGAGTAAGATAGGTCAATATGAAACACCGACTTGCAATAAAACTAACACAATGTCAAACTATGCCGGATTTGAGGAAAATAATGCATGCAGTATATTTTGGTGATGGCAAATAAAAGAACAATCACAAGAGCTTGTATTATTTTATATTTAGGATTTACAGCATTGTGACTCTTGCTTATCTTTCCGTCGTCGGGTCCTTTACTTGAGTCCCATATTTCTTTGTTCACTTCTGCATCACTCCACTCAGGCCATAGGGGATATCTGCATCTCCATGCTCCTCCTAGGCTCTCAGAGGAAGTGGCAGCTAGGGGAACGGCACTGCAATGATGACACATAGTTTATCATTCATTTGTTATTGGCTTTTCTTTCGTCAATATTTAGTATCAAAATGAGCTACCACTACCACTGTGTCAGTCTGCATGAAATTCATTAAATCCTCGATCGCGATAGATAGATAGATAGATAGATAGATAGATAGATAGATAGATAGATAGATAGATAGCTTTCTTGCTTCTTGCCAACTGTTTATTGTGATCTCGTGCCCCTTTGCTAATTTTGAAGCTAACTGTAGCCTAACGGACCTTCGTTAACGCCAAGACCAAACTCACTCCGTCTGTCGCTCGGAAAATGCCACTTTGCTGAAGGAGGGCTCCTTTCTCTTTGGTGTTGACATTCTTCTATTTGGGCGTGATCTATCAGAAAGTCCCCGACACCAGTCAAGTTCCGACCGAGGTGCGTTTGTTTGCCTCTTCTGCCCCGCTTCTTCAAAGTTTATCGGTTGCTAGGCAACGTAGCCCCAACATAGGCGGGGTTTGTAGCTGCTGCATCATTTGCAGGAAATGGGCAGATTTTCCATTTAAACTACTAGACTTATCAAAATACTTAATTATGGAAGACTAGAACGGCCATGGATTGTTCTTTTTAATGTACTGTTATCTCGTGCTAACGATTTATTATCTGGTTATCTCGATATTACCAAATTCTTTTTCTCGAAAAGAAAAAAAGTTTGCTATGTCGACATGACATAGAGCATTTTGTCGTGATTTCGGAAATGGTAAGAGTATCTGCAGTGTGCTTTGTAACCCCATTTGCAATGCATACTTTACTGCCTTTACAACTGGTGTGGACCATATCTATCATGTGAAGTGGCAGCGTGTGAGCTGTTGTAATGTTTGCACGCAACACTGCATTCCTACATGCCGAACAATTAGGTGTGTGGAGGAGCACAAGCTGTAGTGTTGTGAGCACAATGTCTGATGACTATCACACACTGCTTCTTGAGTGGTGTCACATGGTCCCTTTTCTCCCTCTCTCTCCTCCCCTTTCTTTCTCTCATACACACTCACTCAGTTTGAGTCATGTATAGCTTTATCCATAGCTCGTTGTGTTACAGGGTGCTTGGCAGGGGGGCCCCACCACTTACAGTAAACTGTACCAGTGCAGATTGACTCTACATATGGGCCACAATTGTAGATATTGTAAAATCCAAGCAGATAAGCATATAGAAATGACACAGCAAGGTCTGCTTGAAAAGTAAACAAACATTTTTTTCATTCTTTAAGATATACCATTTCAGTTTACAGTGCAGACCTCTTAAATGCTTTCCAAGTGTAGGCTTACACAAAATATATGAGTCAGTCAAAATTCATTAGACAGCATAATAAGTTGAGGACAACATTTGTCAAAATGTTTATTCTCTTTTGGTCTTGTAAATTCAAAGTATTTCACATGTAAACTTAACCTCAACTCCATGTTTAAAAAAATTCTTCATATTTCATCTGAACACTTAAACAGGTTACCATCCTTATGTACAAGAGAGAGAGAAGTCCTCTTTGGGATTCTGTTTTTATGATACCCCACAGGTTGCAGAATGCATGCCCTGACACATAAAAAAACACCTTATGTAAACAAGATTTACATTGTTATACTGGTGCAATGGAACAAAGTTTTTCACTGTCACACAGAGTGCCATTCATACATTTCTTCTTGAAATACTTTGTTCTCTGTCTGTGCACTTGTAAATAATTGAGTAAAACAACAAGTGTTCTCCTCTGATCAACATTACAAAAAAATATGGTATTATGGCACATTAGTTCCAAGACAATATGGCATAAAGACAGAGGCAAAATAATATTTTAGTTGTTTACACAGTAGTCTGAAGATCAGCAGGGATACAGACATAGGAGTGCAACATTGTTTACGGGACATTAACAATATTTACTGGAGAAACATTTTAGAAATAACAAACAAAAAGTGTCTTGGTTTACAGATAAAGTTGAAAAACAAGAGAGAACTGACTAAAGTGACAGAGGCTACAGGTAGTTTACTACTTTGTGTTTTATGAGTTTTTATAGGTGGCAGCTCATATTAAGGAATGGTGAAGTACAAGGCTTAAGAGGTCATTGAGGTGACAGGGAGGGTGGCAGAGTTCAAGTGTGGAGGGCTGGATGGGATTATAGCTAAGGTTGGAATGCAGAGATACGGGATGAAAAAATCATTCCTATGGGTCCTGTGGTTTAGACATGGATATGGAGCTAAAAGCCAAGAGTGGTGACAAATACATCAATCTTAAATGGTTGTTTTATTCAGCCCTAGAGAAGCTACAATGAGAAACTTTGATCAAATGGGCATCAGTGCAGAGAGAAGACAATCCTGGAGCTTTGGAGACCCAAATCAATACATGTTCCTCTGAGAGGCTGCAGTCAGGGGCTGGAGCCACAGGCCAGGGGAGCAGGTTGGACCCTGCCAAAGAGAGGCGGATAGCTAATGTAAGTGTTAGCAGCAGCCTGACTTGCTCTCAGCAGCCACAGTCTCCTGGTCTAGTTTGATCCGGTCTCCGTTGCTCTCCTCATATGGTAATCCTTTGTCATTAGCCAAGATGTTCTCTACCAGGAAACATGCTGCCTCGTCTACATTGATGTTTTCCTGAAAAAAGGTCAAAATGAAACATGAGACAATTATTCCAAAGTATGTGTACAGAAATGCTGCAGACACTTGACTTTTCTTTCTTTGTTTTAGCCCACAAACCCCCTTTAGATGAAGGAGTCTGCTGTGGTATGAGCAACAGCTGTAAGCAGTAGTCGAGTTATGAAAGAGAAAAAATGGGGAGATGGTGGATCTTATTGTTTGGGACAGATATTTTGTTCTGATGACTTTGCACATAGTGGGAAACCAACTCTGTACCCATTTTATTGTTACTAAAGCATAAAGATAATCATTTTATTACATTATCCCACAGATTGATCTGTCCATGTCGCTTAGCCATGATACTGAAATAACAGCAGCGTCACCAGTGCTGCTCAACGATGTCATTTTTTTAGAAAAGGGAAAAAAAAAGTGATTTTCATACATGTCGCCTCACCCAGAGTATTTTACTAAATATGCGCATATCCATATTCTCCTATATACAACACGAAATCTTGCGCTCTATTTCCTCATTTGAAAACATGAGCCGGCATGATGGCATGATGGCGTGAATGGACACCCTGCAAGTAAGTGGAGGGATGAATATCTACATGAATGACCCTATCCAACAGAGAAGGGATAAGGAAAAGTAGCTCTGTTTAGTGGGTAATTAGCGACGCTGGTGGGGAGGAAAATGTTTGGCGTGTATGTAGGTATGTGTCCATGCGCTGTCTGCAGTCAGTGAGGAAGCCATTCTGTCAGACCTGCTAAACGTTGAAATTGTGGTACTATTTCTAATGTTAAAATAGTAGTAATATTTCCACATTTGTTGACAAAAATGGCTCAAGGATAGAAAGTTGGGATGACCGTTTGAGAAGGAGGATGATTTTGACCATTTTCATATCGGGGGGATGCCATCTCCCCTCATCCCCCTCAACTCGAGTACCAGCTGTAAAACAGCGACAGTGCCAAAAAAAAAAAAAAAAAAGGATGAAAACATCAATTTTGTTACTGTCCTTCATATTGTGCCCAAGGCTGTCCTCCCATGAGTTGAAAAAGTAATAAATATTTTGACTTTTCTTCAGTGATAAAAATCAAACACAGGATAAATGTTTCAGGGAGTATTGCAGTGTGCTTGTGTTGGAAGTTAAAGTCTAATTGGATTTAAAAGATAAAATAAAATCTAGAGAGTTACATTTAATTAGTGCATATAAATAGCAGAGATGTTTCTAAGGGGTGGCCTTTGGGCAGCACTGGCCTTCTCTAAAATGTGGGAGCACCACTCTATAATAAACTTTGGTTAGCTATCTGCCATGGGTCAGAGGCAGGATGTACATTTTAACCAACTTTCTAGGGTTGTGTTGCAAAAGACAGTGACTAGACTTTTCTGGATACACAACTTGGTGAGTCCTTGGAGAGTTAAGCATAGAGGATTTATACAGTGGCTACAGACATTTAAACAGATGATAGTACAACATGGCAGGGTCCCAGAAAAGAAACCTTAAGATTTGGAGCTCCCCTTTCTGACTGGGACTGAGCCTGCCTCCTTCATGTTAACAAAAACGGCATGCGTCAAATTTTAAAACCACAAATCCATTAACATTTCCTTTACACACATTTTTTTCTCTTAAATATGGTTGTTCAGTTGTTATTGTAAAATATTATGCTTAAAATATGTTTATGAAACAGATTTAAATTCATGATGATGCTATTTTATGCTTTCCAAAAGCAAACAAGAACATATGCAACAAAACTGACAAGTGTTATTCTTAAAATCTAAAGTTATAAATTAGTGGGAGGGGGTAGGTCACAGCCAAGCAGCTAAAGAAATAGCACTGATTTAACAATTTCTATTTAAAATATGCAGAATAATGATACATTTGACTGTCAAAAGTCAGCAGGAAGAAATCTTTTTTGTCAGAGGACACTGTAGAGGACAATAGGAGCAAAGGCTGATGTTCCATAGGGGGTGCCAAATTGAGACAAAGCTTAAGTTCCTTACAGGAGCTTTAAATTTGTCAGTTAGTGGAAGATTTGAATTCATAATAATCCCCTGACTAGGTCAACAAAATCATTAAAGAAGAGGCTGATAAAGGCCTCTTCTTTAAATGAACAGCTCCTTAATGATTGACCCCATAACCTGCCCTGGTCTAACCTGAATAAATAAAATTTAACAAAAGCACTACATGCTTCTTCCAGAGTGTGTCTTGTTGTGAAATATTTTGGAAAGCATAGAGTTAAAAAGACAAAGTGAAAGAAGGTTTGGTAGTCCTTACTGCATTCCAATCACAGGTTGTTTAAGGTTGACTCACACACTAGGCACGCTCAACGACACCTCACAGAAAGAATGGGAATGGAAGGAAACACACACACACACACACACACACACACACACACACACACACACACACACACACACACACACACACACACACACACACACACACACACTCAAGCAAAGTCTTCACATGACAGAGCATGTGGCAGAGATGCAGAGCCTTGGGTTATTCAAAAAATTGAATGAGTTAATAATTTTACTCTGGCTGCCAAAAATCATCAAAGCATACCCCCACATGAAAGTAGAGGACATGGTCATGGTTTAATGGGTAAAAGTGTGCTATGCAAGGGTCTCTGGCTTTTTGACTTCTTAGGTTAGTTGGCAAATGTGAAAGGAATCAAAAGTAACCTGGGAGATTTTTTGGGGGTATCTCCAAAAATCAGACTTACAGTGACTCAGACAGAACTGCATGTTTTAACAGAAGTCATTTATCACTCAACAAGAGCAGGCTTTTTGTTAGACTAAGCTAGGTGCTGTCATATACTGTAATCTTCTGATCATACTTCTGCAACCTGAGTTTAAACTCAATTTGATGGAACAAGTTTTAACACTAACCACCAGCTGTACAAAGTATGTAAGAGGACTATAAACAGTTTGGTATAAGTTTGAAGTATTTGTACAAATATTATTGTGCTTCATTGTGCAATTGAGAGGAAGATTTGGTTTCTTCTGTCTCAGGTTTGTTTTGCAACTGTGGTAACTACTTAAATTACAATTTTAAGAGTAGTATTTTACATTAAACACATGTACTAGAAGTGTCTTATTTTCTTTTTGTTGTGTTTCTTTCCCACTAGTAAATGATCTTGAACCTTCTTCACACACTTCAGAGTAAAAAGGAGTGAACCCATCTCTTAAATGAAAACTGAAGTGAGAAGCAGCAAAAGTGATCTCACTTCACCAAAATCTACGCACAAGGACAAAGCTGGAGAAGCGCGGTGTAAACACATTAATAAAGCAACACCAAACTTGTGACACCATGACCAGGGCTGACAAGGAACACCTCAGAACATTGTCTTTCGGAGCCCTGCCCCTCAGTTTGCAACTTCAATCAATGTCAACTCCACCAAACCACAACAGCTGTCTGACATATTCCATTACTCCCATTAAAGACAAAGGTCCCACATGATGTACATGAAGGGAAAAGACCGCAGAATAAAAGACTATCCTGGCAGAAATGTCTTAATTCATCATTTAGTTTCACAAAATAAAAAACACAATGAATCCTGTTCTAATCTTGATTCTATTTCACTCTAATGATTTTCAAACTTCAACACTTAACCCCTGACTTTTGGATCAACTATGAAAAAATATAAAGTTAGGGCTAAAGTACTCAACAAAACCTAATTCACAATCACCACAGGGTGATTACAACACCTAAAATAAGACTGTCATTGCTCGAAGATCCATTCTAAGGGTTTCCCATCTGCAAAAAGAAAGCATAAACATCCGTTCATTAAAAAGGCTAAATGTATTAACGAAAGCCCAGTGGGCCCTCTTGTAATGGCTCAGCAATGATGGCATTTCTAAGCCCTTAACAAACAAATTTTCCACAAACAAAGTCACGCTCATGCGGTAAATATAATTTGAAGCCATTGCTATCATGTTTAGACCGTGACTTGAGAAATAGTGCAGTAAAAATGTATTTCATGTGCAAGATATTTCAGAATACATTAATCTGGGGCCTAAGTGTGGGTATTTCATGCTGTTTAGCTTTGGTTGAAAGAGTAAGAGGAGCTAGAAATAAAACACCAGACAGGAAGGCCTTAATACAGGAATGATTGTGACATTGCATTCATGTATTCACCAGTGTTATATATCTGTCTATAGTCTTGATTTCTCACCTTAGCTGAGGTTTCAAACCAGCCTAGAAAGCCAGTCTCTCTGCAGAAATTGTCCATAAGGGCTGTGCTGTTGGAGATGTCTTTCTTCTGGTCACATTTATTGGCAAGGAGCACTGAAGGGATGGGGTTGCCATTAGCCAGCTTCACCTTGCTGTCCAGGTCGTGTTTCCACTTAGCCACTGCTTCAAATGTGGAGCCGCGTGTCACATCAAAGACCACAAACGCCCCCACAGCCTCTTTGTAATAAACTCGTGTCATGTTCCCGAATCGTTCTTGACCTGCAGGGAACAGAACAGAAATATACAGGAACATTTACATTTTTTACAAAACATTAAGATGACTTTCTGGATGAAGAGAAAGCAGAATGTGGTGAGCATGTCTTTTTTTTTTTTTTTTTTTTAGAAAAAATTAATTGATCCTGCTTGCAGAAAATGGCAAGACACAGTACATTTTATTTCTTCTCAGTTTTTTTTGCACATTCCAATAAGCACTGAGCAATTTTCTTACTTGCCCAAAAATGATGATCATATTTGACTTACTTTCTCCCTGCAGCAAAAGGAAGAAGTAAACCTCCATGATAGTAAGCCTCTGACCTCATCCTGTGAGAAAATCTGAGGTGATATTTCACAAAGGCAAAGCAAGGAGAATTACCAGCAATGTCACTGTCAATCTGAGATGCTGTCTTTTCGTTCATACCCATACACATCTTTCTTTTCACTGAGATCATCCAGGTTTGTTTGCGCAATGAATCAACAATGGATCTTTCGATGTCATTCCTTCTTTTAGTTTCTTTTTTTGAGGTGAGTTTGAGTCTTCCAAATGCTACTGCTTCACAGTCATGTAAAATGACTGCATCCATGAAAATGGCTAGATGTTATCAAACTTCCTTATAATAAATAGACCATTTCAAATGAAACGTTAAAGAGGAAACAGGCCCTTGATTTGAGCGATAAGGAACATGCTCTAATATACCTTCCAGTCTACCCAAGTCACTTTGTATTAGCATAAATGTGCAGTGAGGCATACAGCACAGGGCTTCAACGGGGAAGTAAATCTATGGTTCAACTGGTGAAAGGTATCTCTGGTCCTATTTGGTTTATGTCACATTGTCAAGCACACTTATGTGAGCTGGAACAGTGAGTCTGGCTGACTATCTTTTTAAATTATTAAATACTTAATAAAAAGTCTTATGAAAACATTATAACCATCTCCCAACACTGTCAAGCCCAGTCAGAACATTTATCAACTAATTTGTCCTCCTTAAAGACAGATTATACACCTTTCACTACAAATACTAGACCATCTACCTCAATTCAATTGATTTTAGCTAAATTGACCTAAATTAAGAGTTAATAACACACAATCCATAAGTTAATTATTTCTCCAGGTCTTTTCATTGACCTCATGTACAGTTGAAACCAGAAGTTTACATACACTATATAGAAAGGCACATAACCTTTTTTTTCTCACCGTCTAACATTAAATCAGATTAAACCTTTCCTGTTTTTGGTTTAACACATTTTTAACACAATTTTTTATTACTTTCTCAAGAGTCAAAAGTTTGCATACACTAAGATGTCTATACCTTTAAACAATTTGGGAAAGTCCAGATGATGATATCGTGTCTTCGGAAGCCTCATATAGGTTTATTGACAACATTTGAGTTAATTTGAGGCACACCTGTGGATGTATTTTAGGGCACACCTGAAACACACTGCTTCTTTGTGTAACATCATGGGAAAAATTAAAAGAAATCTGCCAAGATATCAGGAAAAGAATTGTGGACCTACACAAGTCTGGTTCATCCTTGGGTGCAATTTCCAGGTGCCTGAAGGTGCCACATTCATCCGTTCAAACAATTGTACGCAAGTATAAACACCATAGGAATGTCCAGACATCATACCGCTCAGGAAGGAGACGAGTTCTGTGTCCCAGAGATGAACGTGCTTTGGTCTGAAATGTCAATATCAACCCAAGAACAACAGCAAAAGACCTTGTGAAGATGCTGGCTGAAGCTGGTAAGAGTGTGTCATTATCAACAGTGAAACAAGTCCTGTACTGACATGGGCTGAAAGGCCAGGAAGAAGCCATGACTCCAAAAGAAACCTAAAAAGCAAGATTAAAGTTTGCAAATGCACACAGGGACAAAGACCTTAATTTTTGAAGACATGTCCCGTGGTCTGATGAAAAAGAAATGGAACTTTTTGGCCATAGTGACCATTGTTACATCTGGAGGAAAAAAGGGGAAGCTTGCAAGCCTGAAAACACCATCCCAACTGTGAAATATGGGGGTGGCAGCATCATGTTGTGGGGTTGTTTTGCTGCAGGAGGGACTGGTGCACTTCACAAAATAGATGGCATTATGAGGAAGGAACAGTATGTGAAAATACTGAAGCAACATCTCAAGACATCAGCCAGGAAGTTAAAGCTTGGTCACAAATGGGTTTTCCAAATGGATAGTGATTCTAAGCATACTACTAAACTGGTAATAAATTGGCGTAAGGATAACAAAGTCAATGTTTTGGAGAGGCCATCACAAAGCCCTGATCTCAATCCTATTGAAAATTTATGAGCAGAACTGAAAAGGCATGCGTGAGCAAGGGGGCCTACAAATTTGGCTCAGTTACACCAGTTCTGTCAGGAGAAATGGGCCAAAATTCCAGCAAACTATTGTGAGAAGCTTGTGGAAGCATATCCGAGGCATTTGACCCCAGTCATACAATTAAAACGCAGCTACCAAATAAATGAAATGTATGTAAACTTTTGACTCTTGAGAAAATAATAAAAAATGGTCTCTCTTATTATTCTGGCATTTAGCATATAAAATAGTGCTGGGCGATTGGACGATAGATATCGTGGGCACGATAGAAAATGTCTATCGTGCCATTTTTATTTTTATCGTTTCGGGCGATAGGCTGTATTTTATCCATAGGGCTTGTGCCATCAGATGATTCATAGTAACAACAACAATAATTGCACATTCAGTAAGTGTATTTGGTGTCAAACGGGAAAGAAAACAATATTTCCTTACAAAGAAAAGGATGCGTTGACATGTAGGCTCGCATTTCTCTTTCGATTTTGCGACATGACACCGCTTTACGTGCCCTCTTTGTGTCCAGCGTCTCCCGCCGTTGCGGGTTACCTGGGTTACATACGTGAGGGGATCATTGTAAGGGTGCTTAATTTGTGCCGGAGCAAGTCGGAGCGCGATCCGGGACCTCTTTTGATCGGATCCGGGACCTATTTCAGCCGCTCCGGCACCTGTTTTATGTGCTCCGGGACCTTCCCTGTAGAGGATGACATTTTTCGGGGATTCCCCGTGGGTCACGTGATTCCCGCGGGATGGGAGTCATTTTTTAATTAATCCCTTGATCGGGACAGGACGGGAAAAAAAGCAACGGGAGTGGGCAGGAGCGGGAACATTAATAGATGATCATTTTCAGCCGTGTTTAACAACCAGATGAACAGGTGCGTCCATTTTTGTAGTCATCTCTCAGTGAGAGCTAACACTCTTGACCGCGCTAGCAACACAAAAGAACTACAACAGTGGTTTGACTTCCTGTCAGCTGGGAGCGCGGCTGCGCATTTCTACCCTTCAAGCCAGCAGCGAGGAAACGTAATTTTGTGACATTCTGTAGTTTTTCAATCATTTCTGGAGTCGTGGCGAATCAAATCACCTTACCTGTCTGCCCCTGATAGGCGAATAAAGCGCTCGGATTCATGCTCGGGTCTTCCTACGTGCTTCAAGAGTAAAGTAAACAATGATGGAAGCAGAGAGCAGCTTTGGAGGAGAAACATCCAGCAGTGTGAACAACCTCTTCAAAAGAGCCCTAAAGACCTACCTTTTTAATAAAGTCTTTGGTTAGTTTTCCTCTATGCTTTATGCTTTTACTACCTTGCCTCTTACATTGCAACTCTATATTTTTTATTTTTTTAATTCTTTTTTTTATGCCAATCTGTGACTGTCATTCTATTGCTTTTTTTATTGTTGCTGCTCTTTTTTTACTGTGTACTGTAGCACTTTGAGATTTTTGGTAAATGTAAAGTGCATTACAAATTAAATTTATTATTATTATTATTATTATTATTATTATGGAGTGCTTTGGCTCACACTATCGGCGTTTTCTGTGAGTGTTGCATAACTTTGGGTGAGCACAGACATGAACGCACTTCAGCCACGTATTTATTTATTCATTTTTCTAGTTTTAAGTGCTGGTGTTGTACTGGTACTAGTGCAGCTGTATACACTTAAATTTTTCATAGAACTGAAAGCATACCATAGCTATATCGTGATATATATCGTTATCGTGATATAAAATGATCCATATCGTGATATACATTTTTTTCCATATCGCCCAGCACTAATATAAAATATATTTTTTTAAAAATGGTAATCCCAATTTTATAAAAAACAGGAAAAGTTGAATATGATTGCATGTTAGGAGGTGAGGAAAAAAAGGTTATGTGCCTTTTTATGTAGTGTATGTAAACTTCTGGTTTCAACTGTAGCTGATCATCACCCCCTGATTTTTTCCTTCAGAGGGAAAAAGGACACACATTTATGAACCTTTCAAAAGGTCTTGCTGCACATTTTGCTATGATTGTGTCATGTAGTTTGGGACTCATTGTGGCCTGGTCTCAGTCTTGTCAAAGCCTACATACACTCTGCCCTTGTTCTGTGATGTCCATGACTTGATCTTGATTAAGATGGTCTTGGCTATTACTCTTCCTGTGATGGAAGATTGCAATCGTGTTTTGGTTTTGGTTTTTCATGCCTGTAACTTATTTTCAGTAAATAATAGACGGTGCCATGAATGCAGCTGTTCATTCAACTTCTTTAGAGTCTGTCCCTGAAACAATTTCAGGCTTACAGAGACTTAAGGTGGTACTTGATGGATTTAGCACATATTTCCCCCGTATTAATTCACTGTAGAAAAAGCTGAAGAGCAAGTGTAATTGTAAAATGTATCAGAAAGCTAGGAATTACTTCACAAACCAAAGATGAACCAAAAAAATAATTTGAGGAACTGTGAGTGCTGCTTACTTTCACTTTGCTGCAGCAACTTACCCTAGCACACAGGGAAGTGAAGTGATGGGCGCAGTGCGGGTGTGAGCTAGAGAGTGAATACACTGTGGGGCCCACAGGCCTGACAGTAATTGCTCATAATTGAGAGTCTAATTTTAGCCCATGTAACCCCAGGTGAATTCACCAGAGACACGACACAGTGGAATAAAGAGACTGTAGACAGAAATAAGGCTTTCATTTCCGGGCCTTGTATCTAATTAAATCCAGCAGAATGGAGGAAAATGGAGAGAAGAATAAAAAAATATATTTTCTTCATCATTTCACAGTTGATTTTCATTCTATTTGCAAGCCTGATAAAGAAATTATTAACTTTCAGTTAAATCAGGTGACTCACATTCAAGTATGTGTGTAACAATTACAGTTAGCTTGTTAGCTGTATGCTACAGTGATAGTCCCTTCTTTATCTATTGTTTCACGCCCAGGTTCAGAAATTCACACATTCTTGTTGTATAACCTTGGTGAAAAGTAAAAACAACAAACAGATAAATATCCAGAAACATAGAACCATGACTCACACCAAAACAGCATATCATTACTCAATAGTGTTAGCTAAGACTTCACCTCTAAGCTTATGTGACGATCGCCAGTCAGTGGTTGAAAAGTACTGTTAAACCAAAAACATACAGGATTGAGCGTGTTCCGTATTTGCTCCATAAAGCAGCCCTGGGTATCGCACACAGGATGCATATTTGGAGCGTGGCAGCAGCGTAGTGCAGCCCCGGTCAGCTGGGCTCAGTATAGCGGAAACAATATGCTCACAACAGGTTGTTTTGCCTTTCTGTGGTCTATTTCCTGCTAATTTGGATATAATTCAGTGACAGTTGAGCCTCTCCTACATGTAAAAAGCAATGTGGTATTACAGTTTCGTTTTTTGCAAGGTTTACTCTGGTTTAAAAACGTGAACTATGTTCCTTCTTGCTGTGCTGTTACCTTCAGACAGTTAGCAGTTAAAAGTCCTGTTGGGGTCCACATGGATCAGGGATTGATCATTGGATTGTTCTGTGTTACTGATAAATCCATAACCAGGAAGTATTTCTCATCTACACGAACTGATACCTCCGATCCCTTACATGTATTAAATGGATAATGCCAGCTGCTGCCCTTCAGGAGGCATTTTAGAGTTCCCACATTCAAGAAAAACAGACTAAAGAACTGTTTTGTTCATCAGTCCGTTCTGCTTTTGAACCAGAATCAATAACTCAGAGGATAAGTTTATTTTTATTTTTCTCTTTCTGATGCTGTGATGGGTCCCCTTATTGTCTACTGTCCTGTCTTGTAATGTACTGTGATTATAGTGTATTGCTGTGTCCTGTCTATGTCCAGAACGGTGAAGCCATGGAGGCAAGACAAATTTCAGCGCAAGCTGACAATAAAGTTGTATCGTATCGTATACACAGTAGGGATGTTGCATATGGTGTTTTATTTTGAAATACCGGATGACATGCGCAGTTTTTGTGCCTGGCATTCTGTCTCGAACAATCTTCTCTGTGTGGATTGTCACGCATTGGAAGTGTAGAGCAGCAAAAATAAACTCGTCGCATATATTTAGCACTGCTGCTCTCGATACAATGCTGTGACTGACCTGATATGTGTCCTGTATGAGATGCTGCATTTATTAGAATGGTAACTTTTTTGCCGCCTGATACACGATGCTGCAGATATGCGCTAAATATGGATCCTGTATGTTCACGCCCTTAGCTTCAGTCTTTAATCAGACAAGACAAGTCAGCATTCAGCCCCAACTCTGGAGTAAAAAGGTCAGCTGAGAAGTGATACAACCTAATGTGAAAATCTTGTTGACACAACAAAAGTTAATTTGAATACTCCAAGTTGATGTAGCCTAACGCTAGCTAGGGATTCAGTTCCTCGCTCATGAGAGGTGTGTTTCCATAGGGAAATTGCCGTACGCTTAAGTACTTAGTTTATGTATTTTACAATTACAACTGCTTTTCAGCTTTTTAGTCAATGTATTAGAGAGTAGTGCTGGACGATAATTCGATACAATATATATCGATCGATAGACGTGTGGTGCGATAGAAAAAAAACGGGTCGATAAAAAGTTCAATAGAAAAACACAGTTTCCCTTTCTTTTTCATCATAGCCTATCATGTAGCTTTTACTACAGTCATTACTTCCTCCCAACCAATCACAAACGCAGACCCAGGTATGCTACAGCACCAAGCCCAGCCCCTCTCAAACCACAACAGACAGCACGTGTATTAGAAATAATGTTACAGCAAGGAGAAGCGGAGGAAATTGTCCCGAAAAAAGGTTTCAGTAGTTCACCAGCATGGCAATGTTTTGGTTTTTACAAGTCTGACAAAAAGCGAACAGCGGTCGTTTGCCAAATTTGCAGAGAATTAGTAAAAACCAAGTCTGGTAACACAACCAACTTGTTTTACCATCTAAACCGATCGCACCCGCAGGAGTACGAGCTGTGTCGGCCGCGCCACGACTCCACGTCGTCGTCGGAGGAATCCTCTGGAACCGCTGCCAGCACAAAGCAAGTGAAGCAGACCAAACTGGACTTCGTTTCTTGCCAAAATACGACAAAGCGTCCAAGCGGCATAAGGACATCACCCATGCAGTGACATGCTCCATAGCGAGGGACATACTGCCAATAACTACCGTTGAAAAGCCTGGCTTCGACCAGCTTCTAGCCACTCTTGACCCGCGATATGAAGTGCCCGGCCGCAAGTATTTCTCAAACACAGCGCTTCAGGCATGAAAACGGGTCAGGGGTTGAAAAGCTGAGAAGGGTGCGGAGGAAATACGTTCCGGTGTTGTGCTGTAGAATGCACCCCTGCATCCTGTCCACTCATTAGCTTCTTAAAGTGGAAGAAAATGAGCTCATATTTTACAAAGACGCGAGTATTTGGATCATGGCTACTAGCAGGGGGTGCGTTCGGCAGGGGTGCATTCTACGACACAACACCGGTGTGGATAAGTCCTGCTTCTCGTGCTCAGTTTGCGTATTAAGTCAATCACATGATACGTAAAATAAATCTCCCGACCCCGGGAGAAATATTTCAGTGTTCAGACACCAGGCTGTGGGCAGTTTCTCACACAGTTAAAACTGGTAGTATGCTATTCCCACCTAAAGCTATTCTGTTTATTTATATATTTGTTTGTTTTGTTTATTTTCATCAAAAGACTATTTAAATATTTATTTATCAGATTTTCTGGTCACTTTAGTCTTTATGTTTGTCAGTATTTACTGACGTCACTCAGGCCACTTAAGTTGATTTCTTTTTTTTTTTTTTAAGTTCTTTTTTAAAAAACTTTCAGTTGTGGTAAAAAAAAAAATAAAAAGGTGGTTGAATAAAGGTTTGAATTTGATTTCAGTGCTTATGTGTTCTTTATTAAAAGTAGGTCATTAAGCAATAGCATAAAACATCCAGGGCTGCAATTAAAATATATGTTAAATAATTATAATAATTATATCGATAATTATCGATATCGATCAATATGATTTATTTTTTATCGATATGCTTTTTTTCTATATCGTCCAGGCCTATTAGAGAGGGGAAAATATGTGCTAATTCCATCAAATTCTATGTTAGAATGTGACAAGATAGACAAGAACTGTCCATTGTCTTTGAAGTTGCCTAACATTAAGAAGAGTCTGTCGTCAATATTTGCCAGATATTTTACAACCAAAGTAGTTGGATCCTAACACAAGGCAGTCGGCAGACATCACAGCAGCAAGTTGAGCTTGCTGAGAGGAGCTGCAGTTGAACTGTAATTTTGACTCTTATGACAGGGGGCAATGATGGAATTGGACATTTCAAAAAAAGCTGTTGTTAACAATGAATGGAAAACTAGTCCCCAGACTGATTAGAGTCTGACATCCATAACACATCAAACTTGAGAAAAAACATGGAAAGAGACAGGGAACATGTCTTTTTGCCAAATCACTTGTTTAATTCAGTTTTGATTTGCCACAGGAATGAATAAAAGCTGTGAATAACTACAACCATTCATTTAGTCCAGGGGCTGAGGACAAATGGATCAATAACCTCTAAGGCCCCACGGACAGCATGTCATCGTCTACACTCAACACTCCTCCTGATCTTCCTGAGGGCTCTGTTCCTCATTGCTGTGTTAATGCCTTAGCACAGCCAGACCCCTGATATTAACCTTGCTACTCCTTGGAGAGAAGTGGCAACATAAAAAAGACTTGAAGGGGTTGATTATACCAATCACTACCATTGATTGTAGCTGCATCTGAGCTAGTATGCAACTGCATGCTCACAGATACTCAGCTGCCTGTCTGCTGTAGACTGTAATGCATCATTGGGGTATTGGGCAGAAGTCACTCACATTGAATGGCAGCAAATCTCATGATGCCTTCAAGTGTCATGAGTTATATGATCATTATTCCAACTCAGTTTGGCTGCTGCAGCTGCAAAAAGGAGCAAATTTAGCACTTTTCACAGGATAAAAACCAATGTGGTCTCCCCAGAATGAAACTGTTATGCATTAAGTTGTTGGTGGTCAAAGGGAGAGGCTGTTGTTGTTTCTGTAAAATTTGAAGATCCAATAGAAGAACAGGAATAGGACTCTATTGGGATTAAGCAACATATGATGTGGGTGGCATTTTTGGCCTTGGAATGAGAACTCATTGTAATTTATAGCAAAGACATGGTAAAATCTGATATTTCCTAAACAACACGGCCCATGTTTAGTGAATCCTGCTTTGGCTACACAATATGGAGTACAGAGGAATAAGTTGATTCAGGTTTCAGCCGTTGTGGATTTTAGTTCATTGTATGACAATAAGATCATTTTTATCAGTAACCTTGTCCCCAATAACCCAGTGCCCCACAGCCCTCAGTTCCTTTATTAATTATCTTTTATTCAATTAACAGTCAAAAAAAATCTGAAAATATCCACTTAATTATGGCATACTACATGAACAATGGTAAAACACTTCCATTTTAGGGACTAAAACCACTTTTGTTTTGCTTAAAAAATGACAAAAAAAACTGTTCAAAAAGCAGCTGATTGAATATCCTTCCCTACCCAGCTTCTGTAGATTAAGTCATCTCATTTTATCAAATCCCAACTTTAAGTTGCGTTTTACTCCTTGTCTGTAGAGACTTATTTCTTTTGTAAAGTTTATGAACATGAAACACACCAGGATTATGATTAGTGTATGAAGCAAAGCTCTCTCTCTGTGCTATGAATCTCATAATGTAAACATGAAGGTCCTTATGGGTGATAGCAGTTGTATTTTATACTTTTCCATAGTGCTGGGCGATATGGAAAAAAAATGTATATCACGATATGGATCATTTTATATCACGATAACGATATATATCACGATATAGCTATGGTATGCTTTCAGTTCTATGAAAAATTTAAGTGTATACAGCTGCACTAGTACAGTACCAGTACAAGACCAGCACTTAAAACTAGAAAAATGAATAAATAAATACGTGGCCGAAGTGCTTTCATGTCTGTGCTCACCCAAAGTTATGCAACACTCACAGAAAACGCCGATAGTGTGAGCCAAAGCACTCCATAATAATAATAATAATAATAATAATAATAATAAATTTAATTTGTAATGCACTTTACATTTACAAAAAATCTCAAAGTGCTACAGTACACAGTAAAAAAAGAGCAGCAACAATAAAAAAGCAATAGAATGACAGTCACAGATTGGCATAAAAAAAGAATTAAAAAAAATAAAAAATATAGAGTTGCAATGTAAGAGGCAAGGTAGTAAAAGCATAAAGCATAGAGGAAAACTAACCAAAGGCTTTATTAAAAAGGTAGGTCTTTGAGGCTCTTTTGAAGAGGTTGTTCACACTGCTAGATGTTTCTCCTCCAAAGCTGCTCTCTGCCTCCATCATTGTTTACTTTACTCTTGAAGCACGTAGCAAGACCCGAGCATGAATCCGAGCGCTTTATTCGCCTATCAGGGGCAGACAGGTAAGGTGATTTGATTCGCCATGACTCCAGAAATGATTGAAAAACTACAGAATGTCACAAAATTACGTTTCCTCGCTGCTGGCTTGAAGGGTAGAAATGCGCAGCCGCGCTCCCAGCTGACAGGAAGTCAAACCACTGTTGTAGTTCTTTTGTGTTGAAGCGGTCAAGAGTGTTGGCTCTCACTGAGAGATGACTACAAAAATGGACGCACCTGTTCATCTGGTTGTTAAACACGGCTGAAAATGATCATCTTTTAATGTTGTTCCCGCTCCTTCCCACTCCCGTTGCCTTTTTTCCCGTCCCGTCCCGTCCCGATCAAGGGATTAATTTAAAAATGACTCCCATCCCGTGGGATTCCCGCGGGAATCACGTGACCCACGGCAATTCCCGAAAAATGTCATCCTCTACAGGGAAGGTCCCGGAGCAGATGAAACAGGTGCCGGAGCGGCTGAAATAGGTCCCGGATCTGATCAAAAGAGGTCCCGGATCGCGCTCCGACTTGCTCCGGCACAAATTAAGCACAGCTTACGATGATCCCCTCACGTGTGTAACCCAGGTAACCCGCAACGGCGGGAGACGCTGGACACGAAGAGGGCACGTAAAGCGGCGTCATGTCGCAAAATCGAAAGAGAAATGCAAGCCTACATGTCAACGCATCCTTTTCTTTGTAAGAAAATATTGTTTTCTTTCCCGTTTGACACCAAATACACTTACTGAATGTGCAATTATTGTTGTTGTTACTATGAATCATCTGATGGCTCAAGCCCTATGGATAAAATACAGCCTATCGCCCGAAACGATAAAAATAAAAATGGCACGATAGACATTTTCTATCGTGCCCACAATATCTATCGTCCTATCGCCCAGCACTACTTTTCCATGACTCTCATGATTCGTGTTTCTTGAGTTTTCATTGTATTCTCACGGAAGCAATGCATCACTTTCTATTTAAAGAACTTATAAAATCATACCACAAACATTAATGAGTGTCATATGCTGCTAAACAAATCAGCATAAGGCACAGGAGTGGGCTGAGCTGACTGAACAATGGAGTATTTACACCCTGAATAACACGAAAGACCATGAGACTCTAAGAGAGAACAAAGGCGTGTCCTGCTGCTCAGCATGCTTCTTAACTAAAGAGAAGTGTGTCTGAATCTGTACAGAAACACAGAAAAGAAACTACCATGGAAAGGCTTTAACTGACATTGCGGTTAAGTTGATGGGTGCTGGTGCATGACCTTAGGGACAATTATGTAATCTGGGTACATGCGCATGAAAACTTTAGGAATCTATAGAGAGAGCAACTTGATAAAAGGGAAGCTGTTTGGTTTCAGCCTCTGTATCATATCTGTTTGTTGTGTGGGAGAAACAGAAAGAAAAAGTCTCATCATTATCCATAGCCCTGGCAACCCCAGTTTCCTTTACGGTTGTACATACTGCTATCATGTGGGCGGGTTACCATAGAAACTGTCCAAGCCAGACACGGCAGTAGCAACAGCAGGAGTCTCTGTCTGTTGTTAGGAGGCAACTGGCTGTGAAACTTCCCTGCACGCCCTCTTAACTGAAATGACCAAGCCAGAGCAGGGTCCAGTCTCTGAGGTAGTCACTAGCATGAGATTTACAGCAGTAACTCTGGACAACACATGACCGGCACGTTCAAATTCCACTGAGCAGCATGTGAGGAGTGACTTTCTAGAGCTTACCACTGCGCCCAAGCTGAGTTCAGGGAAAATTCCCCAAACTTATGTGCAACTACCTTTGTTTTCCCCTCATCTTCAACTTATGGTCTGCTGGATCATGATCAATGTAAAGCTGCAGCATAAGTTGGTAGGAATTAAGTTCAGAACAAGTATATTTGTGGGGGAATTTTAAGCACAACATGCACATGATCCGTTTAACTGTCGTGAAAAATCTGTGCATTTACCTAAAACAGGCAACAAAATGTTTCAAAGTACTTTGTCACAGTTTGTAGTAAATATAGCTATGGCATGTCGTTGTATAAGGCTATCAGTAAAATGCTTCACATTTCTCACAAATGCCACAACTTTGTTCAACAGCTACAAACTAGTGCTGTGACAGTCTACTTATCTTTTTGCCTATCAACACAATGGTGTCAATGTCACTGTGATTACCTGTTTTTACTTTCCTGTGTGACAGTGTTTGTCTTTTTCTTATCCCACAATAAACTGAATATCTATTAAACTTCTGTTAACTTTATGACATTTTTTTACCACAAAAATGTTAATGACTCTGACATAGAAGGTCCCAGTCGAGTGTGGACTGAAAGAGTGTCAGATTTAGCCACAATTAAGGGACTCTCTGAACCTTTGAGAAGTAACAAACAAAAACACTCATTTGTGTCTAGCTGTTAGGAATGATCTGGTAAGAACCCAAATAGCATTGAAATTATTGTATCTCCTGCTGACTCCCAAAATTGCAAAACTTCTGCTGTTTTTTGGGAAAAAGAGGAGTCAATCTTCAGGGAGTAAAGTGTCATGGGCTTGGCTTTTTCGGTCATGAAAAACTGTGATTAACATCCAGTTGATGTGTGACTGCCTGCTTCAACTAAATTTCATCCTATTCACATGGCGGCCCCTTTCCTCTGACCTTATGCCAAGAGCATTTGGTTTGGACTATTAGCATTAAATCAACCACTCCCATGGCAGAAAATCTTTTGCTTATCTGCTGCTCAGTTTGATCTTGTGAGACAAAATGGAGAAATATTAAACTATTTCTCCAACCGGACCCTGCAAGAAATTACAAAAGACCAAAGACAAACAAGATTGAATTAAGGAATGAATTTAAGCAATAATTTGGCACTCTTCTGTGTGCTCTATGTCTCATTTTTCCTTCTTAATTAGTTGCAAAGATCTCACGGTAACCAACAACTATATGAGACAGAAAAAGCAGCTAATCCTCACTAAATTAAAGCCACTAAACTCACATTTTTGTTGGAATATTTGTTAACAAACATAAATTAAACACTATTTTAATTCCTGAAAACTATAGCTTCTGTGCTCCCCGGTAGTTTAATTGACTGTTTTAGCGCATTTGAAATGTATAGATGTTATGAATTGCATTGGAAATCAGTGGTTTGGGTTCCACAGACTTGCTTGTATAAAACATATACATCTTTTGGACATATTTCAATATTCCTAGTCTATCTTTCGCAACATGGGACTGTGATTTTCAGAAGATTTTTTTTTTTTTTTTGCTGTTTTCTACAAGACTAAAACTTTCTCACTAGTCTCATTTTTCTTCTAGCTGAGATCCTAAACTGAGGCAACTGCAAGACCAGGGTAAGCTGACAAGAGGCTCACCATGAGACTACAGATGTGAGAAAACAAACAAAATCTCTTTTTGTCCTTCACTAGCACTGATTCTTCTTTAAGACACACAGATGAGACATAAATAATACATCAGTGCCATTATAACTGAATGGGAGTTGTGTAAAAGTGGCATCAGAGAAAATAGCTTCAGTGGGAACATGTCAGATGTTTTGTCCAGGTGCAGGCTGTTTTACATTATGCCATGGCGGTAGTTATCCTGCCTACCAGCTCAGGGATCCAGAAAAGGAATGCTATTCTGGGTGAAAGGGGTGTGGGCGAGCCAGGAGCCTCAATGACTTGCATGTGGGTCCCCATCTTGTGCAAGCCACTGATTACTATCATTGCTTCTAGACTGTAATTATTATTAAAGGGTTGGTAAAAAGACACACAACTCCAAAGTTGCTCTCACAGCATTGCCAAGAAGATAATTCTTCCTCTTTTTCTGCATGATTAAATAGCTTAATGGCTGCTCTTAACGACTTGGCGAATATAGTTCCAGATTTCACACCCACATTTTGTCACTTATTCTTGGAGTGTCCTCAAGCTTGGCCTTGGTGTAGGTGTGAATAATGAGGTTTACCATCTGTGTCATCTAACCTCTGTTTCTGGTCAGGGTGTGTGTGTGCATGTTAACACTTCTTTCGGCCAAATATGTGCAAGCATGTTCCTCCGTCCTCATGAATTATATCAGCTGCTCTCTGTGTGAGACATTGTTTTATTCACCCTTACAGATCCTCTGATCCAGTGTTGTCTGGCTGTGACCGGCAGCCAGCCTTCCCTCTCTCAGTCACAGATGCCCCTCTGCACTGAGCGTGTGCTACTGGGGCCCAAGTGACAGCAGGCAATGTGGCCCACACTGCCAATCAGTCAGTGACAGACATGCAAGTTGTTGTGGACGACAACCCTACACACAGACAGACACAGGCACCCAACTGTCTGCTGTCTTCCTGTCACTGCTGTTAGCAATGGAATAAATAAAAACAGCAGTCCTCGAACAATCTGTCCTGATCCTCCTCAGCATATGAGGTTTGTCTGATCAAGGAAGAGAAGATGGATCAGCGAAATCATGGAGGCTTTAGAAATAGGACTAATCTCTTTTATACCAGAGTGGACAAATTTCAAGGTTCTCGCAAAGACTTGTACTTCTTTGACTAAAACTTGTGCTTCTACTATACATTATATTAACTTATTAGTGAACAATGGAGCTGAAAACAACTAAAAAAAAATCAATAAATCCTTGCGGTTCATGATGTTGAATGTCAAGACAGGCTTAAAAATCCTGAACATATTATTTCACAAAAACGTACACACTATTTACTCAAAAGAAAAACAGCTGACTGTCAGAATTACATACCGGTCAATAAAACATTTTACAACAAACCCTAATGAGAACACAATGTGCTACAAACATTCCCTTTTCTAACTTCAATCATGAATTTAACTTTGTTTGAGTGTTTTACCATTGATTGCTTTTTACCTTTAATGTCAGGATCATCTTTTTTAGCTACTTTGGTGCTTTTATCTCAGTATCTTTTTACTTTGTTTTCATTTCATTTCTATTTATTATTTCTTAAATTTCATTTTATGTTACTTTGTCTTTAGACTTTAACCCAACATTGAGTGTTTCCCATCTTGAGTTTTAAGATGGCGTTTCCTCAGTGGGCACATAACTGTTTTTAATAAACCTTTTCAGCTTTTCAGGTGAATGCATTTTAATACTCGTTTCTGTTGTGCTTAGATTGTGGAGTGCAAGTGAGGGGATGGGGTGGGGGAGAGTTGAGTATTTCTCTGTGCTACATTGTTTTGCAGGAAAAGTGCTATACAAAGAAAGGTTGATTGATTGATTTTCTCTCACTGCACACTTGCACATGGTCGTTTTTAGCAACAATGGGTAGTTTGGAAAACAAGGGTAATCTATCACCATAGTTGTGATTAACAGCCTTGTACCTTTTGTGCATTGTAGATACATATTCTTGAGAAACCCTTAAAGTCTTACTTCTCGCAGGATTATTAACTACTTCCACCCTCTGAGCATGTGACATGCTTTTTGCTCTACGACTGAACAAAAACACAATACAGTTCTCATGCTGTTATTATTGCAATTGTGTATCAGCCAATCACAGGAATATTTACTTATAAAGTGCACAATCAAGGTGACTTAGGTTCAAGAAATGACTGTAGATATAACTGTTGGCATTTTCATGGCAGTACACCACTTGCACATGCACAAAAGGACCCTGAAGCCATGTGGTCTTATTACTTCTCCAATAAAACCACCCACTGTAAGTTTGCCTTATGAGTTACTCATGAAATGAGCAAGCAGTTTCACATACCCTGATACCAGATCACCTATGTGCTTTTGGAGAAATAAAATGCTCATTAATTAAGGAGGGATAGCCTCTAATGGGCCATCACATGCATCCCACATTACAGCCTTGTTCATGCTGATTCAACTGTGGCCAACCTGCTTCTGGTGCTTTAAAATATTTTGTCCTTTTCCACTCTTCCCTCACTCTCTTTCCCACCTGCTCTTGTTGAGCACATCATTTTCAGACTCATTCTGTTTACAGTGAGATATTTCTGTGCCTGAAGATGACAAACATGGGAGAGTTTGAACCGTCTGCCCGCCTGCAAGTGAGAAACTTTTTATTTACACTGCTCTGATTTCTTTGCTTACCCAAGCTGCTGGTATGCGCCGCTTGGTGTGTCTGTGTGTGTTTGCCAAGTGTAGACGCTTTGAGGAGAATAAGTCACTGCAGTTTACTTAAAATCCTTTCAGAAGTACAGTGATCAAAAGGTGTTGAAAATTAGAAGTTTTACAGTAGCACTGCAATATGAAGAGAAATAAAGATGAGAGCCGGCCGAGTCTCTCTGTAAACACAGATTGTGCTCCATAACGAACAAGTAAGACTATAGTGAGTTTGGTTGAGGGGGGCGGCGCTCAGTCTGTTAGGTATAACAACGTGACCTAAATTCCACTGACAATTATGAGCTGCTGTGATCATCAAGTGGAAAAGACAACCAGCATTAACAACAACAACCGGTATTTTCTCTCTAAAAAAAATCCTCCACGCATTCAGGGCCACCTGGGACTTTTCAATGTCCCCTAATACTTGTGGAAACTCATGGGAATTTCTGGTTGCGTGTGACCGAAAGCTGTTTAACTCTGACATGGTAATAAAACGTTTCTCAACAATAAAAGTGAAACGTCCCTAAAGCTGGTTCCCAAACCAGCTGATTGTGGTTAAGCAAACCAATGTTATCTTACCTGCGATATCCCACAGCTGTAACCTTACAAGGGTCTTGCTGTCCCAGTTGATAACTTTTAGCGCGAAGTCGACCCCGATCGTCGCCCTGTAGTGCTGCGAGAAAAGTTGGTGCACGTAGCGTTTGATAATGCTGGTTTTCCCGACGCCAAGTTCCCCGATGACCAGCACTTTGAACAAGTACTCCTTGCACTCAGACACCGAGCCCCCGGCCATGTTGACAAGTTCTCTCGCTTTCTTTTGACTCAGACAACTTCTGCTTTCTTGCTCATGGAGGCTTCCTGTCCTGTGAGGGGCTGTTTGAGGAGTGACTGTGCTGGTCTGCCAGAGGGCCAGTCGCAAAACAAATTACATTTGTCTCACCCCACTTGTAATGACTCTCCTCCTCTTCCTCCAACTCCCCCTCCTCCTTCTCCTCCTCGATGCCGCTGAGCAACCACCTGACAAGTCACAGGACCCGGAAATGTAAAGGAAAGTTCCTCGTGTTGCTGCGGGTGCAGGAGGTACTATTATGTAGTTTCATAATTTCACCGTCATTTATTATCTTTTCCTTTAAGCTCTAGAGACACAAGAAAGTATCACTGCCACAAAAATATGCTATGGAGGCAGTTTAACAAGTGTTTACGATAGGATTACAGTCTACCAGTCCCCCCCTATGAAAGTTGATTGTGAATACATAATGTAACATTTAAACCTGTAAGCAATGAAAAGGCTTGCATTAAAATAATAATAATGATAATAAAGCACCTGAATTCAATAAAAAATAAAAAGGTTAAAATTCCCATGACCACTCAATTTTTCTGTAAAAATCAAGCATTTGCCATAAAGTTTTGCCCCTCGATCGAACTCCATAGTGGCATCATGTCCTTATCTGAGTCCAATATGTTTTTGTGGTAGCCAAAAAACAAACAAACTAAGCAATTGTTTAAGAGTTCATTTCCCTTCATAAAAGGCTTCAATATGACTTTCAGTCTATTTCATAAGTGTCAAAAAACGCTTTACAGGAGCCTAAATTTCCCTCTATAAACACCCAGTCCCTGAATACTCAAATTTAATTTCAAGAGGTTTTTCTGCCTGTTCTGGGTTAATCTCTGCGTGGAGGAGTCCTGGACCCAGATGAAGTGGTAAAAGTGGGTGCTAAGTTTTACAAATGTTATCTAGATGCCTCGCAAAACTTTTCAAATGTACAAGCTTGATAAGTCCAGATAATTTTGCAGTCCATACAATGACATGTAAGTTTTTCAGTTTAATGTAAGGATTGATCAGTCTTCTTAATATAAATAGTTTTTATTTTACGGCATTGTTCAGCTTGCCCAAAACATAAAGGCCTATTTCATTCAAGATTTGACAGTGTTAAACAGGTTGCACCCTTGTATATTTTACAATCAAATCATTGAACAACTTACACTATAAGAGACTAAAAACATTTGGAAATACAATACACTTGCACTATGTACTGTATAGGCTTTTACTTTGAAATAATTTGCATTCTTATCAATAAAGAACTAAGAAACTTAACCTGAAGTAAACTACTTAAGTTTATAATGCAAGATTGAAGCAAAGTTGAAACATGTATCGTCTCATTACAAGAAGCAACTAATCATTGGTTACTTTAAACAACTGATATTTTCAAGAGGACACAGCTGACCCAATTTAGCTTTAAAGGTTACCCAAAAACCAAACACAACGCTCTGTGACAAGTATCTGAGGACAGTTTTAAAATGTATAAACTTATTTTTTGTTGACATTCTAAATATAGAAACATTTATCAGTATTACAAACATACCACCTGTGTGAAAAACAAGAGATGGCTTAACAGTATTACAAACTTTGAGAACTTGTACAAGTACTGTGTTTTCATAACAATGACACAGCAAACTCAGAAAACATAAAAAATATATCAACACAGCATGGAAAGCAAAAGTAGGTCTTTGATCATGTCCCCATGCTTGAAAAAGTTGTTCTCAGGGTCATGAATAAGTGTAAACTGAATACACAACATCCCACTATCTATAATCACACTAAACTGTACCAGCTACATTGTAAAAACTTGAAAAGCAGGGATGTAGGATGGTAACAACTGTGATTGGCACATTATTTTCACTTTTTATATCATACAGCGCAATTCTTCAGCAGAATTTCAGTTACGTTATTATAGTTTTTGTGATGTTTTACACACCTTGCAACACCTAAAAAGTAATAATCAACCAACTAACTGCACTTTTCTTAAAAGTTAATTTCTGTGTCATATTTAAATTGTAATGAGGTCTTATGACAGAAAGCCGATAGAAGTTAAAATAATAAACGTGAAAGGCAGCAAGCAGGTAGTTTATGGACTCAGCTGCATCCACCGCACACATGATCAGACCTGCACATGTGCAGCAGAGAGGCGCAGAGCTAATCAAACATGGCATGAAATGCACTTGAGCTATGGCAGTCCCCAGAGCCAGCTTAGCCTCTGGTTGTATCTTACAGTACACAAACAGTATACACACAGAAAAATTGTGTTTTCCTTTCTGTTTGTTAGTCAAAGACCATTTAAATGCATTACCATAGCATCACCTCATTGTTGCTTTGTTCATCAAAATTTGGCACAAAAGCTGACTAGATTTGGCACTATTCCCTGCTTCACATTTTACTGAAAGGCTCTGTGCTAAAACAGCCCTTCAGGATAGATAGCACTCATGACGGTGATTCCTGGTTTTTCTATTTATAATTATGATTAACCCTTCCTGATAAAAGCAGAGTACTTACTACAGGCAAGCAAACGAGAGAGCAAAGAATTAAATTTAAGAAACCTTCAATTGTAATAAAAGCATGTGGTTATGCAGTGTGTATCTGAAAATGCAAGTATGTGTGCATTTGTGTGTGTGTATGTGTGTTAGAGTGATTGTGTGTAAAGCTGTATATCACAATGCATGTTTATGTGTGCACCAGTGTGCTTTTTGCTCTCACAGTGTTGAGGAGCTGTGAGCGTAGTCTTGGACGATGTTTGAGGTGTAGAATGAACTCAGAGGGCTTCCAAGCATTGACTCCATAGCAGGGGAGCCGCTCAGAGAGTCCCCTGAACACACAGAGTCTCTGAAGGGGGAGGGGGGTGATAGAGCAATAGAATCCTCGAGAGTTGGCTTGCTCTGAGTTAAATCCTCACCGTCCCCATCATCCTCCTCCTCCTCCCCCTCTTCCTTGGCATCATAAATGTAGCTATGTAAGAGGTCCAGTTCCTCATCCTCAGATCCTCCCCCTTCATAAGCCTTCACCTTTGAGGCCAGGGGAGGCTGGGAGGGTGTCATGCTCAAAGGCTCATTGGCAGGGAGTGGCTCCTTGGCAGTGTAGTCATTCAGCGCAGGTATATGGGAGCTGTGTGTGTCCAACATAGCTCCCTGCAAGCACTCAGTTGTGCAGCCCTTTGAATGAGGGGGCACATAAGAAGCAGGCTTATCTAAATCAGACTCCAGCCCTTGTCCAGAACAAGTCTGGTTCCAGAGGGGCCGCTGGGAATCGCCCTCATCATCCTCTTCTGTCAGGTTGTACAGAGGCTTAGCGCTACGTGGTTCTTGGCGGAGATTGGGGTCTGTGCCAGGGTCGCAGGAGGGGGGCTCACAACTGTGGGGGTCGGGGATGTTAGATAGGGGCCTGATGACCGCCGTCTGATTCAAGCCGGCTTCCTGTTTCCTCACATGCACAGACAGTCTGTGCCACACATTCCCCCCCCTCTGAGGGTGTCTTGCACCTGATTCAGACCATGACACAGACTTGCCATTAGAACTATGAACGAGATAAAGACCCAAGTTACTAACACAGGAAACCGGCAGGTGATTGCAGAAAAACATCAACATGGCAGTCTCATGACACAACAGAGCAGCAGCATTTCAACAATTCTGATGCATGTTAAAATACTTTGAAATTACATGACTATCAACAGCTTTGTTAAAGGGTACACTTATTAACAATCAGGGGCTGGTGATTCATAATGTGCTGAAGACAGCATTATGATCATCAATTGCAACCTGAGCTGGCACTCAGTAGATCATTTCTTCTTGTCTTTGTTATTGATAAAATGGGATGCATGCTTTTGGACTAAAGATATCAGTTTCTGAACTGGCCTGAAGACAACACAGAATTTGGTGCAGAATGAGCTAAGTCTTGCTCTAATGTGAGTGTTTGGAGAGATGGGGAGGGGAGGGGCATTCATGCTGAGAGAAGTTAAATGTGAGGTTAATCCAGAATAAAAAAGCAGCAGGGTGCCACACTCTTTCCTGGAGGACTGCAGTGTAATAAATAATGGAGGACGGAGGTAGTTGATTTCTTTGTGTCATTGGGTACTTGACACCATGATTTCATCTCAAGCAACTTAAGCTGAGAGCCAATCAAATAAAACAAATGTTACCTGCTGCGCTTTTTTCCTCACAAATGATTCAGGATGTAGTCGCTATAAAAAAAAACCCTGCAACAAATCTTTTTTCTGTGGATCAATAAATCATGTTGATGCTGAGTGTCCACTGTAGTGTACATCATAGTCATAAAAATGTAATTGTATTAGTTTACAGTGCAGATCTCCAGGAAAAAAAAGCTGAATGACACCCATGCTTTAATATTAGCCAGCAAGGACATACTTTTAGACAGTATGCTGCTCTGTTTCGAGTGTTAAAGGGTTAGGAGATAAATAAGACAGATAGGACACAACATGTAAACGTATTTTGATCACTTTTACACTGCCCCACTGCTTACTTTACACACCTGTCCATGTGTCACTGCTGTGGATCCCAAAACAGATATATGCAAGTCTTGTATCTAGTTTGAATGTTAGAAATGTGTACTTTGATGATCATAACACATTAGCATTAGTGTTCTCAGGTTAACTATTAAATTAGCTTTTTTCTTTTATCATATTTCACTCTCAGGGGGAGGGGGATGCCACATCTGTCCCTGTTCACTGCCTGTTTCTAAATCAAAGTCTCTTAAATTTTGCACAGATTTGGTGACATCGACTGTTCAGAAAAGGGTTCGGGCCACATTAAGAATGAAAAAATTGAGACTTATAAAATGGAGAGTTTTATAAGAATGAACACATAAGAGAAGACAGTCATAAATTTACAAGGTTGCAGTTGTCATCTGGCTAGAAAAAAAAATTGTCAGTGAAGGCATAAACATACTGAAATGTACAAAAGTTCTGAATTTAAAAGAAAATGGTTGCTAGGGGAAAAAAATTGTAAACAAACAAGATTTCAGTTGTAATCTTGAGAAAAAGTTTTAAAGAAAAGTTATACATTATGAGAACGATGTTGTAATCTTACAAGATAAATTTGCAATAGAAAGTAATCAATTTGTGAAAAAAAGGTAGTCTTGCAAGACTTGAGTTAAAAAGTAACAAGATTAAGTTCATAGAAAAATAAGACCAAAGCTAAAATTTTATAGAATAAAGCCATAATAAAAAAAAGTTGGAAAACTGCTAGAAAAAACCTGCTGAATTTAAGAGTTAAAGTTTTAAATACACATTCATAAAGTTTTAATCATTAGAGAAAAAAAGCTGTTTTTTACAAGAAAGAAGTCATAGTCACAGCCCATGGTTAATTTATATGTAAAATATACGTCCATCTATCTATCTATCTATCTATCTATCTATCTATCTATCTATCTATCTATCTATCTATATATATATATATATATATATATATATATATATATATATATATATATATATATATATATATATATATATATATATACATTACAAACAGAGAGAGAGGGAGAGAGACAGAGTAAGATCAGAAGAATAGCCAGTCACCTGCAATAAATCAACAAGCATGGATCATCTTGTGAAGTTACACTCAACAGCCTTGGGCAAACAGCTGTAACATTGGCATGCACAGCTTGCTTATTAATCAACCCTCCTTCAGAGTAGGCTTGGTGTCTTACACAATCCATTTAGGGTCTTGTGCTAAAAGATGAATCTTCAAATTATCTCTGAAACTCCTGCTTAAGTTTAACTTCACAAGATGTTCAAAGACGTTCCTCCTTTTAGTGATTTTTTTTTACCACACCATTCCCCAGAATCTCAATTTTTTCTTTCATAATATGACCCCTATTATTGGTTGTACCATTCCTGTGACATTGTTAAAATAATATTTGCACATGCCTCAGAGATAAATGATAGATTTATTAAAAGCTGAGGATTATTTGTACCTTTTGAGTGTTTAGGCATTTATAAACCAAAGAAACAATACAAAAACTGAACATGAAAGTTTACTCACTTAGTATTTCCAGATCCAGGCTTCTTGCGGCGGAACATATTAAGGAAGCTGTTGCTCCCACATTGAGCTGCAGACTTCCCATCTCCAACATGCATTCGCACCACATCAGATGTGGTGAAGGCGCTTCGGACATTCCTCTCAGGCTTGGCAATGATAATGTACATCTTAGGCGTAAACATACAGCCCAGTGCCACTGTCACACTTAAGCTGACGGAGAAGGACGTGGTTATGATCTTGTAGTTTGAACCAAAATAGATGGGGACAAAGGCCAACCAGATGATGCAAGTAGTGTACATTGTAAAGGCAATATATTTGGCCTCATTAAAATTGGCAGGGACGTTTCGAGTCTTGAAGGCATAGTAGGTGCAGCTCATGATTAGCAAGCCATTGTAGCCCAGTGGTGCCACCATGCCTAGGTTGCTTGTGTTACAGATGAGGTAGACCTCACGTATGCTTGGATAAGACTTGATTGGTTCAGGGGGCTCCAGAATAATGAGAGTGATCTCCAGTGTTAGCTGCACACTGATTAACATAAAGGCGATGATCACCTGAGCCCAGGCGCTCATAAAACGGGGCTTTCTGGTGCAAATTTTCTTCTTGCTGCCTGCCAGGATTCGGGCAATGCGGTTCGTTTTGGTCACCAATGCGGAGTAGCACATAGCAGATGAGAGACCCACGAGAAGCCGCTGCAAGTAGCAGGAGGCCACAGTAGGGCGAGCAATTAAGGTAAAGGGACAGATGTAGCCTAAGAAGATGCCTGCCAGGATGATATAACAGAGTTCTCTGCTGGAGGACTTGACCACAGGCGTGTCACGGTACTGAATGAACACAAAGGTGACAAAGGAGGTGATGAGGATGCCCACACAGGAGAACACCACTGCCACTATGGATTCCACATCCGCCCAGTCCAGATACTTCAGAGGCAGGGGCTGGCAGCCTGGATAGAGCAGGTAAGATGTTGTATTAGTCTTTTAATGGAACTGTAGCACATCTTTATGAATGAAAAGTACAATAACACAAGATTAAAGAGCCCACGAGCAAGCAGAGAAAATGAGAGAGGAGAGGTTCTGACACCATTGGTTACTTCAAGGTACCCGAACTCCAGTATTTGCTGATACATGGCATTCCCCTAAACCAGCCATAAAATAGGAATCACCATTATTTTTGAACAGCTGTGTGCTTGGATGGATGTAATAAAGCTAATAAAATATAATTTTTAGACAGGTTGTATTATTTCAACTAGGGAAGTTTGGTTATTTTACAATACCATCATTATTATTTTTTTATATATATTAATGTATTTCTCTGTTAATGAATTTATAATTCATTAATTTGCTAGTGGGAGCTTACTAGTGTCGGTGCTCTATGCAATTATAACTAATACAATTGTTTTGATAGAAAAAAGTAATGTTGAGCACAAATCATAGACTGTATAGAATGGACAGAGTCTGCCTCCTCACTGGGTGAAGCCATTCCGAGAACAGCACCCTCTGTTGATGGGCTGCAGTATAGGTCATAAATCCCGCCTCCGCTAGCAAAGCTTATGGGGCTGTGGACAACCTTTAGAAATTTATTACACAGAACATACATTTTTCTCCCCCCTGCTTGTGATGTTGACATGTAGTTATTCTGAGACTGGTTTGTGCTCAAGTTCTCTTTTTTCTGTGAAGCTCCATTTTTAGAAGTTATTAGGGGGTTCATGTTTTCTATGATTGACACCTGATACAGCCTATGGGCGTTCAGGGATTGCGTAGCTCACCCCGGGGATATGCTGTTTGAGCCGAGTGTCATCACAGTGACCCTCGGCGACTGCGCGGCTGAATGCACACATCGCTACTGCGCAGCGCTGGTTTCAGGAAATGAAGAAAAACCCTGGAAATATCGAGAGCTTTATGGCTTCAAATCTGTATACAGGCAGTAGGCGGAACCAAGTTGTCCATAGTATATACAGTCTATGGCACAAATAAGTCATGTCTGCAGCAGAGATCAGTCTGCCTGGATCATTTTAGTGGCTAATTTTGGGGTTACATCATACACATCCTAAAGCTGAATTTCTGTCAGTTTTCCCTCTCATGCTCATGCAAAGCCACACAAGTATGTGCACTCACATAAGTAGGTGTACCTACTCTGTCATGAGACGTGAATAACATGCTTGTCAAACTGCATATGGAGGAGTGCTTATTGGGGTGTGTGTGTGTGTGTGTGTGTGTGTGTACACTTTAAAATAACCTTACATGTGGCGTCAAGAAGGCTGTTCATTTTCAACACCAAATGTATTTCTAAAAAATAATGTGAGAATAGGTGGTAAACCAGTTGTTGCACTCAAGTGTTATTATAGGTAGTACTGCAAAAGTACACAAAAGGGTCAAAGAGTCATAAGCACACTACAGTGAAGTGTTGCATGTTTTGCTCTGGACTACCCACCAAGATTGGTCAAACTAAGTGCAAACAGTTAAGGTTGGTAAAGGTGAAAAACAGCCACCGATATCTTACATGGTTGTTACACAATTCCCAAACCCTGTATTTCTCCAAAGCCTCTCTCTCTCTCTCTCTCTCGCTCTCTCTCTCTCTCTCTCTCAATCTCTCTCTCTTAATCTCTCTCTCTCATATGAATATATACACTACAGGCCAAAAGTTTGGAAGCAAGGCCATTACAGGCCGAACAGTTGGGAGTAACTTCAAGTTTTTGTTCACAATGCTTGTTTTAAAATCCAGCATGAGTATTATGTATTTTGGGATGTATTTACTCCATGATCAGATGTTGCTTTCATGGAAATGCACCATTTTACTCCATTAAACTTTAGATATACATTGATGTTAACAGACCATTGCTAAGTATATGTCAGCAAAAGATAATAAGGGCTAAGTTTTAGGGTTGCAAACATTTGCAAGAGTCACAACTTCAGTGCAAAAGCAAAAAAACAAATCACAGTTGGATTATTCATTCCAACTTTTTGGCTTTTGAGAGTCTGCATACAAAAATCTTAAATCTCAACTGCGTTCAAACAACCGCAAAAATGGCTAGAAATAAGCAACTGAGTAAAGAAACAAAAGTACAGATTTGTACATTGAGGAAAGAAGGATACACAGAAAGAGAAATTGCAAAACGCCTAAAGGTGTTTAACAAAGGAGTCCACTACACTCTGAAGAGACTCGAGGAACCTGGAAGTTATGATGATTGAAAAAGTCCTGGACGAAAGAGAGTTACTACAAAAGCAGAGGATAAACAAAGCATTGTCACCAGTAAGAGAGATCGGCGAAAGACAGCACCACAAATAAGGGAGAAAATCAGCATGACAAGGTCGAAACCCATATCTCTGACAACCGTGAAATGATGTTTGAGAAAGGCTGGTCTGAAGGGTTGTGTATCTGCAAAAAACACTACTTCGTCCACAGAACAAGAAAAAGAGATATGAGTGGGCAAAAGCTCACAAAATTTGGACTTATGATGACAAGAAACAAGTTTGCACTGTTTGGTTCAAAACGCAGACAAACTGGTGAAAGTCTGAAAAGCACCATGTGTTACACCCACAATTCAGCATGGAGGTGGTAGTTCCATGGTATGGGGATGTTTTGCAGGTGATGGAGTAGGAGATTTGTTTGAAGTAAAGAGTATCATGGAGAAGGAACAGTACCACTCCATCCTCCAGCACCATGCTGTTCCATCTGGACTCAGACTTGTGGCTCATAAGTTTGTTTTGCAGCAAGACAATGACCCTAAGCACTCTGCCAAACTCTGTCAGGGTTACCTAGACAAAAAAGAAGAGGAAGGTGTTCTTCAAAAGACGGTTTGGCCCCCTCAGTCTCCAGACCTTTCTCCAGTTGAGCTTGTGCGGGATGAATTGGATCGATTGGTCCAAAAAAACGCGTCCCACGAATCAGTAGTCTCTTTTTAATGAACTTAAGAAAGCTTAGAATGCAATCCCTGGAACATATCTTAAAAAATTGTGGAACGAGTGCCTCGTATATGCCAAGCTGTTGTTAAAGCCAGAGGAGGTTACTTTAAAGAAAGCAAAGTCTAAGTAACAATAACTCAAATACCTAACAATTATAGTCAAAATGTCTTCTGAAAAGTTACTCTTTATACAATAGTCATGTTTATTGTGTTGCAAATTATATATATGAAACTATGATCTTTTTTGTACAAATCTGATCTTGCTTCCAAACTTTTGGCCTGTAGTGTATATACATTTTTTTTAAATCAAAGCTCATTTCTGCTGAACATGTACAGTTATGTTAATCTGTAATCTTTTTTTTTTTTAAATTGAGCTATTTAAATGAACTGTCCTAAATGAGCAAATGAGTGGCCATCTGTATATTCAGGTCAGGTCAGGTCAGGTATACTTTATTGTCATTGCACTTGTGCACAACGAAATTGCATTTACAGACTGGGAAAGAACACACAAGAGGGAGGGAGAGGAGGAGGTAAATAAAGAGACTGCTCTCATTAATATGAGTGTAGTGACAAAAAAACCCTCAGCAACATGAGCACATTACTGACACCACATACACAGAGATTCGGAGACATGCTATGGTTGTTGAGGGAGGGGGGGGTAGTGGAATGGGTCATCAGTGATGGTGGGAAGCCCGCAGCCGCTGCCCATGGTGAGCGCCGCCAGTCAGGGTAGCCCACCACACTGAGGGGTGGAGCGTCGAAGGCATTGGGTGGGGGAGAGGTGAGTGTGTGCATATGTGCATGTGTGTGAAGGTTCATGGATGCGTGTGTGCGTAGGCCCAGGAGGTCACTCCGTCCATCGCCACAATCTTGGTGAACTTGATTGAGTTCCAGACGAAGTCAACAATCCGCAGGTGTCCATGAAGAAGGGGGTTAGGGAGGAAAGTTCAGAGCATTGGATTGCTGAGATCTCCTGGAGGAGTTGAGCCAGCATCGACCTTGGCCAAGGCCGATACCGAGGGAGCCGAAGAGTAGATTAGAATGTTTGGGTTAGGGCGAGTAGCCACATTCCAGTAGACTTCAGCTACTCTGATTGGTCATCCTGGTCTCTGTGTCGATCCATTTCCCTATTCATAGAGGGACCACATTGTCCCTCTATGAATAGGACATCAACTCTCTCTATTAGTATTCTCCAGACATGTAATGAGAGAGAAGGGAGAATTTCTTCCTCAACACACTGCCAAAATGTATCCCCAAGCCTCTCATGTCAGTAATAGGATTTTACACCTGGGAACTGAGAGCTCCTCTCAGCTCTATAAATCGCTGTCAAAACAACCTCTAGGTCACAACAAGGCATGGAGCAGGGAGGAGGGAAGTGAGCAGTGTCACTTTTGTGAGGAGCTGTGAGCCGGGAGCAGGGTCACAGTACCTGGATGATGAACAGCATCAGCTAAAGGAGGTGTCAGGGTGTGAAGTGTGAACAGGCTTATGGGGGGAGGGAGATATTAGCCAAGGCACATATAGTCCAAGAGACAGAATGTGTGCTGTTTAAGTGTGATTGGTGTTATGAGATAAAAATGTCCTGGAAATGGAGCAGGTGGAAGGTAGGTTACCCAGCTGCAAAGTCTCCTAACAACAGTTTTTACACTAATACCAGTCTTGCCCTCCAATAGGCTACTCTCTAAATTACAGGATCAGGAATTGACAATTATGTCAGTCTATGCACTGATCTGCTACCACAACCAAACAGCCCTGGATAAGTCATCATGTGATAATAACACACAACATCTGGTTGGTGCTGAGAATGTAATACTAGTCAACATAGCAAAATATCAGTCATCAGTATTATTCACTAATATTATTTTTATTGAGTTGCATCAGTGGCCAAGGGTTACCCTATTTTTTAATACTCATATCATGTTATTAGAATCAGTATCTAGAAGGAAAACATGGCAGTATGGTCTGAAAATTACACCAGTTGAGAGCCAAAACAGATACAACCCTTTGCCATCTAGATACTATACTTAGCCTCTTTCTTTCTTTTTTGACTTCAAGGAAAAACTGTGTTATCAAAGTATGTTAGTCTGACTTAAAGAAATTTGACTTCTTCAGTCCGACTAATGTGTTTACATGTATTATAAAGGTCTAGTTTTAGTCAAACCAGCACCATAAACCAAATAATTTAACTGCATGTAAATGTCCTGAGTGTAAGATTTGACAGAGGAACAGAGGAACCTCAACTCAAAAGGACAGGCTTGGGTGGAAAGCTGTGTGTGTGTGTGTGTGTGTGTGTGTGTGTGTGTGTGTGTGTGTGTGTGTGTGTGTGTGTGTGTGTTGGTTAGGATAAGTTAAGATTGGTTACCTGCCAGGTCGTCATCAGGCCACCATCCCAGCTCACAGGCCTTGCAGGTAAACTCATCCTGGACATACTCATTGTCCTTGCATGTGGTGCAGATCCAACAGCAGCTCACCTCACCCTTCCTAATTACCTACACACAGAGTGGCTGCACATCAGTGAACAGGAGTCGCACATTTTAGCGAGCAGTCACAATGACAATCAATACAATTAATCATGACAAGGTTCACATCACACACAGAGCAACCTTAATAAGTAATCTGCATCAAAGCAATATTAAAGATGAGGATATGATGGTGCGATTTTTTTTTCTCTTTGAGCCCCAGACATTCTGTTTATTGAACAAGGCAAGCTGCTTTGACATTCAGCTCACAGTGAAGCTCTTACCAGCACTGTGATATGGAAAGCAAGGTGATAAGTGGGGCAAGAAACAAAGCAGAAGAGGGGAAGGCTTAAGTGGGCAGGAAAGGGGATTTACCACCCCCGAGGGCTAGAAAAGACCGAAAACAGTAGTCTGATAACCTGAACTAGCCTTAGTGTTCTGTTATGTTTTTCTTCCTATGACCTTTTTCTATCATGTTGAATAAGACTGAGAAAATGGATGCTTTATGAATTATTGTCTCCTTCTTGAAGCCTTTCACATAAAATTTAATTAATGAAACAGGATTACAAAATGTAGGACAGTAACCAAAGAGGCAAAAGTGGGAAGTGTCTTGATTTACTCGCAATAATAATTCTTCACATCCAAACAGTGACACTGTGTATTCAAAAAACAGAAAAGCTGTGGGAGCATAGGGAAAATACTATCCCTGTCTTCATCTCTGTCTGTGCTTATTTTTACCCATGCTGGACAGTCAACCATCTACCGCCGTGTCATATTGCATAATGTGAGGCCATATTAAGAATGAATAGTATGAATTGTATGCAGCTGGGGACACTGCTTTGGTCTTGTCAGGAGGGGTTTTACTAAAGAAGAAAACCCCTCTTAATTAAGGGTGAAAGTATCTAAAGTGTGATGGTTGTCTCAGAAATCAGTGAAAGCACTCTGTGTGTGTGTGTGTGTGTGTGTGTGTGTGTGTGTGTGTGTGTGTGTGTGTGTGTGTGTGTGTGTGTGTGTGTGCGCGCGTGTGTGCGTGCGTGTATGTGTGTGTCTGCCCATAGAAACTACTTTTTAAAATAAAAAAGATTCTCAGAGCAGAAGGGGTGCTAAATTAGATCTGCTGGTATTAACTTACATCAACACTGGCGGAGTGTTAAAGTGATACTTCAGAATAATTTTGGAACATTATCCCAGTCTCAGAGCAAATCCTTCATTGTTTGTGAATAACTATTCTCAGGTTTAAGGTTTTCTCTTCTCAGTGGCAGAGTTAGAATTAGCTCCAAGTAGGATTTGAATCCATACCTTGATCTGCCCTTTAGAGCAGGGATCACTGCAGACTGAGCGAACCATGTCGCTGCTATTCATCCAGAGCTTGTAGTCATCAATGCTTAAAATGCCCTCATGCCAGGAGCCCACATTTATGTAGTCATAGCGGCCGTCACCCACACTCTGGAGATTCATGATATCATACCTGCATAGACAGACAGGAAGTGGCAGACACTTGTAATCAGCATTTATACATTATCAATTGAGTTAAAAATAAGACTTTAACATGGAGGGAAAAAATCAAGGAAGAGGGTGGTAAAGAGAGAAGGGGAGAGGAGAGTGACAGCCAGGTAATTTAATGATAAAAACTCTACAGCGTTGAAAACCATTTTTGTGATAGAGTCACTGTTTGTGAGTGTGACATCAAGAGCTCATGTCAGTGGACATAGTGGCCTTATTTTTGATTGATCCAGGATCTGCTCCACCTGACCCCTAGTTGACAGAGAAATGACATGGCTGTGTTTTCTCACTGTCAAATGCTGTCTGTTGGACTGCACAGAGATGAAAGAGGTGGCCACAGCAGACAATCCACTGAATCTGTTCCAGTCCAAACTCATTACATCTTTCCATACTTAAAATTGGTGTACATGTGTGAATGCATGCACATGGGTGCCAATGACCAGGATGGTTTTGGATGATAAATGCAAAGGTACATCCTCCTAATGCGCAAAATCTGTTCTTTTTTGACACATCTTACCAGCCAACATATCCCCTTACCTTCCTGGAGTGTCTCCATTTTCATCAAAATAAATCTCCTCTCCAGAGACTCCTCTGAAGGATGTCTTCAGCAGGTAGTCCAACAGCTTGCTACCATCAATTGGGTCCATGGCCTCGCAGAGTCCTGTCTTTCCTGGACAGAGCTCCTGGTGCATATCATGGAGTCCATGAGCCATGGCATAGATGGCATTGATGACAAAGCCCATTTTACTATCCTGAACATAGTTTTCCTGCAAACTCTCAGTTCCTGTTGGAGGGGAAATAAATAGAAAAAAATATATAGAAATTGAAGGAAACTTTGTAGATTTTCTTTCTTTCGGTTCTGTTTCTGTAATGTAGTTTTACTTTTAGAATAAAAAAAAAGTGGTGTTTTCCAAAATGCACGATCAAATTTAAAACAGATATTGTTTACAGTTAAGCACAACCTTTTTCAAATCAAAATATATTAGCATTTAGGGAAATCATTGCACTGTGTTCAAAAGCCCAACAGGACGCAGATGGCTGGGAAATTCCCAGGACTTCAGATGCCGACGCAACCATAGTCAGACCTCATCATTTAAGAATCAAAAGAAAAAGTACAAAATGTGCCCTACTTTGCATCCTTGCATGAAGATATTCCCCTGATTTTCAACAAATTTACTTCTTAAGGTAGTGCATAAAAGGAAGTGCGTTTTCATTGTTTTGGAGGCAGCATGCACATACAGTATTGTGATTTGTCATACTGCAGCATCATCTTATTCAGGTGCTTGGGTAAACAGATGGGCAATTCCCTTGCACAACCTTTGTGTTAAAGTATGAGACCATTTTCTTTTTATCCCTTATAAAAATATAAACAAAGCCAGTGCTCAGCTGTGCTCGAGTTTGACTGATGCCATCCTGCCTCCGACTGGGAGACTGTCAGCATGAAACATCACGCAGCTCATTGGCTACGTTGCAGTTTAAAGACATTAAGGAGAGTGTTGTGTTAGAGAGCATCAGTCAGACTTTTCTTCAAGTCAAATGCTTTCTGAGTGCAAGTGCAATTGAGAAAAGTTCTATTCATGCCTTGAAAATGTGCTTACCACCTTGAAGGTCTTTGGAGTCAAAGAGAAAAAAAAGTGATGCAAAGAAAGTAAAAGAAAAGCTGTGACTCAACTGCTTTAAGTATTAGACACAGACTGACTTTACTCATGATTTCATTAGTAGCATGCTTTTCAATTGATGCCACTTTTAGATTTTTCATTAGATTTACTGTCAAATGCTTTGGTGCGGAAGCTGTTAATAGGCCAAGAACATAATTTACCATGGTCACCTTTAGTAGGCAAATGGAGAGAGTATTCAGAGAGGAAAACAGAAAGAGAAAAACACAGTATTTATTATTCCAGAGCTCTGCAAAGTACCCTCAAGACTAGTTCAACCCTCCACACTAACTGACAATTTTAAAAGAGTGCAGACAGCATGAAAAAAAAAAAAAAGCACACATTACTCCTATCAATGTGTTTAAAAAAAATGGCCCTTTTCCTAAATACAAGAATAGAAATTTCTCCAGAGTACCCACCACTGCAGACTTTCTTGTAGTTCTTGTTCTCCTGTGGGTGGCCTGGTAGGCGGCACTGGAAGCGGTACTGCCAGAACTCGGCGAACCAAGGGTTCCTGGTGTTAGTGTCCAGACGCAGCTTCAGGTAGTAGTCATCAAAGGACTTGACCACCTCTGACTGCAGCTTCATGGTGATTCCTCCCTCTGCTTCCTGTTCATAACCCTCCACAACTTCGTATCGGTCTGCCCATCCATCACTGCAGGAGACAGAGAAGAAGAGGGAGGAACTTTTACAAAACCACCTGAGGGGGGATATGGAGATTATGAAACACATACAAAGGTTTGAGTTATGGACTTTGCTTGACCCTCAGGATACAATTATAATGGTTGTGTTATAGCTTATAATAAACAGAACTTTCTGATTGACATGCAATTAGACTAGAGTGCTGCTATTTCAAACAATTTCAAATCGCAAAATGTAACAGAAAAGATTCCAACAATAGAGCAGATGTATAGTAGTGGTGGGCAAAACCGTTCATTTCAGTGAACCGGATCATTCCGGTTCGTTCAGTAAAAAGATCTGTTCATTTCGGTCATTTCGGTCAATTGGTCGTTAGTCAGTCCGTTCACTCATGTTCACGTTCATGTATATATATATATATATATATATATATATGTATATATATATATATATATATATATATATATATGTATATATATATATATATATACACATCAGTGGCGGCCGCTGGTCTTTCAAGGAGGGGAAGCTAATTTTTCTGGCCTACATCATAATTGTGTTTGTTTATTTGTATGTAACAGAACAGAGTCGCCAAACACAACGGCAGTTGTTTTTAACAAAGACAAAAGTCGCTGAGGATCGGTAAAGTCTTTGGAGCAGTTAAGAACAACAGAATGAATAACTTGGAAAATGCTTTGGTAGATGTTTTATTCTTCAAGATCACTGATTCGCTTGTTTAGCTGTCAATCAAAAAAGGATTTCGCCTCAGACAGCTCATTCAATCATGGATGCAGAAGCTCGGAGTCCGGGAGAAAGTCAGGACCGCCCTCTCGCCATAGAACTCCAGAGAAGCTCAGCGTCCGATGGGCGGGACAAAGCCCAGCATTTATCCAATGAGCGTCTAGTTTCGCTGCTGGAACTACCCACTTTTGAGCTTCCACATTGAAGTCAGCAGACTCCGAGCGTCCGGCTGTGTGAAGCGCTGAGGCGCTGCGAGGATGAATGAGAACGAAGCTGTGCAGAATCAGCTTCTTATCACACTGTGATAAGAAGCTCTTTCTGAACAAAAGATGAAGGCTTTCTAGCGCGTATTAAGTTAATGAAATGTACACTGAGCAGTACGTATTTCGCCACTTTTTCTTATTTTTGGGGGGTGACATTTTAAGGGAAGCTGAGCTTCCCTTGCAGTCTTAGAGCAATCGCCACTGGTACACATACACACACACACACACAAATCTATTCATTCTTATTTCGATTTATTGTTTAATAGTTGCCATGGTGTTGTTTAATTTGTACTGTATGTGTGTTGTATGCAACACACAACAACAACCGTCCCGCACTGAACCAATACAGGATGCTGTTTGTTCCGTATATTCCCAAATCCCCCATACAGGTCTGTCACACAAATGTCAACGCTGAATATAACAATAATGAACAAAATAAAACATAGGAAATACCAACCAAGACAGCAAAAATGTTGTGGCGCAAACATCAACACCCCGTGCGTGCGCTGGCTGCATTAGTCTCTCTGGCTCTGGCTGCAGCAGCAGCTGTGTGCCTGTGTGTGTGATTGTCCCGCTCGCTCGGGCTTGGCTGTCGGCTCGTGCGCCGGCCGGGGCACTGTTTGTTGGACTTGTGAGTACAGATACCCCCCGCAAGAGACTGCCTGATAGTTTATTTTACTCAGTACATCCTGTTGCGTTCACAAGTCGGTCGGCTAGTGACAGGCTGACAGCACCTTGCAGAGAGTGAACGCTTGTACTCAGTCAGTCTGAGAGTCGGTCAATCTCTCGGTCAGACCGAGCTGACTGAAAAGACGGAGACCGAGTCGATCATCGGTCCCGGTCTTTCAGTCTGCTTGGTCATCGGTCCCGCTCTTTCAGTCAGCTCAGTACTGCTGCTGCTTCCCCACCCACAGAGCGAGGCGCGACGATAGGATAAGACAGGCAAGCATGGAGATAGTCCCGCCCTAAGGAACGGTGAACTGACTCTTCAGCCAATCAAAAGAACTGAACGGACTGAACGGATCATTTAGGGGGGGTGACCCCGTTCATTTTGTTCACCAAAAAGAACTAGTTCTTTTGATCCGTTCGTTCATGACCGACACACCACTAATGTATACAATACTGCTACTTCTCTGTCTGTTCTCAGAAGAGGTTTATATAACTATTCTGTTAAGATGAAGAAATTCATTTTCTATATCAGATATTTTAAATTGTGTTCTGGTGACGCTGCTCTGCAGAGGGCCAAGTCTAAGGTTTGCAACCGGTGTGTTTGCTGTTGATTGCTAAATTTGTGTGGACTTACCCCTTATATTACTGTTATTTCAACTATGGTAGTCTGCTGCTCACGGCTATACAGAGCAATGTTCAGCTAAAAGGAAGAGCAGATTTCCTCACTAATACAGAGACTCAAACATCTAGCAGTAACATCACTTACTATCAGTATAGCTTCAGTACATTTACAACTAAAAGTACCAGGACAGTATTCATTTCCTTGACAGTTTTTCTTATGAAACACCACAAGTTGTCACCTGCTGAGTCACTGACCCGTGTACAGAACTTGCTTAGGCCAACTTATGAACAGAGCCTTACACAACAACTGCCTGGACTCACAATTAGTTCAAGATGTCAAAGCTGGTTGGGTATTACAGACATAACAATAATGACTTTGCTAAATAAGCTGTTTAAGCCAATGGCGCTCCACTGGTGAATGGCTGTACAGTATGTTAAACAGCCTGAGTCAAACTAGTAAATGAAACATACTTTTAATGAATGTTTCTCAGCTCTGCATTGAATTTCCCTTCAGGGATCGATAAATTTCTTATCTTATTTTCTGCTCTGTGTTAATTTTTCAGAAACATTTCTAACTTCTAACTTTTTGTTTAATAAGTAGAGGGGATGGGTCCGTTTCACGTAGGTGGTTCAACAAACTCTGAGTTAAATCCTTAACTCTGAGTTGATCTACTCTGAGTTAGGAAACTCTGAGTTTCCGGTTTCACAATACCTGATTTGAGACGGTTTTAACAACTCCGAGTAGTTTGACCTGGAGTTAAGCACGTGCACGCCAGACATAAACAGCCAGCATCTGTGGAGCGCAGATTCAATGATCAACCAATGGAAACAGGGAGAAGGAGGGGGCAGCAGCAAGCCAACAGCGAATTACAGCACGTTTGTAAAAGAAAGTGCAATACAGCAGCAGCTGCAAAGGAGAGGGAGAGGGCTTGGGAGGAAATCGCTGCTCGCGTCAATGCGTAACTTTAAATCTAGTCTCGTGCAATCACAATGACAGACTGTTGCAGGGAAACTGCTTGAATCATTTTGATCATGTTTTACATTGTCAAGTAAGTATTAAGTGGCAGTTTGATCCCTTAGAAAATGCTCTTTTCACACTCAAAAATGAATTTTACTCTCTTATGATGTTCCGTTAAATGATTAGGAATATTAAACTAACTCTCAGTATGTATATGTACATATATTAAACTAACACACACTACACTCAATATTAGACTTTCACTCAGCAAACAGAAAGAGGGCAGATGCCAGAAAAACGGGTGGTGGCCCAGCAGCCCCACCTTTAACGGAGGCAGAGGAGCGCCCCCCCCCCCCCCCGACGATCGAAACCCCCACCCCGTAGCAGCGATCGTCGGACTGGTGTGCGTGTGTGTGTGTGTGTGTGTGTGTGTGTGTGTGTGTGTGTGTGTGTGGGGGGGGGGGGGGGATTTGCGATCGGACCGGCCGCGATCGTCGAACGGGGGGGGGGGGGGGGGGGGCAGCTCCTCTGCCTCCGTTAAAGGTGGGGCTGCTGGACCACCACCCGTTTTTGTGTTAGTTTAATATTCTTAATCATTTAACGGAACATAATAAGAGAGTAAAATTCAGTTTTGAGTGTGAAAAGAACATTTTTTAAGAGATCAAACTGCCACTTAATACTTACTTGACAATGTAAAACATGATCAAAATGAGAAAATGCCGATGTCTCACCTGAAACTCTGGGTTTACTGAGTTAAACCTGCTCCCGAGCAGGTTAGGTTCACGGAGTCTGTTACTGTGGTAACTGACCGCGAGGTTGAGTTACCTCTCTTTGTGAAACAGGTTAGAGTTACCCCTCTCTCCCTGGTTTAACTAACCCTCCTTTGTGAAACGGAAAACTCAGAGTTTCCCCGATTTCAGGGTTAACAAACTTGGAGTTTCCACTAAACCTGCTACGTGAAACGGACCCGATGTGTTTTTATAATTGATGGCACTGTTGCCAAATGACACTCCAGGATAAATAAGCACAAAGTGTCAGCAGCCATCACGGTGGCTTCACTTTTTTTAAAGTTAATGAGTTGTATTGTAAGATTTAATCCATTGATTATGATGTTTGAGGTCTGTTGGAGAATGGTAGCATAAATTAACCAAATCTATTTCTAAGAGTGTAGCATCTCCTTCCTGATCTTTATGTTTGTTTGTTTTAAAATAGAGATGAGGAGGATAGTTCCTCTCAAATAGCCGCAAATGGATGGGCAGCATTGGTGCAAAGGCCCAAAGTTGATGTGAAAATCTGATTTTACTTAAGCTTCCACACTGGGTACACCATAGCTTCTATTCTTGTACAATGTTAAATTAGCATGGCAGTTGCGGTAGGAGGCTTATCTCAGTTCCACTGCAGCCATCCTCAATTTAGGAGGACAGAAATCCCAACAACAGTGCCTCGTCTGTAATTGTAGGCTTTACACAATCCCCTCAGCTTGCTTGTTTTGTTTTTTTTGCTTGTTAAACCCTCTGTGCAAGGTTTTCCACCCCGCAAAGCTGCCCAATTTAGACACCCAGCTGGCCTGTGGGCTGTGAGAGACAAAGAAACATTAGCAAAAGGGGCACTGAAAAACAAAGTCTGAGTCCTGCTCTTCCATGTAATCTAAGCCAGTGAGGGATCACAGCTTTATTTCATGAGCTGTCTTTCCATCTTTAATCTCTGTTATGGGCTACAGCCTTGGGATACCTGAGCTATTGACAGCTACACACCAATTAGGTATGAGCCACCATGGAACCAATTACTTTACACACATGGGATGTTCTGGGTGATGGCTGACAATGTAAGTGTGTGTGTGTGTGTGTGTGTGTGTGTGTGTGTGGGGGGGGGGGGGGTTAAGTTTCTGACCTTTACGTCTGCAATCACTGTCAGTCAAGAAACAGCAGTCATTCAACCAGATTTGTAGGAATATATCAAGGAAACTCTAAATCTTGGACTGAGCTATTTCATCCATCTCAAGACACATAAAAAAGGCACATAAATTCCACATGAGCTGGACAGGGAGTGGAAATTGTCCTCAAATAGAGACCATTTCATCCAGAGGTTACGGTATGAACAGCTGACCCTGAACATCTGTCTTTTTAATCCTGTTATCTCATTTATAGTGCTGACTATAAATGCAACTTCTATATATTAAGTGTCCTGTATTGAAGACCATTCTTCTGACTGTGTGTGTGTGTGTGTGTGTGTGTGTGTGTGTGTGTGTGTGGGGGGGGGGGGGGGGGGTAAAACTGTCAAGTTGACCTTTTCAGAGCATTTTTAATTCTTTGCTATCATATTGTATCGTATCATATCGTATCCTAGCATTGTATCGTATCATGATTCACATCCCCACTTCTAGTGTCTAATAAAACTGGCATTCTCCATGTGACTTACATATACTATTGAATAAAAAAAAATTAAAGGCTTTTACTCAAAAGAAAATCTCAATATTTTTTACAATGTTAATGAGTTGTTTAAGATTTAACCATTTTATGATGTTTAGCCTGTTAAATGGTACATAAATTAACCAATCTATTTCTATTTGATTTCTTTTTATATTTGGCTTTAAAATGTGAAAAATTTTCATTTTTACCTCCTAATGCTTACAGCCAGCTGGATGCAACAATGGTTACAAAAAAAAGGCAAATGTAATGTTGATGTTTAAAATTGTGAGCTTTCTGTTTAAAAATTATGATACACTTAGGGCCTGATCTACTAAGATCCCAAATAGCGAACGCTGAATTGTGTGTGCAAACTAAAAAATTGCACATGCAATTAGTGGGCGTGTTGTGGGTGATCTACTATCATTGCATGCGCAATTGATAACAGGTGCAAAAGTGGTGCGGACCGCCTTCTTTGAACAAGGATTTTGCGTGTGCTATCAGCTGTCGCCATGGAGAGTTTGTGAGAGCAGAGTGATCCTGGACCAAAAAATAAAGTTTGAAGCTGTGGAGTTGCTGCACATATCATTTTGGGGAACTGCATAAAAGGCAAGCAAGGCAAGTTTATTTGTATAGCACCATTCATACACAGGGCAATTCAAAGTGCTTTACAGATGCAAAAAATATATTAGAAATCATAAAAGGAATTAAAACTATTTAAAATCAATAAGAAGAAGAGATATATTTTTTTTTTTTCATGTGTTCCGGGTTTGACATTATTATTTATATAAAATCGTCATCTACCAGAAAATCGAAATAAGTTACAAGCTTTTGGACAAGGATCATGGCATCTATCTTGGCACTTCTGCCTCCTTCTTCCCACAATCCCCCTCTCCAACAAATATTCGGCTCTATCCATGAGTGTGGAGCAACTGGTCCAGGGCCCTGCTGATCCCGAGGCCTCCCCAAAGGATGCTGCAGCCCTGCTGACAGACACCACAGCCTTCCCTCCACTAATGGCTGCCTGTGCCCCACCGGATGGACGTCCAGCACCGGGCCGTCAAGCACTGTGCCACTCTTCTCCGTCCCCCCCGCTATTCAACCCAGCGGAGGTGGCTCCTCAAGGACGTGGTGTAATGGCACACTGGACGTCCTCATCCCCGGTGCCTGATGGGGAGGACGGATCCACCGAGCCGGACGCCCCCCTCAGGCAACAGGCTACAACACTAGTCATCGGGGACTCCATCATGCGGAACGTCCATCTGAGGGGAGCGTTCACCCTGTCCTTTCCTGGCGCCACTGTTGCAGACATAACTGAGAAAATCCCAAGCGTCCTGAATTCTCATCCACAGGGTCGGGGTCACGGGGTCGACCACGGGGTCATCATACATGTGGGCACCAACGACACTGTATATCCTGGATTAATTATCGATCCTAAGGCTTTTATCAAAACTGAAAACCCTGTCCTCAGTTTCATCAAATCAGGTAAAGAATCTAGGCGTCATCTTTTACTCCACATATTAAAAACACAACAAAAACAGGGTTTTATCATTTAAAGAACATAGCCAGATTCCGACCCTTTCTCTCCTGGGCTTACACAGAGACGCGTATGCATGCTTTTATCTCCGGTTATCTAGACTATTGTAATGCCATGCTTTCTGGTCCTCCAAAAAGAAACATCTCAAGTTTACAACTGTTGCAAAACTCAGCAGCACATGTGCTGACGAAGACCAGAAGGTGGGCACATATTACACCGGTTTTAAGATCACTGCATTGGCTGTGTGCTTTAGGGATTGATTTTAAGGTTCTTTTAATGGTTTTTAAATTTCTTAGGGGTCTTGGACCTTCTTATCTTTCAGAATTGCTTTTACAATATGAACCCTCACGGACCTTGACATCTTCTGGCGCTGGCCCTTTAATGGTTCCCAAAGTGAGAACACAAACTTATGGTGGGGCATCTTTTAAGCACTATGGCCCCCGTCTTTTGAATACCCTGCCGGAGGATCTGAGGGCTGCAGAGAATGTTCATATTTTCAAAAGCAGGCTCAAGACCCACCTATTTATTTTGGCTTTTAACTAATGTCTTATTTTTAAACAATATTTTTATCCTATTTTAATCTTATTTTATTTCATTTATATATTTTAGTTCTTATTTTACATATTATGTTTATTCTATTTATTTACTTATTTTCAAATGGTATTTCTCCAGTGTTTCCTCAGTGGGGGCCACCTGGGGGCCATATGAGCCTTTCATAAAGGTGGTCATCCGGAGAAAACTCTCCCTGTAAACTCTCGCGAGCCAGAGTGCTCCTCGGACAATGTGAGCACCGAGGTCTATAGGATCCTTCAAGAACGGACAAGCCGTTTTTCGAGAGAGCTCATTGGTCAGTGGGCGGGGTTTTTATACTCTTTGAGTTCAATCTGGAACTTAACCTGCCCCGGAGCAGGTTAACCGTTCAGCATATATTGCTATGGAGACTCGCCTTGCTAAGAAGTGAACCCGTGTCGTAGAACAGGAAACCCCGAACTTATCCTCGAAGTTATCTCGCTAAGCAGTAATCCTGCTTCGTAGAACAGGCCCCAGGTTTGCGTGAACGTGCGAAGTTTCCTCATGTTTTTGCACACGCAAACCTTTAGTAGATCAGGCCCTAATGTCTTGCAGTGAAAAACATGCTTGATGGTGAAGTTTTTTAAGAGGCAAAAAAAAAAAAAAAAAAAGAATGATGTGCACCATTGTTACTGCTAGGTATGAACCCACCTTCCCAAAACCATTACTTTCGAGGAAATGTTAAAAAAAAAAAATGTTTATGACATAACTAAACACTGCATATGTTTCTGCCACAAGCTTCTTTTAATTCTTTTTCTTGGTAACAATTTTAAGGAACCTGACAGATGTAGGGGAGACCAGGGCTTGTTGTCACATGGGTGAGTTGTCACATTGCAATTATCTTTGCCACCAGAGGGTGCAAATAAAAAGTAGAATACTAGTTTTCTTCCTTTACATGGTCAGGGGTTGTGTCCTGTCTGATAAGTGAAGAGCACATTGTGAGCTGAGATGAGCGCCAATTAACCATTTCATACAACCCAAACCTTCTTCTGGAACCTTCTTCCAGATGAAAATCCTAGCTGTGATACATGTGGACTTGTTAGAGAAGAGATTAAGCCAAATTTATTTTATATGCCAACATCTATGAAAGAAAGAGCCAGGCCACGGAGCGTGATGCGTCATTACGCACAGATGGTTCCAATTTTAATGCCATTTTTGGAATTTATGATGTGATCTCTGCGCACAACCCACCTTTGTCACGTGAGGTTTGAATATGTGCAACTTTATGTGAGTGTCTTTATTTGTGGAAAGGGTGTTTGTCTTACTAGTGGGTCCAACATTACACACACCAAATCCATCTGTGCTCATATGAGAGAGTGTGGAGGACGCCTTCTGCAGCACTTACAGTGACACTTGTTGAGGGGCTGCCTTCTGTCGCCATCGTGTGGCATTGCTGTCTTCAGACATCTCTTGATCTCTTTGACTACTTCACAAAAATAGTAATACGCCTCGCTGGTGGCGGATTCAAAGGCGAGGAGAGGAGGTGATGTTATTGGTGAATACAGGTCTCGGCTGTGTTCAACCCACTCCACGCCCTCTCTCCTACCTCCCTACGACTTGCGCCACTGGGAGGAGCTGAGTTAGGGAGGGGGATACTTACGCCGGGCTGCACTGCTCACCAAAATACCAAATTGTGCTTGGGAACGCCTTGTTGGCGCGGCGGACCTGACTTACGCCGCGCCTGTGGCACGTCTCCGTCGAGGCACGAAAATAGAGCCCAGAGAGTCTACTTATCAGCAGTTGTCATTGAAATTTTGACTTTATTTTTACAGAAAAAAGAATGATTTAAAGGAGAAGAAAAAGCGAGATGACATGGTCAGGAATTACTAAAGAAAAACAGAACGTGGCGGTGCAGTACCTGATGTGATGCTAAGGGCAGTCAGGCAGATAACCCTAGCTAATAAATCAATCTGGAGGACAATGAAGGACCTCAATGTCAACTACCATACTTTGGCTCAGTACTGCAAAACATTTACCCCAGCCAGAATACAGAGTCGGACAGCTCTCCAAACTCCAGAGCATGTTGCATGATATTTTATATTAACATTTACTCAAAGGCTATGTTCAACGACTTTCTCAATGATAAACATTTTCTGTGCCTGACTTTGATGTTCACTGACATGTAAAAAAAATTAGAACAAAAATAATTTTGTCTTTGTTTTATTAGCTGCAAAATCCACTGTGACATCTTAGCCCATGTCGTGAGACAACTTACCCCATGGTGGGGCAATATGACACATGTTCACACTCTCTATTTGATTCCTTCCTTGCACTGACACTTCCTGCACTGACACAAGATATGAAAATGACATAAAACAAAATATAGACCTGAGACTTTGGTCTTTCATCTAGTACACATTTTGTTTATATATGATGTTTTGATTCTAAGAAATATATAAGAGTGTAAAAAGTGTGTCAACAAGCCTCGGTCTCTCCTAAAGGTTGGCTCATAGCAAAATCTTTTGATTAAAAACAACTTAAATCATCAAGGAAATATGAAGTTTCTGCCTGACAAGGATGCTTTGGTACTACCGCTGTCTGCGCAGGGCTGTGTTTGGTAGTGGTGAGAGGACAAAATTACTATGGCATTATCTGTTCTCTTCTATCAGTGATGATATTAGCCTGTTGAGCATCTGATAGTGGCTGTATCAAACAAAATCCTCCTTTTTCTTCTTGTTATTGAGTTTTGAGTCAGAAACACGTGGATTTCATTAGTCCCAGTCACATTTCTTTCATTCACTTCATGTGAATACTGTCTCTGTCCCTCCCTCTCTCTTCCAGTTTATTTTCTAAAGACACAGACAGAAAAACACAAAAAGAGACATCCATATAGATGGAGCCTCCTCAGTACAACCCAGTGTTTATCATATTTACTGCAAAAGAACAGTGAAACAGATGGTCTGTTAGATAAATGGAGGGTGGGGAAAGTGCTTATCAACACTTGGAATGAATTATGCACAAGGCATTGAAGACACGCTTGACTGTTTTTCACTATGGAGTTTGTGATGAAGTGAAATAACATCCTCTCTTGTTGCTCTCCTCTCTTTTAGGATCACAGCGCTCTCTGGCACCACTCCAAACAGCTCATCAAAACTACTGAGGCCATCAGAGGGAGCGCCTAATGGGATGCAATCTGATTTAATGTCACTTAAGTCTTCTCTGCTTCACACTGCAAATAGGGTGGTCCATTATTACATAACCTGAGCAGAGGAACACCTATTTAAATGGATTTGGGGGTCAGTGCCGTTCAGGTATGTTTTTAGCTTTGCAGAAGAGTTCTTGTAAATGTAAATGGGTGCCCCATCCTCAGGGATCCACAACCTGGGCACGAACACCAACCTCTCTTTGTACTTACATATGGACTCAGAGAGAAATCCCACTCCTTTCCTCCGAAAACCATCTCAGAGCTCTGGTTTGATCACTTCCCACCTTGAATACTACAATGAAGCCTGCCCTGGACCACCTCCAGAAATGATAAAACTGGAGCAGGGTTCTTGCCTTCACCAAGCCTTGGCAGCACACCACCCTAACCCTCACCCACCTCCACTGGCTCCCAATGAAATCCAGCATCAAAAACAAAATACAACTTCTAACCAACAAACCCATCCATGCCCTCACCCCTCAGTACCTCTCCGACCTTCTTCACCCACACAGCTCCTATACTCTGGAGAAACCTCCCTCAGACATCTGAAATGCCCCAGCTTTAGCTAAACTGAAAGACAAGCAAACAAACAAACAAAAAAAACTGCTCACACACACACCACTTGTACACTACAGCCTGCACCCTCCCTTAGCTCTCCTTCCCTTTGAGACCCCCAGGTCTTTACACCTGTCTCAGCCCTGTTTTAAATGTTAGCACTCCATTTTTGTAAAGTAATCTTAAGGATGTGCGTGCGTGCGTGCGTGCGTGCGTGCGTGTGTGTGTGTGTGATATAGCCACAATCTTGACCATGGTGTTTTTTTTTTACAGGTGATCACTAGTGGAGACCACTATCAGCATTACAAGATGTTGAAAGGTGTCACAAATGCCAACAGGAATACAGTGAAACAATTTGGTAGTTTTTGCTAATGCCATTGCCTGAAATGAGACAGCTACTAACACTGTGTGGGGAAAATCTTCAGTAAAAGCCTTCTGGAAAAAAATAATTATGAGCGTTCAGTAGCACTTGCAAAATGAGGGATTACATTGAACTGCAAGGTAGGAGCAGTGGTGTCAACCAACCAAAGATAACAGCTCCCATCCCTTTCAGTGATTACACCCAAGTAGTGTTATAGATCAAGACGAAAATACTCTGGAGACAGAACAAATCTGAAGAACTGAGCAGTAAATATTTTCAGAACTGATACACAAAGGTGCTCTGGTGTAAGTCTCTCAGGGGTAGTATATATCTATCTGTCAATGAGCAGAGACCTGCTGGATCCCTCGGTCCAGTTTTATAAAATGATCCCCTTGTGTTTCTCTAGTGAGGGCAATCTTTGTACTTTGAAAAAAAGGATCATTCAATAAGTCAATTACCTCAAAAGAAATACAGTATTCACAGGTAAATTAAAAGGAACTTGGCAGGTAATACTTTAACATATCTAACATGTGACCTGTGAATGCATCAGCGAACAGGGCCACGATTATGTTAAAGGTGGGGTAGGCAGGTTCTGGGGAAGTGCCAGTTTTTGGGAGAAATCTTGAATGTGAACACTACCCCTCCCAACTAGTTTTCCCCTCAGCTCCTCATTGCCCCTCCGTCTCTGCTCCAACAAGCCCTGCCCACAAACAGATGCTCCTGCTCGTTCGTATCATTTCAGTTAAATTCAGATATAATGCAGATAAATACTTCAGATAAATACAAATGGAGCCCAGTGAAAAGTAAAAAGCATTGGTGCTACTGTAGATGCCAAAAGACTACCAGCAAACACAATGTTTGCAGGACTTCTACAACTAGGATAATGTGACATACTCCAGGACCCGAGGTAAACAGTTAAGCGTCTCTACAACACGCAGCAGGTCCCGTTTAACAAGAAATACTTCTGTTACAGACACTTGCCTTACTTTGTTAAAGCGTTTTATCTGTCCAGCAGAAAGGTTACAGGGTTCGTATGATCCTGAAGCGTCCCCTATCATTTTTTGTTGACCTGGCTTCTTAGCTCTTGTCCGGGTGGTCTACCTCCTTTTTTCGTGCCTGTTATTCTGCCAGAGTCTCCGGTATTTAGATAGATGATAGATAGATATACTTTATTGATCCCAAACTGGGAAATTCTCTTGTTACAGCAGCAAAAAGAAAATACAGAATAACATTAAATATAAGAAGAAGTAAGTACAATGCAGACTAAAAATACTAAGTATTTACAATAAATACACACTAAATATACTAAACATCCTAAGAGATAAAAGTGAGATATGAAGAACGTGGGCTATTGAAATGAGTAATAAATATGAAATGCTAAATATTACAGATGGGGTGATAGATAAACAGACAAATTAAGGTGCTCAGTAATGTGATGTGGTAGGAGTTTTAAAAATGGACTATACAGCAGACATATGTGAGTCCCTGTCTGACAGATGAGAGTTATTAAATAGTGCAATAGCTTGTGGCAGGAACGATTTCCTGTATCTGTCCCTTTGACAGCGGAGCTGCAACAGTCTGTTGGAGAAGGAGCTCCACTGTCTGTCCAGAGTGGGGTGAAGAGGGTGGTCAGGGTTATCCATGATGGATAACAGTTTGTTCAGTGTCCTCCTCTCCACCACAGCCTCCACAGTGTCCTGTTTGCAGCCAATCACAGAGCCAGCCTTCCTGATCAGTTTGTTGAGTCTGTTGGTGTTACTGGCTCCGATGCTGCTCCCCCAACAAACCACGGCAAAGAAGAGTATGCTGGCCACCACAGACTGGTAGAACATCTCCAACATCTTGCTGCACATGTTGAAGGATCTCAGCTTCCTCAGGAAGTAGAGTCTGCTCATCCCCTTCTTGTAGACAGCGTCGGTGTTGGATTTCCAGTCCAGTCTGTTGTTGATATGGACGCCCAGGTACTTGTAGACCTCCACCTCCTCCACATCTGCTCCCCATCCCTTTCCCTGCTTATACACCCAACAACAGCCGAGTCATCAGAAAATTTCTGTACTTTTTTACTTTGTTTTCTTGCTTGTGTCGGCAGTTGTAGCCAGAGGAGGATTCAGAAAATTTTCTGTACTTTCTGGTTGGTTTCTGCTGTCCGATATTGTAACATGCTAACTTTGTTTGGGCTGGGGAATGTTATTCGTGGACTGTGCCTCAGATAGCTCAAAATGTTGACTACACAGACATAACAAAACACAGCAATATCGTGATATTCTCAAATGTCATCAATAACTAATAGCTATTGACTGATAATAAAAGCCTTGATGTATTTACACCACAAAAAAGATGCTTCTTTAATGGATTCCTGCCTACCACACCTTTAAGAGACAAGAGGATATCCTGATAGTCTGATGCAAATTTCTATTTTTCTGCATGCGGTTCCTTTGATGCTCAATAATGATCTGTGGATTTAAAGATTTACTGAGGCTTGATGATGTGTTGCATTGTTTAGAGAAGCACAGCATGCCAACAGCTGGATGATTTATAGAGCAGCGAGTAGGCTGAGAGCTCCCCTGGCTCCCCCAGATGATCCAGTTCCAGTTTGATAGCACATTTGTATATTTATGAAGCCATGAATTAATTGGCAGGGCAGAGATTTAATCACATGTGGTTTCCCCTGGAGGATAAATGGGAAGAGTTACTTTAAAAAGGGAAAGGAGAGGATTGGGGAGTCAAGAGTTTCCTAATTGCTGTCCGGTAGTGTAAAATAAAAGTTCAGGTAGCTAATGGAAAAACTGTTCAAATGTCTGTCAGTCACAGACCAGCAAATGTCAACCTGTCTAATTAAGAGAATTACATAACTTTTAAAAAGAGAAATCACACAAAGTCTTTGATCAAAACGTTATGCACACTCGCACGCACGCACACACACACACACACACACACACTCCATTTACTCTCAGTGTTACAGCATGTCTCTCTTTCTTATTGTCAGCAGTGACAGATCTTTTTCAGCTTTTACATACAGGTGACAGTGAGAGACTGTGAGCAAACAAATGTGCAAAGATACAACGTGTTAAAGTACTGATGTTGCTGGTTGGGCTCTGAGAAGAATTTATAAGTTTTACTGACCCATTATGTGGCATTTTTACCCTCAAATTATTATTTGTTAATGTTGTTTTATGTTTTTTAACTTTTAACTCAGGCTGTTTGACAAGAAAGAAATATTCAACTGAGTTCATTTTTGGTATGTTAACATACTTAATAGAGTAAGCAGTCACAAGAAAGAGTTTGTAAGAACAAACAAGGGGTGTCCCCTTGGGTGGCTCATCAAATGCCATGGATAGTCATGGCCGCCACCTGCCTCTGTGTGAAACAGCGCACCCTAAGCAAGGAACTTTTCTCTTGTAAACTCTTATTGCTGAGCAAGCTTTATTGGGTTAATCAATAGGACCCAGTATGTAGTCTGGATTTTTTTTCAGCTTTTGCCTTTTAAACAGACACTTACGAAGGTCATGTCATGCATATAATGTTTTCCTGAGTACAACCCAGTTAATTAAGGCCAGAAAACAACTGAGAAACAACTCTTCCATCTGTACAATCTAAGGTGGGCTGTTAAGGACATCATGAGGCAAAACAACTAATCTATTAACTATGTGCTCCTGTCAGACAGCAGGAAACATCAACTTTAAGCTACATCTTGGTTAATGTGACTGCCTGATAATGTCACAGAAAAGTAAAGGTTTGAAGTAATGCCAAACAATAATTACAGCCAGGATTTTATATTTCATCAGAGCCGGACAAAAGAATAAACACAAGAGAGTGTCAAAAGTGGGTCATTTTGTGAAACAACTTTTTAATCTATGGTATTTTGCCATACCAAGATCAAAAAATCGAGGATAAGATGGATCTAAGCATAAAACAAATGAAATGTTAGCCAGACTACAACGTCCAGGCAATATCATGACACTACAGCAATTTAACTGCCCTTTAACTGCATAGAAAGCCACCAAATCAATAAGGCTCATGACACTCAAGAGACAGAAAAAGCATGAAACTCATTAACTAAAAGCGGGAATTACTGTTCCAACCGATGCATAAGCAAGGCTCACATATTAAGCAGGCTGCAGTACTTAGGCTACTTAAAATTATGTTTGACTTTTAAAGGTCCCGCATTATGCAAAATTCACTTTAGAATGGTTTTCTAACAATATGCAGCCCTAGCCTGTCTACGAACCAGTGGCAGCTGCTGGTCTTTCAAGGAGGGGAAGCTCATTTTTTCCCCGGCCTACATCATACATGTGTTTGTTTATTTATATGTAAATTCTACATTCCGTTCCTTTTCAAGGAAGTAATCTGTGACCCTGTCGTGACGGAAGAGAGTTGCCACACACAACGCTAGTTCTTTTTTAACAAAGACAAAGTAGCTGGTGATCGGTAAAGTCTCAGATCAGTTCAGAACAATGGAATGAAAAACTCTTTACACTTTAAGATCCCTGATTCACTCATTTCACTGTCAATCAAAAATGGATTCCACCTCAGACAGATCATCCAATCATCATGCTGAAGCCGAGCATCTGGGGTAGCCCACTGCCCCATAGACCCCCAGAGACGCTGAGCGTCCGATGGGCGGGACACAGCCCAGCATTTATTTGATGAAAATGAAAAGTTCTGCACAGTGCAAAAAACCCACTCTACACATCCCCATTTATGTCAGCAGACGCTCAGTGTCTAACTCATAGGGCTCTATTTTCGTGTACGCCGGGGACGCAGCGGAGGGTGGCGGACCCTGCGCAGTTGTATTTTCGTCTGGCAGAGCCCGGCGTACAGCTAGTTTGGTATTTTCGTGGACTGAGGTGCACCAAGATACGCCAAGCTGGGCAGGGCGGCGTGGCAGGGGGAGGTGTCGACAGAATCAGCTGGCGCAGTGACATTTTCGTGCTTGCTGGTGGCGTATAAAGTGCGCTGAAAGCTCGCCAATTCAAACCTGGTCAGATTTCAGCGCAGCTTGTCTAGTGGTATTTTGGTACACCTGCGGCGTATCGGCATACGTCACCGATGCCTCACTGGCAGGTTTCCACAGTGTCAGGCACATTTCAGTGCAATAAATAATCATCAACAACTAACAATCTGAGTCAGCACATACACTTAGATCTATATAGATATATTCTGATCTATATCTTATCTGATGAGCGCGTTTGGCACGCGTTTGGACACACAACCTGACCGAATCAACACAGCTTAAACCGCATTAAATTAAATAAAATATCTAGTAAACAGACACACATGATGAAGTTAACAAGACATGTAATTCCTCTCCCTCCTTTTCTTTCTTCCTCTTCCTCTTATTTCTTGCGCAGCTCGACCTGGACATGTCTCTGTGTCTTCTCCCCGTCCTGCTGCAGCTGCTGCTGCATTGGCTGAACAGATGATTTGTTTCAGTATTCAGATGATTTATTTCCTTAAGCCTACATACGAATATTATAATATTCAGTTTTGTGAGCCAAATTTCTTTTATATGCCAATATCTATGAAAGAAAGAGCCAGGCCACGGAGCGCGATGCGTCATTACGCACAGATGGTTCCGATTTTAGTGCCATTTTTGGAATTTATGATGTGATCTCTGCACACAACCCACCTTTGTCACGTGAGGTTTGAATATGTGCAACTTTATGTGAGTGTCTTTATTTGTTGAAAAGGGTGTTTGTCTTACTAGTGGGTCCAACATTACACACACCAAATCCATCTGTGCTCATGTGAAAGAGTTTGAAGGAAGCCTTCTGCAGCGCTTACAGTGACACTTGTTGAGGAGCTGCCTTCTGTCGCCATCGTGTGGCATTGCTGTCTTCAGACATCTCTTGATCTCTTTGACGACTTCACGAAATTAGTAATACGCCTCGCTGGTGGCGGATTTAAAGGCGAGGAGAGGAGGTGATGTTATTAGTGAATACAGGTCTCGGCTGTGTTCAACCCACTCCACGCCCTCTCTCCTCCCTCGCTACTACATACGCCGCTGGGAGGAGCTGAGTTAGGGAGGGGGGATACTTACGCCGGGCTGCAACGCTCACCAAAATACTAAATTGTGCTTGGGAACGCCTTGTCGGCGCAGCGGACCTGATTTACGCCCCGCATGCGCCGCGTCGCCGGCGAGGCATGAAAATAGAGCCCATAGACTGTATATACTATGGACAACTTGGTTCCGCCTTTCGCCAGTATACAGATTTGAAGCCCAAAATCTCTGGGTAATTCTGCATTTTTTCTCCACTTTCTTTCTGAAACCAGCATTGCACAGTAGCATTGTATGCACTCCACCACATGCGCAGTAGCATTGTATTACTTGGTACTAGGAGAGTCACCGAGAGTCGCTGTTATGACGCTCGGCTCAAACAGCTTATCCCCAGGGTGAGCTACGCAATTGTACGCCCATAGGCTATATCAAGTGTCAATCAAAGAAAACGTGAATCCCCTAATTTAAAATGGACCTGTACAGAAAAAAGAGGACTTAAGCAAAAACCAGTCTTACAGTAACTTCATGTCAACATCCCAGGCAGGGGGGGGAGAAAAATTATATTCTGTGAAATAAATTTCTAAAGTTTGTCCACAGCTCCATAAGGATGGCTGGCGAAGGCAGGATTTATGACCTACACTGCAACCCGTCACCTGAGTAGCTTTACCCAGCGAGGAGGCAGACAGTGTCCATTCTATATACAGTCTATGGTTCAACAATGTAGAACACTGTGGCGCTGCAGGGATGAATGAGATTCTGCTGATTCTGAACAAAAGATGAACGTGTTCTAGCGCATATTTAGTCAATTAAATGTACACACAGCATTACATATTTCACCACTTTGTTTTTTTTTTTTTTTTACATTTTAGGGGAAGCTGAGCTTCCCTTGCAGTCTGAAGGCAATGGCCACTGCCATTGAGACACATAATATTTGTAACTAACCATCCAGAAATGTCCTTCTGCAGCCACAGAGTTTAAATTTCTTGAAGAGCCTTTCCTTATGGGTCAGACTCTGGATCAAACTGGTACGGCTGGACCACAGCGCTTCTGCAGCCATACCTAGCACTTTGTGTAGTACATGTACTGTAGCGCAAGTCACGACCCCCTCTTCCAGAGAGACAGGGATCGGCATGGCTTGCGCTGAAGGAAGCGTGGACAGGTGCAGCACACAGAAACTGCATGTTTTCTTTTTAATAAAACTCAGCTGCAGATTGTAGGGACAGTTCTTGTTTTCTGCTCAAGACATATCTCCATACTGTATCATTAGTTCTCTTAATTAGTGGTGATCCAAGTTTTCTCCAGCAGTGAAGAAATGTTCAAACACAGGCTTCTCTCCTCGGATGAACACTAAAGCTCCATCTCCCATACTCCCTGCTTTCATCTTTTCCTACCTGCTTCCCCATTCTCCTCTACATCTCTTAATTCTGTGAGCGACTTGTTAGCTCCATGGCGGCAGCAGCAGGGCTCTTCTAAGGTGACACACAGGACCCGAGTGAGCTGGGGAGTCTTTAAAAGCCCTTCCAAGCTGCTTTTACTTATTCATCATGCCCCAGTTTGAGTTGGGAGATCAGTCTCCTCTACATTGACAGGAAGAATTGACTGGGGGGAAAACCTCTTTGCTTTTTAGTACCAAGGGATGTCAGTTAATTACAAAGCAAAGACTTTGATCGCAGTTTCAGTAGTGAGTGATGGATGACAGGATTGAAGGTTCAGCTGGTCAGCCTGCTGACCCCATGTTCAAAAGCTGTAGTCCAAGTCAGATTGATAGCAGGACTAACTTCTGCCCAACAGGATTTGGTGTTCATACAGTAGTTCACCCAAAATCTCTCCTGGTATCCCATCTCTCTTAAGCTGTCCTAGCAAAACAAAGACAATAAAGCCCTAAAATGGCAAGATTATAAATGACTAGGTACTAATTACTAATACTCAGAGATAGGGGGGTGACATTTTTGTTGATGTTCTTGTAGCCATAATCTTCACAGTAAATATCAGCTCGCATATATGTGTATAAGAGTTGAACGCTTTCAGCCAGGTTTTCTGAATGTTTATTGTACTTTTAACAACTGTGAAGTTACAAATATGTAGGCTGAATGTTGCTCTGTGGCGTTTTGGCTGAAGCCTCAGTCATTCACAGCCATAAAACAGAGATGAAATGTGTTTAGCTGAATGTGGGTTACTTGTTTAATGCTGTTTTCTGGGTTTCAAAGCATTCCCTATGATACACATTCTTCATAAAAATTTTTACTTTTGTAAGCTGATGTATTTGGAGTCGTTCTGCTTTATGGCTCATTGTTTAGTTGGTAAAATATACTGAAATAAGATTTACTGTGCTTCTTGATTCAAACTTTGTTAGAAATTAAACAAAACAAACAAAAAAACAGGACTTTCAAAAAAAATTGCCTTTGCTAGGTCAGACAGCTGAAGGAGACAAGAAATTTGGTTCAGGATAGGGGAAGGAGAAGACATACAGCAAAGGAACACAGACGAAATCAAGCCAGTGGCCACTGCAACAAGCACTATAGCCTATATGCATTGGTGGTTAACTGCTGAGCCACAAGCCCCCCAAGCTAGCTCGTTTTTAGAGAGGACATGGTCTAATACTACTTTGGAGTTTGAAGTATTTTCTATTCGTTAAAATGGGACAGGCTGGATTTATGAGCTATGTGAGCTTAGCTACGGTGTCCTGCAGATGTGGTCCAGTACACCACAAAGACAAGTTATTGAAGTTTACGCAATTAAAGTTTATACTGAGATGTTTTTAAGGCTTAGCAGACACAACACACCTGTGTTCTCCCACCTGCTGTGGACCTGTTGATGTGCGTCCAAGCTACAAAACTACAACCAAACTGAAAAATAACCAGTTTTGACAGTGCAAGTAAAATTAGGCTTGTACACAAACTGAAATGTAAATCAAGCAACCACACTTTAAAATGACTAAAACATCTCTTTTTAGTATGCATATTTAAGGAACCAAAACTACATGCTCTTTTGGAGTTTTTGGTTTCTTAAATTTTCTGAAACGAAACGATTTGCTCAGTCTTTTCCTTTTCATCTGTTTCAGGTTGTAGTTATTTATCCAATTATTTTCTGAGCAAGACCCTGCTGGTATATGACATGCTGACTACTTTGGTTCCATCTTCCCATATCTGTTTACATGTTTCATCCATCTACTTTGCTCCTACGCTAGCTATGCATACAAGAATTCTTTTCAGCCTGTGCAAATCACCTTGTGACAACTATGTCCAGATGTAAAGTCTGCATGCTATTTTTGGTAATTCCAATGTCATTCAGCCATCCCCTCACACAGGGGAACACAAGGCATCAATTGGAAATAGAGAGATGTCCTTGACAATGTGTGGCTGCTTTCAGTTAACATCAGAGGCTCATTATTAATATTCAGATGCAGCTCATTGTGCTTGTTGTGCTCGCTGGAACACAAACATCTGCAATCATGGATCCTGACCCAACTCCATGTATTCTCCATGTGTGTACAAGCAGGCTGCCATTACTGAATGAACACAGACACTGTGTGCTTATCTTATAATTACAACCTTTGTTGCTGTTGTTGCTGGAAGAAATTTTTCAGATGTCAGCCATATTTGCAGAGAGGAGACGATTGTTGTTTAGAGCCCTGCTGACAGACTGAGTGACAGATCTACAGTGAGACGATCATACCAACTCTGTCATGAGCCCAAACATAATCTCCATGGTGACTGTAGCAGCAACAGCATACAAGCCTTTTTATTCTAGTACAACAATAAATCCTGAGCTGTTCCAAACATTAATTTAAAGTTTAAAACAGGCATGATTTGACTTGGTAAACTCTCAGCAAACTTGAAAATGAACAGAACTGTTTCTACAGCCCACCCTTCATGCTTACCTTTTATCCTCCTTATACTCGTAATATCTTTGTTAATCACTATGTTGCCCTAGAGAAAACAGATATTTGAAGAGGAAAGAAGCAAGTTGTAGGATGTGGGAAAATGCCTCTGATATTTCAAAATAGGCTGGGGTGGGGGGGGTGTGGGGGGGGGTAGAGGATCAGAAAGTGGATTTGAGTTCAGGCTAAATACATCTGCAGTATGAAGGCATAATACCCCCCTTTCTTTCTCTTCTGCATACTTAAAACCCTTTCAGTAAACCTTACAATAGTAATGAAGCTACAAAAATAAAATAAAAAGACCCCAAGCATCAATGAATTTCCTTCATCTAATGATCTAAACAGCTTTCATAATCTGAATAAATTCTTCAACATTTTATTCAGACAAATTCATGAAGGATGGATCAAGCCAAAGCAAGCAACCAAATTCAGCTTTCACCCTTTGTACATCTGCAGTTCTGGATGAGAAAGATACCCTTTTATCTTGGCGGTATTACCAGAGAGAAGTGCCTTCTTTACTCATTCCCCGCTATTTGCCAAATTACACCAACAAGAAGTCAATAGGCAGAATTCCACATCCTCCGCACTGCTTTTCCTGCGATGGGGAGGGGATGAAAGCTTTAGAGACTGGAAAAAGGCAGATAAATGTGTTACGCCACAACGCTTCCTTTTTTCTCTCTTTTTATCCCCCTGATAGTCTCATTTTTTCAAGGTGGGCGCAAAACCTGAGTCCCCCCCCCTGCTACAGGAAATCCAATACAACACCAAAATATGGAAGCGCATGTAAGACACAAGATAGGCTTGCAGAAATTTTTTCTTTCTTTGCAGCCTCAAAAGATGGACCCATGCCCAGCTAATAAGCGGGTCCAAGCAATTACAGTGGCAGAACATCCCCGCTCCTGTCTCTGTGTCCACTATGTCTCATTAAATAAAAAGAAAACATGAACCAAGAATTTTAAATGGGACCTCAACCAAAAATGTGTGTAAGACAGTAGCAGGAATGAGCGTTACATGCGGTACAGCAGCTTATGCAAATTATGTTTGGTAATAACAGAATTCAAGCAGCATTAGACAGAGAGAAAGAGCAAACGGTGCTAATTGCATGGAGAGCATGCAGGCGGGCTAATGGGTGGGTTCACTCCACGCTGCCATTCACAAAGTCCGCACAGCACTGGAAAAAATCACTCTTAAAGAAAAGACAGTACAGTAGATGTACATCAAGCTTGTCGGAGCTGCAGGAATGATTCCATGGCTGTTTCTTATATAACTGAGTAGGTGGACTCAGAAATTTACAGTAATACTCAGCTTATCATGCAGGACAGTAAAATGGTGTTTGATGGAAGCTTAGTAGCCATTCTGCCATATGCACACCTAACAAATCAAGCCTCCAGTTTATGAATTGAAAAAAACTGCACCAGCGTCTGTTTATCTTTTTGATTGGCTTGGCCTTGGAAACTAAAAAGAATCTGCCATTCTCTCACCTTAAAATGCTTTTTTTGTCAACACTGAAATAGTGACGTTTTGGTCCAGCAGCCGCTGTGTCTGGTATACTTCAACAAATACATTCACAAATCCGTTAAAAAAAAAGTGACAGAAACCACATTTTGGATGACTTGTTGAGTTTTCAGTGTGGGTATTGATCCCCCATGGCTCAGAAACAGCAGAAAGAGAATACTGCACTTTCTTTTCATTTTGTTCTGGAGCTTCGCTTATTGAACCAGGTGAGTGAAACAGCTGACTCATTGTAGACTAAATTCTTCATTTTCCTTGTGCACTGATTGTACAGCTCCTGTGATGAGTTTTTTTGTCGAAAAGACTAAAATTGGTACCAATGCCACTATGTGACCTAAAAGAGGCCAGACTTCAAAACAAGTCATTCAACTCAAAAAATAGTTTAAAATTGGCCTCAATTTGTATAACATAAGCATATCCTTACGCTGTCAGAGGACAAAATCAGCAAAGAGATGAGAGTAAAAATTGATTAAAAACCCCAATAGTTCCTCACAGTTCCTTTAAGTTGTTAGCAAATTTCAGAAAACTTTGAGAACTTCTAAGTGAGAAAAGACTTCCTCTGGACATCCTGGATTGTGAATAATGTGCAGTTTGAATCAGAGAGCAGTTGCTAGGTGCAGTCTTTTTTTGCCAAGTGGATCTGTTACATCATTTTTTACACTGTTAGTAGTAAAACACAATGAAATTGGTTTTTAATGTAACTAAAATAAAATGAAGGCTAAATATCAGGGCCTGGATTTCTGAAATCCTTTTTTGCACAGTGCAACATTATTTGTTGCAGAGGTAGATTATCTGGACAAACAAAAGCTATAAATAGAGCCACAGCTTCAGCTCAAAGCACCGGTCAAAGCTTAGAAACAGCAACATGCCACCAGTGGATCTGTAATAATAACTGGAGCTGCCTCCTGGGAGTCATTTTGTATGTGTGAGTAATGCTTTCTGTGGGCAAATAAAAGGCGAGTAATCTGAAGCCATTTTACAGCATCAAGTGCACCCTACAGTATGCAGCACACAGTGTTCCCTCTTGTTCTTGTATCACAGGATTACAACATTCCACACACACATTGGTAAAATAAATTATTGATTGGTTTTATGAATGCGGTATAAAGTCAGACAACTTTCTGGTCTCTCTGGTGAAGTTAAGACCAAACACTTCCCCCAGGCAGTCAAGTCGCTTTATTCTGCGAAAGAAAAGGACTCCCTGAGAATAAAGTGGAACAATGATTTTGCCTTTTTGTGAGCAACTCCAAAGACACCTTAGGAGGAGTTGATGTGCTAGTTTGTTCTGGACAGGTCTGTGTGTCGTGGAATTGGTACATACTTATTTTTCTTCTTGTATATATCAAATTTAAGACTTTTTTTAAAACAATGTTGTTGATCCAAGGCTTTCAAAGCTTTTAAGAGAGAAGAGCATTGAATCCGAATTCCATCTTTCATATTCAGTAGTGTTTTCTAGTGATATTATATTCTATATTCTATACTCTACAATTAACTACAAATCATTGCTAAAACTAGTGTTACACCCATCCCAAAGTCGGCCCTATGGGGCTTATCACACACTGATCCATTACAAACAGCAAAACAGCTTCAAAAGTTTAACATGTGATTAATTAACCAAAGACAAAGACCTAAATAATCCACCAAGAGGCAACTAAAGAACAAATCAACAGGACAACTAAAGACACAAACAACCAAAACACAAACAAGAGGCAGGGCAGCAATAGATTCGAAGTTGGGTCTCTCTGTTCCAACTTGTCTCTGTAAAATCTCTCCAGAAATTCTGTCTGATGTTTTTATTCAGAGATCTGAGGAAAGGGATGGAATTTTCAACCCAATAAGAAGCATCCTTTAACTTGATTAATGATTAAAGAACAACAGGAACCACAACAAACTTTTCTTAGCGTTCTTATCTCCCTACTACACTATTTATCCTTATTTTCATGTCTTTTGGTCCACCTGCTTTTTTGCACTTGATACAGTATGTGGACAGGCATGTTGAACCAAGCCCACCTCTATCCAGCTTCTTCCAGCCAACTGCAGGATTCTTCAACATTGTTTGATTCAAAGCCTTTTGCAACATGTGTCTGCTGAGGAGTGCATGTTCAGGAAAAATGTCCCCACCATGTATTAATGTGCATAAACATGCAGTTACAGAAGCAGCTGACTGGCTTAATCATGATTGACATTGCTCAGAGAAAGACAAGAGCCCCTTTGCCTGACAATAGCCCAGCAGAGTGGGAGTAAATTGTTGAAGTGATGCAGAGTGGAGTCTGCAGGTCAGGGATAAAGTGGGTCGAGCCCGCTGCCACACCTGGCCCTTGTCTGGAGAGCAGGTTAGCCGAGTAGGGCAAACAAAAGCCCTCTGATTCAAAACTCTCAACTGCACTACTCTTACTTTACGCAGGCACTTCTGCATCAACATTTCATCTGCTATTGTAGAGTTGTTGATCAGCTGCATGAGATCTTGTGGAAAAAAAACAACACTCTTGAATCTTTTCTGTGTACAGCTCACTATGTTCTGTGTAGTTTTGTTTATGTGTGTTAAAGAAAGGCAGATATAAAAGACAAACAGTGATGCACCTTCTGTTTTCTGGTGGAAACTCTGCTGACTCTTGAGTATTCTCCTAAATGATCATAAAAAACTATCAGTGGTCCCATAATTCAAAGACACATTTTGAAACAGGTATATGGTAAACACTGTTGGTTGATAGCAATACATGATGGATTCTGATGATGTGCTTTGACATTTAAATAACTACACTATAGTCTTAAAGGGACGTTCTAATTTGATGTTGGGGAGAAAAAAAACAAAAAAAAACGACTATGAGTCACAACCAACTATTAAACTAGAGAAAGGTTAAAAAAATATATATAGTTTTTTTTACCTGTCTGATTTTTGCTTCCTACATGATTTTAGCCACAATGATTTTTGGTTTTACCATTTTGTACATAACAGATTTTTATGATAAAGACAGACTGCAAACTTCTCTGTGCCTACACTGGTGTTGGTTTTTGCATATTCTATTATTCTGTATCCTGTATTGTGCTGCAATCTGTGCTGTGCAGGTCATTCACAGAGGGTCTTGGGACATTCAACAGCAAAAATAAGCTTCTTGTTTTGTCTGCAAGCAATGCAAAGACAGCAGCAAAATCAGACAAAAACAGTAGGTTTGCCATTTTTCTGTATCTGCACAACCCAACCCCTTGCATTATTTTATGACAGGTGCTGTAGACATCAAACCAAAAATTAAGAAAACAAACTTCCTTTTGATGAGGCCTGCCAGCTTCATTTAGCCCTACATGCCAAGAAAACACAGACAGGGCTTGGCATCTATACCAGCCTAGACATTTTTACACACTCTGTCCCTCTACCTCCTCTGCTTCTCTCCCTGACCCAGAACCATTTCTCCTTCTGCCCATGGAGGCTTCCACAAAAGCTAAAAAAAGAGCCATTTTTCTGTCTCCTATGGAGGAAAGAGAAAAAGAGATGTGAGGGAAGGACTGCAGCTCAAGAGTGTCATTATAATGAATAATTTAAGAGAAAGGTTCTGCATCTGAAAAGCCTTCCCCTGCTGAGAACTTAAATATGCCAGTTTGCATAAATATAATACATACAACATGAACAGAGGCTGGTAAGAGCAGAGCTTGACTTCACTTTGTTTTGACAACATAGAGATATCACAGGGACAAAAGAAAAGCTTCTTCAAGTATAACAGTGACAACAAGAAATGACTCCCTCAGTGTATGTCCAGAGAGAAGTGTCATGAATGTGGGTAAAAACAAAGAATGATTAAGGGTGTGACAAAAAATATCTGCCATGACAAGGCGTCCTAACTTAAATTTGTAGCTGCTCAACAAGATGCTGATTTCTTCTGCAGTTTTCTGAGTCAAAGATTTACATAAAAAGACCAAAATCAACACAATGTTGATGAATTTGGAAACTAGTGAGTATACAGTCATCAAAAAGGCCTTGTAGATTCCTAAAACATTGACACTATGTAGTTTGAAGCAGCATTGACTCTCAAGCATGTAAATGATTGTTGGTGGTGACTGTATTCAACTGCTAAAAACACATTTAGTGCTCTCAACAGAATTTGTAGCATCTGTGTTTTGTTTGTTGGATAAACTAGGACAGAAAAGGCAGAGCTCAGTGCCATGGTGAAAACAAGCCACTAAATGCTGTATAGTAGATATTTTGATAGTTTTATATAGCATTTGAGCTTCATGACACAGAAGAATCACTTTTTCAAGCTTAAGGGAAAGAACAGATTCCCCACTGAGGGATGAATAAAGAAAAATCTAATCTAATCTAATTTAGTTTCTTAGTGTAGCTTCTAATTTATCAACACATTATGAGAAGTACCCTAAACTTGGCCAAGCTGAGGATGGTCACGGTGTCACACAATCAAAAGGCAAATTTCTGGTAAACTATGGTATTCCGTGAATAACAAATTGAAAGACAGAGAATCCACTGCCCCTGCTGCATTTGCACAAAATAATAACTTTATTAGCTTACATCAAAAGTAAAATTTAAACCAACATGCTTACCGGATGCTTTTTAGCCAACTGTTGTTTGATAAAGATACAGATTTTAGAGCAGTGATTACTCCAGACTTCCTCCAGAACAGGTCTGGAGTGGGCAGCAAGTCAGCAAAATCAAAGGATGTAGATTGAGTAAGCTAAGAGCATCATCCAGTGTCCTGATCATCCTTTGTAAGCAAAGTTTGAGCTCCTGTATACCTTCTGACACTGGGAAATGCAGATATGCAGGTTTATCTCTGGGATTTCTGTATCTGAGTGTGTGTTCTTAAGATCTCTATGTTCCTTAGTTTTACCTGGATGCAAAGCAAATTGCCCTGAGGGAACAATAAAGTAAGGTTTAATTAAAAAAAAAATGCATCTGAACCACTGTAAATGTTTGAGAGTCAGTCTTTACTCATCATCTGAACATGGAATGGAAAACTTCTGTCTCACTCATTCAAGGCACAATTTTCCTGATGGTTTACTGAAACATCTCCATATCTAGTCAAAAAGCACACAACTGATGTTAGCAGTGATGTTGAAATGCGCTTGAATGTCTGACTTTTACAAGTCAAATTGAGCTACAGTATTTTAAATGTGCATCAACAGCACAGATAGACATTCATCTGCTGTTCTCCTTTCTTAGATGTTCTTGTTAGAGGCTGATGGCTCAGAATTTGAGCTGTTCTCATGCAATGTTCAGCAAATCTCCAACGGATCCTGCCAAAGCCTGGGCCATCTTTCGCTGTCTTATTAATTCCCTCCTCATGTTAGCTGACAGCTGCCTTACAACAGGCCAAAAAAAACTTTGCTAGAACAATTTTTCATGAATGAACTGAGACGTAGCGTCAAGATTGCTGTAGCTCTTCACTGACAAGTGTGAACACTCCTAAGGGGCTGTTCAGTGTTGTAATGTGCTACCGTGGAAGTGTATGAGACGTATTATTGACTGAGATTATATCCAGAGCCAGTCACTGTCACTCAACTCTGACTTACAGTTCATTCAAAGAAAGAGAGGAAGAGAAGAAAAATAAAAGGACAGAGATGTGGTGGAGGAAGGAGTTAATATATTCTTCATCAGATGAATATGTGGGTGCTTTTTCTACCACTAAATAGAAAATGACTGCCACTACCTTGAACGAAATTCAAATGACAGAGCCAAAGAGAGAGAGAGAGAGAGAGAGGCTGGACTACAGGCATTGTTTCCCTCTCTAGTTTTGTCTCTGTGACAGAAACAACTATTATTTATTGCTGGAGAACATCTCTATTCACTGCTATTGGTATGTGGTCTAATTCTACTGGTTGCCGTGGTGATATGCACATCAGGAAGACAATACAGCATCTGTCAGCCTTCTAGCCTGTTAACCAATTCCCTGCCATCAAGAGAGATGCTCTTAACTCAGCATTAAAACCGTATGGAGCTCCCTTTACTAACTAACTGCATAAGAGGACATAAAGCCTGCCTCATCCATGTTGACAGATGGGAAATCTGGGACAGTTTGATATTCAAATACAATTCATATATATTTTTCTCAATCATGGTTCATCTTTATAATGAGTTCTCATCAAGCTTATTTGTGTACAAGTGTTAATTTTTTTTCAGAGTTTATTTTTTATTGGTCTGTACAGTAAAGTCGCCCAGACTGCTCTTCTGTCTCCTTGAGCCTTGATTTTGCTGCATCCTACATACATTTTCCACAACAGTTGTTAAATGGTGTAGAAATCAGGCATAATGAGATGATTGACAGCTCTTTTGACAAATGATAATCCTGCAGTGCTGTGTGCAACAAATTTGAAGTCTGGGGGAAGAATAATGAGAGAAAGCATAACAATCACTGACAGAAATGTCCTTAAACACTCCATAATCGAGATGCAAAGACAAGAAGCTGTTATACTACAGAGGGATCATTGCCATTATATTGGTGGGTTATATGTGTATTCTGGTCAGCAGGACATCAATACTGCAGCCCCACCAGCCAAATCCTACCACACAGGCTCTAGCCCCAAAAATGTCACTTGTGCAATGTGTCAGCAGCCACTTCAGGGGGTATTTTGACAACACTTTTGTATAGTGATCTGTTTTTATCTGTAGTCAATAGTTCAAGCACAGACACACGCTCATACGTACATCTCCATACCTGCCTATGAGCAAGAACTCCCCAAACACTCCAAGTCTCCTCATGGCCATCAGGAGACCTCGGACAGTCATGCCCTCGCAGAAACACACCACAACCCGAGCTTTGGGAAGACGTTCCCGAAGTTTCCTCAAAAGGCGATCGTAGTGCTTCTCCCCCGCGTTGCTGTAGATCTTGTCTGAGTGGGCGATGCATAAACCTTCCAGGGAGGCCAGCTCCTTGAAAGCCTCCATGCCACTTTCCCCGTAGTTTCCTGCAAGTGTCAAGATATAAGTTTTAAAATAGGGATTATTTGATGTCAAAATCAAACCCTCTATGTGAAATGTGTTTTTATTATCTGGCCCCCTCAAAAACGAGACGCTGCATCTCAAGGGTAGCCTGGCTGGGCCATACAGTTGCTTAAATCACTTGCCGTTCCTTCCCACAACAAGGAAGGAACGGCAAGTGATTCACGCAACTGGGTGGCCCAGCCAGGCTATCTCAAGGGGCTATCCTAAATAAATTGAATTAAATTGAATTAAACAAGTCTGTGTTGACACAGATAATCATTTTTATTTTGCATTTCCACTGATTGTGAGTATTGAAACAACAGACATTACTCTCAACCATACATTTGTAATCATTACTCGGATGCACAATCAATGTTATTCTGTGAGCACACAGTGCTGGCTCAGTGTGTGAAGTAAAGACCAAGCTGATCCTCTGATAATGAGTTTCACAGAGAGAGTTTCCTTGCCACTGATTGCAATCAAAGCTACAAGAGGGGTAAAGAAGATAGTGATCCTTGTTTTAACTGCACATGCACCATCCCAGTCAAAAGCCTTGGTAAAGCTGTTTGAGTCTAAATCTTCAATTTCCACTCAGGCTTCAGCAGCTTGTCTAATGTGTCACGATCAGGATTGTTGGTAAAGCCTGCAGCTCTTTAGCATGAGAGCTGGATTACACAGACAATCCAATCATTTGTGCATGCTTGAACATATTTGGAGGGGGGGGGGGGTGTTACCACGATACCAGCTTGGAAAATTTGTTATGAAACAGAATCAAATTAATACTGATGCCTCTTGTATTATCAAACCAAGGATATTTCTATTGTGAGAACGGGACGAAATGTGCACTTAAACAGTGAAGTCGTTTTATAATTTTTTTTACGAGTTCATGTTTGGAGTTAAGGTAAAGGAAATCAATAATAAAATATTTGCATCGTTCACATGCACCAAAACTGCCACAAACCTCATCTCCTTATTACACTCCCTATAAGTATTTAAAAAGTCACAGAATCAACAAAACACCAATGTAGTCTCTTGAACATCAGTCACTGGCGTCTTTCAGGTTTGAAGCCTGACGATGGAAGCTGCCATATTTAAAAATGCCATGACCTTGTCACAGAAAAGGAAGTGGAGTTCACGTTGGTCACAGACACCTCCATTGTAATAAGCTCCAGCACTTGCTTAAAGGGGACCTGCCATCAAAATGTAATTTTGTATGTTTTTTGTGTAATATAAGGTCCATATTATGTTCGTCTTATGTTGTAAATGTGAAAACAAACCGTTACGTCGTTTGCATTCTGTAAAGGTTTAAAATAAAGGAACGGGTAAACCAGGCCAATTGAAAAAGCAGGTCCCTCTGACGTCGCGCTGACCTTGCTCATTATTATTCACGAGTGCGTCCTCGGTGAGCCGCGCCCACTCTCTCGTTCTCGTACTCATTCACAGTCAACAACATCACTCTCCAGCCAGAGCGAGACCCAGCTACCACTGTATCCACTATGGGTCTCTTCCAAACAACCGGCGTTTCCTCGGGTTCACTACCGGGAAAATGAACTTAAAGCTGGGCAGAATGAATGAAAACACCGCTGGAGATCTCTGGCTTCTTCTTCAACTTCCACCTCCTCCTCGGACTCGGGGTCTAAAATATATGGTTTAATACCTGCCATTTTTAGCCTTTAGCATAAGGTGACCAGACATCCCCGATTTCCGGGCCAGTCCCCGTATGACCTGTCCCCGGCAAAAGCCCCGAAAATGTCCCCGAGTTAAGCGTTTCATGAATGAGAGCAAAAATGTTGCGTGTGGGCTCGAACAAAGGTTATTACAGTAGCCGAATAGGTAGGAAGCACAAGTAAGCAGTCCTGAACAACAGTTTTTAAGGGGGTTATTACAAGGGGCATGCGCCGCTACTAAATAGTACCGAGATTTTGTCTGTGATCACACAGCCCCTGCAGCCGCCGCACCGAATATCCCCGGATATCATTACTGACATCTGGGCACCTTACTTTAGCACACATTAGCAAATTGTATAAACCGAAATCCGAACCTCCACTGCTGAGCCAATCAGAGCACAGCAGGCTTCACAGCAGCAATCCAATCAGAGCAAAGCTCATTACCATAAATGTTAATGAGCCAAAATCAGTTGGTTTTCCTGTAAGGTTTTTTAGGCATACTAAAATGGTTTGAAACAAACCATCAAATAACTTTTCAGCTAAAATTATGTTGCAAACATGATCAGAGGACATCAAGGATTATGAAAAAATGATAAAAATGGGTATGAAATTTTGATGGCAGGTCCCCTTTAAACAGACAGAAAATCAAGCCAGGTCAAGCTATCTGTACTGCTTCATTCAAGGTCGCAGGAGGCATGAGTGATCTGGGAAGAATCAGTTTCATCTCCTCACCTCTCATTGCTCCTGCATGTATGAAGACAATTTGTCAGAAAATTTGTAGGGACACTGGGTCATATTCCATGTAAAAACAACATATTAAGTGTTGCATTGGCATAGCTAACCTCCCTATTCAACTGTTTTCTGGCTAACCTACTACCAAAGAATTTACACACTTGTATGGATTGGTGCTGTTAGCATTCAGACACTTCCAGGCTGACTTGTAGTAAAAATGTGTCTAATAATTAAAGCTAGCTATTCCCCAACTTTGGCCAGTGGCACATCAGCTCGGTTTGTGAATAGGGTTTGTTTTTTCTCCATCTTTCTTAAACTGCATAATGTTTGCTGATCAACCTGATGGGTGTTAAGTTATGAAATATGATAATAACTTACAACACCTAACAAGGCAGCATGACATATTACCAGTATTTCAGTCACCATGTTTTTGATGATAGAGCAGAGTGGCCACTGTGGCAAGAAAATCTTAAGTTGTAAGTACCAACAAAAGGCTTAGGACTGATCTGAAATGCTACACAAGTTACCATCATACAGCCTTTTGCAGCAAAATGTTGTATTAAACTAATGTTCTGCCTGTGACTGAGACTAGAGCAAAGCGCAAATTTAGATAATGAGTTAGCTGTTGGTGGCCATTCAGATTTTGGATGGGGCCTGTGCCACAATAAGCCACCCACTGGGCACACCCCTGGGACTGATGCAGGGTTAAGGCTTTTTAGTCTGAGGGGAACAGCAGCTGAAATTGGCCCCACAGCAGCTGCATTGCATTTACCCAGGTGCATGATAAGCCCATGTGTTGCTCTTCCAATAGTTTTCAGTAATATTTTTCTCAGTAGCCTCATTTTATTCTTCGACTATTAAATTGAAATAACGATATCCAATTATTTCGCTCTTTCCATCCAGGTTGCAGACAGGTGGGTGGTGGTGCATTAGTTGACGGCCTATTTGACAATGACCACCAAAAAGAAAAATCAGCTCAGAGTATTCCTAGCAGACTGATCACAATCATGACAGGTAATTTATGCTTCATTTCACAGCCTTAGCTGTTGCTACGGGAACAGGCTGCCTTATTCTACTTTCCTGGGGTGGCGGAGAGAAGAAACTCATGAGCTTAAGCCAGTCGTGATAATATTTATTCAACTGAAGATAAGAAAATAAGTGGGTTTATATGTAACTCCATCAAAAACTGCAGTATTGAGCCTGAGTTTAAAAAAATTGTAGTTTCAAATCTGTGCCCATAGTGTGTTTATGTGTTGATTTTATAGATAAGAAAGAGAAAAAAAGCACAACTCTACTTTCAACTGCCTTTGAACCTCATTTTACTTTTATTACTAATTGCAGCCTATAGAGTGACAGTGTTGCCTGCGATCAAATCCATCCCTCCCCTGGCTGGTCTTTCATTACTCTTCAATAATGACTTGACTCCCTGAGGATCCTCCTGCAGGTTTATTGAAGGTCAGACAGCTGACGCCACCTAGTTAATACTCCAAGTACTACAGCTCCCAAATTCCCTCCTTTCATCTGTCAGATAAAAGTACCCTTCTTGCACCGGACTATAATAGACTTTCCAGAGATGTTTTACACTCCATGAGAGTCCAGCGTTCCTCAGAGGAGATTCCCGGGCACTGTAGTCTATCAGTCATAATTTGGGCCCACTTTAGAGGCTGTGTTTTACCACCATTTTTATTTAAAAATCCTAACCTTTATTAGTTACTGTGTCTAGATAACTAAGTTACTCTCTTTTTTGCTGTTTGTCGAATAGCAAAGGACAGAAAAAAGTTCACAAACAGCTTTTCTCAAGATTATGACTTTTTATCTCATGGTTATGACTTTTATATCACATCATCAAACTATTGCCTCATAGTTTTGACTCATCAAGTATTCACAGTTTTAATCTTATATTTCAGTCTTATCACCTCAAAATGTAAACTTTTTTTTTAAATCTCGTACACACTTTTTATCCCATAATTTAACATTTATTGTTTAATCTTGACAAGACTTACTGTTGTAGCTATCTGATAATTTACATTTTGTTTCCCAATAAAAGACTTTTACATATCAAAATGCCTCCCAGCACATAATTCTGACTTATTGTCTTGTGAAACTATTTCCACTGAATCTTTTTCTGTTTTTTTTTTTGTTGTTTTTTTTTTTTGTGTGTAATTGTCTCTTTAAAAAAATAATTTTAAACTTTTATTTTACAGTTTTGACTTTTCTATCTCATGATTTCAATTCATACACCCTAATTTCTACTTTTTATCTCACAATCTCAAAATTTGGACTCTTCATATCATAGGTATTGGCTCTAATTCAAATATTTGAAATCTTTTCCCCATAGTTTTGGTTTTATCTCATAATAATGACTCTCAATCTCATATATATGATGTTCTAGTGTTGACTTGTTAACTCATACAATGTATCTCTTCTGGAAAAAAAAAACGTTGGGTATTTGATCTCATAATAATATACTGCTATCTGATGACTTTGACTTTGAATCATGTTATGACTTCTATATAAGAATTTCACCTCAAAATTTGGCATGTTACCTCATAACAGCAAATGTCATCTCAAAGCAATGGCTCCAAAATGCTGATTTAAGAGTTTTTTTAAGGCTAATAATTCATTTTTATCCTTAGAAATAGGCTCTCATATGAAATAAAACACTTATTTGAGAGATTTGGTGTTTAATCGACAAACACAGTGGTGTTAAAAAGTAGATATCTGTTGGGTGCACTGGTTAACCTGAAGACATTTTTTGTGCCTGTATTAGTCAGAGATTTTACAGCAAAGCCATCAGAACTTTTCATTTTTCTATTTGTCAGTTATATAAACACTGTGAAATATACTCTTCTCCCACTTCACACTTACGGACTTTTCTGTGCTGGTCCATCACATACAGTCTAAATAGAATTCATCCGAATTTGTGGGTGCATTCACATAAAGCTCAAAGGGGTCAATATTTATGTGAGGCTTTGTTCTAAAACACATAATGTAAATGCAGCAAAGAAGGGGGGAAAGAATGGCAGCATACAAAAGATCAAGATCACATAATACTTACTCCACATACTACTCTACTTACAGTCCATGTAAGGTTGCACATACAGTGGCAGGATGATGCATATGATGTGTCGGAGGTAATAAGAACTTTAATGTCCACAGAACACCTAACTCCAGACAACTGCATAAAAATTACTGATGGAATTTTATTATACAACTACCTGCTGTAAAAAGCCTGAGGGGAAAGAGCAGGAGAGAGACCAGCAGACAAAGTGACTGCTATTCTTTGACATTCAGGTCATTTAAAGTAGACAAACCTGAGGCAGCAGAAATGCACCTTGAATTGGTTGAGAATGTGAATTTCAAACCAGTTAATTAGATGGCCTGTGTTAAGGTCATTAGTACCTTTAAATTTGAGGTTCAGAAAAACACATCTGTTTCAATCTCCCCATCAGGGGCCAGAAGCAATAAAAACAAATTATCACAGAAAATATTTGTTTTCCTCAAACTCAGATGTTGATGGCATGTTTATTGCCCATGGAGATGTCATGGGTGATTTCAAACAATGAATGATGACAAACATACAACATGGCTGTTGGCACAGCCATCATGAGGGATTAATTTATATATTCTCACCCTCAGTGTGCACCGCAGATACATAGGTCCAGTTGTACCGTTTGACAATGTCCAGCATGGCCCTGGCCTGCAGGGTGTCAGAGGGCACCACCCGTAGGAAGTACTTGAACAGGGTCTTGTCGCTCAGATCGATGCTGGTGGCAGAGTAGGCAATCTGTGGGATGTTGAAGAGCTGCAACAGGTTCTGCACCTGGATGGCCACGGAGCTGGATCCGGGTCCGATCACACCAGCAATGGGTTTTTTGGAGGGTGGGGGCTGATGGGATGGAGTCCCATCAATGCACCATTTGGACCCATCCTTATCATCCCGGATAGAGATGAGAGAGTCCCGGATGAACTCTATGCTTTGCTCCAGGGCCACAGAGGAGTGCCAGCATGAGTCCCGGATCTCACAACCAAGGCTGATGTTCGGGAGCAGATTCTGGTCAGCATTAATCCTGTCCAATGTGTGGAACATCGCCTCCACTCTTTGGATGCCGTACTGCTCGCGGACGTCCCCACACTTTCGCTCTGCCACCTTCTCCGCGGACGGTTGGTGGTGCACGGAGAAGAGCGCGCCGATGATCACATCCCCGTCCATGCGGGCCACGGAGCGGGACACAGCGCGAGGGACCGCCGCCCTCTCGTGGATGGCGCTGCTGTGGGAGACCACGAGGACTCGGAAGAAGAACGTGGGGAGACATAGGAGAGCGAACAGACCCATTTTTATGCGTGCCATGTTGTGCCACATCGCGTGAGCCGTGCCAAGTGCGCGGACATAAGCACACTATCAGCTGTACATCAATAGATCCACGTTTATCCTAGCGAGCACGGTGTGCGATCACGAGACCCGGGGCTTATCCGACTGCACCTGTAAGAGAATGAGCCAAACTGCTTCAACATGTAAGAAACCAGAGCACATGTGCGTAACGATTATGCAGGAAGGGTTGACTTCGTGCTCATTTGCATCAACGCCCTGTTTTACATTCGTACAGCTGTAACGATCATTGCACCTCTTTATACCACTGTGGTGCCTTTGAGCAAGGTACTAAACGCACACCTGTCTGACCATTGCTGTGGCTCTCCAGGGAGAATTTGCAAGTGTTTAGCTCCGTGTGGAGTAAACAGGCACCACAGCATGTATGTCACAATATCACGAACGAAAGGCTTGAAGTACTGTATTGTTTCCATTGACAAAATCGAGCGGAATCCATGTTTAGCACCCTGGACAGCGCACTTTCCAAACCGGTTACAAGGACGTGTTGGGGGCTGCTTCCTGGACTGCTTATCCACACACACTCTATGTTCACCGTTTGACTGAGCTAGTTTATGATGAAAACGAGAAACTACGTTCCCTCCATAGTCGACACCTATAGGAATTCTGCATAATGATGATACTCGAGGCTGTTCATGTATCAAGCACACCCTAAAACATGCGTTGTGCTTTATTTAACATGCAACATTTGGTTGATCCGTGATTAGAATTACACGCATAACAATGATAACAGAAAGACAAAGCTAGAACATGATCGGTCTGTTCTCAGCAGTCCGCACTCCCGTCCATGTTTCCTTTTAACATATGTCAAACACACCTGAATCCACATTTTCATGGTCCATTGCATCAAAACTTACCTGAATCCTTTGGACATGTCGCATGCCTTCGTCCGTCTTCTTTGGCGCGTGGTCCTCGGCTCTCTCTCGCTCTCTTTCATTATCTCTCGCTCAATCACTCTCTCTCTCTACCACCTATCTCTCTTTCTCCCTCCCTCAACAACAGACGTGAACATGAACATGAAGGATCCCCCAGTCACTATCTAAAATGCTACCTATAGCCTACCTCTTGTCCCCGACAGAATAAAGTTAATGTGTGCGGTGATAGTAAGACTTGTATTAACAGCAAAATGATGAGATGTAGTGTCACGTAATTCCAACCAATCTAAGCTTAGTATTAATGCAAGATAGATGGTAGGCTACCTCGAATTTTTTCTGTGAAATTTTAATTATCACGTGCATAATATTTTATTCGCTGTATGCAATCAGGCTTGGAAATGTTTCGTTAAAACTACTGCATTTCTAGTTTTCAGCGCTGTCTAAATGTTCCTACAGCAGAAAAAGCTGTTCTTACAGTATCAGTGATCGTACAGATTACACTAATACTAAGTTGCGTCTATATTTCTCTCTTTTATTTTTAGGTTTTTCACCAATACCATTACACAGTTGCTAATCCCGGTGAGGGAGAATTGACAGGACATCTCGATTAGTAGATTTACTATATGTGCAGCGTTCCTCCTCTGAGCTGCTAGCCCCTTGTGGACTTCATTACGAATGTCCACAGTTGAGTTTCAGCACCATGGACAGCGATCAACAGCTTGCAAAGCACCATCTAGCGTTTGGTTGGAGGCCTTTATCATACTCATTATAGTTAATAATTAAAGCATCTCTTACCAAGTCAAATTTACGCCTGCGCCTCCTAGCGTACCAATCAACTTTGTATTAAAAAAAAAAAAATCTAATTTCTGGCGTATTTCTTCCAAATAAACTTCTACAATGTTTTGGAAAGCCATTTTTTTACGATCTGAGCTACAGATATTTCCAAAAGTGCATAGAAGTTTTTTCTGAAAGCTTGAAAGGACAGGCTTGGTTTTGGAACTAGACAGCTGCCCCAAACCGGTGGGCACAGCATTCTTGACTGGAAGTTGACAGGAAGTTGGCGCTGCCATTAACAGAGGGAGTTTTGTATGAGATTATGTACGGTCATTTTGCTCAGTCAGTAAATCTCAAATGAAGTTTATGTTACACAAATGCAGTCTAAGAGAAATAAAGTCGAGACAGAGGCTGTGATTGCATTTTATTTTTAATCCCCTGGCTATGTTTTAACAAAGCATATTGTGTATCGAATGTTAAGTTGATATGGAGACTTAATATTGTAAGCTCATGCATGTAAACAATCATGGTATGGATTTTTGAAAGGGGAAACAAAAATATCTTAGATACATCATGTTGGCTACAGAGGCATGTGGTTATCCCCCAGTCTGCATGGAGTTTATTTAGACTCTCAAAGACAAGTGTTTTCAGTCATCTGAGTCCTGTCTTACTGCTGTATCCATGAGTCAGCTTCTCCAGCTCCGGGAGTGCAGTTTTGTAGGTGACCCCGACCTCGAGACGTGGCGTCTTCAATCAGTTAAAAAAAATGTGTTGAGACAGAGTCTAACCGCCAGCTAGATGGTCACCAGACGGAGCAACAGCGACATCCTCTGTTTGCTACTGCTTACTGCATAGCATAAAACTAGTTATTGATTACTATGTAATAAGATTACATCAAAACTTATTTCTTATATCATGGCAAAATTCTTGCAACAATACATGCACTACTGAATAGTGTGGCAAGCGGTTAACATTTTACAACTTCCCAAGTTGTTACTGCTGCATTTTTGTCCGATTTAACCTTTTAAACTATTGTTGTAGAACTGGATCTAATTTCAATTTTTTTTTTCGTGATGAAAGCACCCCAAAAATGAGTGCAGAGCTGCTTTTTTACTATCCCAGTTTGACCCTTTAAATAGCCTTTGTACCTGCGACCCTATATATTTTCTCTTTAACTTTGCATCTCGACGCCGTTTTTAATTTTTATTTATAATCTTTGTTTCAATATTAATATCTAAGAAACGCTTCCCATATTCTTAGTAGTTTTTAATGTTTAGCGTTTGATTTTAATTGAACTCTTAAAGTGTTAAATACCCCTTTTGCCCTTTTGTCTATAAAGTTTGGCGCTGGGGGAAAAAAATGGAAAGAGCTGTAGCTGGCTAGGATTAGCAGCTCCTCTACAGAAGGAGCCTCAGTAACAGCTAGTTTTATTTCAGTGTAACAGCCAGACCACCTGATCATACATATTTCTGACAACACAACAACAAGGTAAGGCGCTATTTTTTCCGCTAACCTAATGTTACTTTGTTGAGAAAGATTATCGTGAACTTCCGAGGTCGCTAGCTAGCCGGTTGTAGCCAGCATTAGCCAGTGTTCTGGCGAATTGTGCTGCCATGTCGAAAAGTGCTGCCGTAGCTCAGAGGCTACAGTGCGCGCTATTTACTGGTTTGTTTTTAATTACTAGCAGGCGTAAGTGCACCTACAAACCGACGAAAACGTATAGTGGTTCTCTATTATGAAATATTACGTAAGATCTTTTGATAAGTGTATTTCAGTAGGCTAACAAACCCTACCAATGACCACAGAGTAGAGTGATGTCGTATTATGCCACCTCTTGCTTAATGTGCATTGTCAGAGCCTGTTTCGACCCCACTTCACTAAATTATCAATTAATATTTCCGGTAAGGGTATATCGATACACTTATGATATATATACAACTGTACATTGATCTTCAATCGTGACAAGCGCTCGGGATCGCAGCCTTTCACACCTGCGCAGAGCCGCTTTAGTAGCGCAGCTTGATCGGAAGCAACAACCCTCATTACACCAGCTGGTAGACGAGCCTATCGCAGATTGCTATTGTTACCTAAATAAGTACTTTTAATGGAGAAAAGACAGTTGCCAACACACATATTTGCAGTGTCAGAGTGTATTGAAGATAGTGTCCAAAACAGCTACAGCTTCTCCAGTAATCATGGGTATGTTTGCTGTAGAGCAGGTTTTAAAACTCTATTGTCATCAACAGAAATAAAGTTTGCTGCATGTTTCCTTGTCGGCAGTAGCTAACACTAACCTTTGCGGAGACACTTGTTAGTCAGATGAGCCAGAAAGATTGGCTTCTGGGTAAAAACTCACCGTTGACGCTGACTTTAAATTGATTTTCAGGGATTTAGTTTTGATCCTATTTGTCAACGATGGCTCTGTAACTGTGGATAAATTACGATTCCTCATCGTAATGCATCCATAGTATCACCATATCTAGCCGTGCAAAATACAAACTGCATTAAGATTTACGTTTTTTGTTCAGTACTTTAGTATTCAAATCATGCTATGATTGCTTTTGGAGTCTCTAAAGATATAATTAAATTGTTATCTTACTGACAGCTACGTACAACTGAAGTTTTCATTTAAGCTGTCATTTTAGACTAATCAAACTGTCGTGTTGAGATTGCAAACTAGGATCTAGGGTCAGAAACTGAATATCTCAATAAATATTCAAATCTCTGTTTATTTTGTCTGTGTAGGTCTCTGGTACTCCCTTCCAAAATGTCCCAAACTTAGTAAAGGAAAGGTTTTGACCTCCCTGATATCGAGTTGGGAAGCTTCCTAATAAGGTACTGGTTCAAGACAGCCTTTCAGAGGTGTCACGTGACTGCAGATGACTTCCCCAAAGGGTAGAATGGGGGCGCTGTTTCACCGTCCTTCTGCAGGCTTTGGAAATGATTGCAGAGCCTGTGACAATTTATATTTGCTTAGTCATGCGGTCTGTGTGACAGTTCTGTTTCATTACCTTTGATTACAGTCGTGCTGCATGTCATTGTTCATCACACAAGGCAAGGTTTGGGATGACATTACATGCTCCTATCTTTGGGACAGATCCACAAATTAAGCCATGTTGACTAGAATTTATTTACTTCTATCATACACTACTTATGTATATAGTACTTATATGGGAGCAATGAATATAAACTCAGTCAAGTATTTTTACTGTGCTTCAGGAGATGAGACAGGAAACCAAAAAACCTTTTGCAGTTTTTCAGCTTTCCAGTCTTTTATGGCGTACTTTACCCCCTTTACCTTATTGATTTTCAGAAATTTAAAGGAGTAATTTGCTATCATTTGAAAGATTTTGTCCAGGAAGTCTGTCTGTTTCTTTTCTTTTTTTTTTTTTAAAGGACAGCTGAACCTGACAGTTTAACCATCTCAACTTTTCAAAACTTCGAACTTATATGAGCACATGCTGATGTTCCACCAATTTTTAACCCTTAAGACCCAACCTCCAGTGTTGAGGCCAAAAAAAAAAGAATAAGCCAAAAGTGTGAAAAAACAGAGGTTCCTCAAGTGTCTATTTGTGACTGCAAAGCCCAGGAAACCCCAACCTGTCCAATCGTAAAAACACCCATTCATTCAACAGAATTGAAGACATTTGCAGTCTACATTTAATATTTTTGGTATGTAGCTCATTAATTTAGTCATACACACAAGATATTGAGGGTGAGAATGATTTAAAAAAAAAAAAAGATTCATGAATAGGTGCAGCACTGTACCGGATTGCCAGGAGGCTGAAATCATTTGTTCATTGCTGGACCATGCTCATGTTTTATACAGTTGAGACAGTTACGTGGTGGCTTCATTTAAAACAAGACACGTCACAGTGTATTAAAACAGTGCACAACACAGTGGTGAAACACACTTTGTCCCTCTGACTTACCAGCCCAGCACAACTAATTTCATTCACAGTAATCAATAAACTTCTGCTCGGTATCATCTGCAATAAACTGACGTATTCTCCTCCCTTTTATTTGACAGGGCACTTGATTCCTCAACACCACCCTTGGGTCTGAAGATGGATGTGGACCATGTCCACTGTGTGTCCTGTGTAAACCAAAGATGTATGGTTAGACCTGAGCCAGGTGTTAGCTGTGATCTTATCTCCTGTCCACAGGTGTGTGGCGCTGTATTTCACTCCTGCAAAGTTGATGAACACCACTTTTTGTGCCCATTGGTGAGGGTACCATGCCTAAACAGTGGATATGGCTGCCCTGCCACCCTGCTGCGCAACCAAATGTACGCACACCTTGAAGTATGTCCAGCTGGTGTGGTTTGCTGCACCATGGAGTGGAACAGATGGCCTGTAAGCTGCCTGGACTATACATCCTATGAGAGCCTGAGCCGAGGGGTGAAAGAGGCAGAGCAGCTGGACATGGCACTCGCCCTTCAGGACCAGCGTACGCTACTGGAGTCACTCAAAGTGATTGCCATGACACCAACTGCAGAGAGAGAGCTGCTTGTTCCTGTTAGTAAAGACAACAGGACAACAGACTCGGCTTTGCTTGTTTCTGCTCCCGAGGCTGCCACCTTTATTGAGTCACCAGCAAAGTCATTATCCTCATGTCAGCCACAAACTCCCCGAGCAGGCTCAGCACAGGAGAAGATAGTCGGTGGAATAAATGGCTTGAATGAGGAGCACTTTGGTAAACTTTATGAGGCCACAGTTGAGACTGCAAGAAGCTTATGTGCAGCTTTAGACTTAGTTAGTAGTGCTAGCTCTGTTGACAGCAGCTCAGAGTGTGCAGACAGAGGAGCTGCTCTGCAAGAAAGTAACATTGAAAACCTCCAGAATGGTTTGCAAGGTAAAACTGTGGCTGCTGGAGGTTTGAGGAAACAAGGGGAGGAGGGTCAAACTGTTTGCTCTAGCTGTTTGAAAGAAAATGGGGTGTTAAAAGGAGCAGGTGTGAAGTTTTTGAATATGACAAATGGACCACTATCAGGAGGAGTGGATGCCTCTCCAACTGAAGGTGGAGGAGAAATGAATGTTGGGGTCAACCCTCTCTTGATGGCCCCAGTTCATGCCAGCCAGGCAGTGTCACAGAGGGTCAGTCATGTGGTTCTAGAGGACAGGGGGCTAGTTCTTTTAGAAAACCACGGACCAGAACGAAAGTTCAACGACTACCAGTTTTTCAGGGGCCACGGCAAATATTCTTTAGCCAATGGACGGGTATCTTTCACTGCAGATAGGCCACTTGTTACAAAACGACCCAAAATGGAAGACAAAGCTGTGGATACTTCAGACCTGGAGCAGGAGGATGATCCCATGGGTCTGGGGGAGATAGATTTGATCACTGCCGCCCTGCTCTTCTGTTTAGAGGAGTCACGAGAGTGTAGGAGGATTTCTGATACAGTCTATGTCAATGGTTTTCATGTCGACTTTGGCACACAGACTTTCACTTTCCCCGCAGCAATCTTAGTAACAAACACTAGAGTGGGTGACATGGCCTCTGCCTCTGCCTGCGACCACGCTGCCCCCCAGCTCCCCTACCCCAGCCCCTTCTGCACTTTGCGCCTTGGCCTTGTCCTTGAAGCCTTGGAGGTGGAGGCGGTCCCACACAACCGCTACCTCCCTCCTAACCCCCGCTACCAGCACATGTTCCCCTTTGTCTGTGCCCAGTCATTCCGCCGGGACCAGTTCTCATCCCATTTCACAAACGTCCATGGTGACATTCACGCTGGACTCAATGGTTGGATGGAACACCGCTGCCCCCTGGCTTATTATGGCTGCACATTTTCCCAGCGGAGGTTTTATCCATCCACCCGGGGAGCCAAAGTAGTTCATGACAAGAACCTCAGGTCCTTTGGGGTTAAGCCTTGCCCAGGGGGTAAACTTCCATGTGACTCCAAGTCAGACCAATTAAGTGGGCTTCCTAATGAGATTTTGTGGCACATAGCAGGGTTTTTGGACAGTTTCAGCCTCTGTCAGCTGTCACTGGTGTCACGAACTATGAGGGAAGTGTGTGCCAGTCTGCTGCAGACCAGAGGCATCGTGGAACTGCTGTGGGAGCGGAGGCAAAGCCCTGGTGCTCCTGGCACTGTGACATGGCAGATCAAGAACAAAGTGAGTTGAAAACTTACTGAAAATATATTGTTGTTTTTGTTTAAAGCCAACCGTTATCAGTCTCTGTTCTCTTGTTAGAAACCACATTTAGGCAAGAATTGAAGTACTACTTGAGCTGTTAGGTGAAATTTGAGGGTTGATAAAACTTAGTAAAATGTTGAATTTAAATGTAGATCACTGAAGACAAAGTTTGATATTTTGTGATATTTGCTATCTCCCTTGTTAGCTGAGAGATAGCTGAAAACATGCCACTCTCAAGTCTGGATACCTAGCAGAAAGACAGTTTTGCCCAGTCCAAAGACTGAAGAGGTAGCCCAACTCTGTTCAAGTCCAAGTCATTCAATAGGCTCTGAAATAGGCTCTAAAACAATACCACTATTTCTCCACTAGAAGTCATGAAGGTGACATTGTAAACCTCTAAAAAAACAGCTGTAAAACTAGTCCTGTAAATGTTAGTGAGACTTGAAGAATTTTCAACATTTAGAGGTCCTGTACCACAACCAGAAATTATGGATTGTCATGAGGATTTTGTGAAAACCTGATGCATTAAGTCAACAGGAGTCCCCTCAAGTGTCAGTGCATGTATCTTTCCAACCCCTGCTCTCTTGTTCTGTCTCAGGTGTGGAGATTCACCACTGCCTTTAGCCCAGTGTTGTCATGGGGTTTCACTGACCTTCCCAGCATGTCGGACCACCTTAAAAAGTGCCCCCTCAATGTAGTGGAGCACAAGACAGAGCCCGTACCTCTTCCTGCCATGTGCACTGCACGAGATGGACACTCCTTACGCCGTGTCCTGCGTCACGTCAACCACTGACCAAACTCAGCAGGACTCAGACAGCTGCATCAAATTCACTCCGGTATTATGTGGATGTCGCAGTTTCTGTCTTGATTCACAATTATTTCTTCCTGCACCACACTAGACTATGAAAGCCTTAATGAATTAACACCTTATCTATCTGCCACAGTAAAAACTCTGCTGTCCCTGAGTGGAGGAAAAAAAATCAGCAGAAAGCGTTTAGAAATGCATGTGTTTGTGCTGAAAATACTTCCTTATTCTGGTAAAAACAAAAATGAAAAGAAAAAAAAAGTATATTTTCTTGAAGACAAATGTGCACAGTAGATGTATATTATTCTCAATGATTCTCAGAGGAAGTGGAATTTCAGTGTTCTGGCTATCTGGCCTTTCAGTGGTAGCCATGGGAAAAGCAGATCATTGGTTATTTAGCATTTTTTCCTGTGTCACAGAACTTATGCCGGCACTTTACACAAGATTTGCTAATCCCTTGAATGTTAACATCAGGCACTGAATGATCTAGTGCTTCTGGTCACTGTCAGGTGTCACCCCTATGCAAACTATTCTGTCTAGATTTAAAGGATGTCAGTGAAAGATTGAGTAGTTGGGTATTAATACGAGGATAGTCCAAAAATGCACTACAGTTTGCTACAATTTAATAAAGTTTTTGCTGCCTTGAATGCATTTGTCTTTTGAGCTTTTTTTCACTCTGTTCGCTATTGAAATTCTTCAACCAATACCAACACTGCCACTATTCTGTCTACTGAAAATTTTAAAAGTCATAAATCGATGAATAGGACAAAGAGGTACTTCCTTTTTCCTTTAAGGTGATTAATTCAATATTGGACATGTGTGTTGGCAGAACTGTTTACATCACTGGACTTTAGAGATCCTCCCAGATGAAAAATTAGAGCTAAATAACTTTGACTTGTGCCTTACTTTAAAAACTTATTGATTGAGTTCAACCTCAGAGGGCTTTCTTTTGAATATATTCAGGGCGAATGGTCTCGTCTGGTATTTATGCTTTTGCTTAGAATTATTTAAAATAAACACAAAGCACAACTGAGTCTCTCTCTTTGAGCTGGTTGTTTTCTGGTGATTCTCCATGTAAATGAAAATTGAGTGAACAAAATAGAGGAAAATCGAAGAATCTTCAGAACTTCTCTTTGTTCAGAGGACAAGAGTATTTGGGTCAAGGTTCCTAGAAAAGTTTGAGTTATTTGATGTTTATTTGTATAAGGACAAGTCTGAAGCAAGTAAAACATTGCCACATACTACAGCATTTGTAGCTTGAGCTAATTTGCAATGCAATTTGACACATTCTACTGTTTTATAGAATATTGCCAACCCAAAGTAGGGGCCTAAGAATTACACTGAGGTGTATCCTCCCTGGAGTTTGAACATTGTGACAAACTATACAACAGTGGGCAGATTTTTTAAAGTCACATAAATGTGACTTCAGAGCAGTTTAGGAAAAATAAGGGAGGTTTCACACCTATCATTTTGTTTCAGACCAAACCAAGAAGTCCGAAAGTCCAGACCAAACGACGTTCATGTGAAAGCCCCCTAAGTACTATTATGTAGTTAAGGGAGACCAAAACTGTTTAGAAATATTCTTGCCTTAGAACCTGTAATTTTGGATATTTGAACGAGTACCCACATTTGTTAAAAAGAAATCCATTTAGCCCTGTGTACGAATATCCTAAATCTTGTGAGCTGATAGACTACAGTATACCTTTGTCACAACCAACCCCACTAGCGGGAGTAAAATAAATCAAAAGTCAAAAAACAGCAGAAAAATGCAAAAACAGAGATGATGCCATTTGATATGCTTTAAAAAGAAGTTTACTAAAGTTGGAAACAATTCAGAATGCTGTTGCTGTGTCTTGAATGACCAAAACCCAAAAGATCTTTCTCTTTGACTCAGTGAAGGCAGTCTGAGGAAACTGCATGCATGCAGTCAGCCAATCAAAATGTACTGAATTTGTGAGAGGGAGCATATTTGGGTTGGATATAAATCAGTTGAAAGAGCTGCAATGATTTTGTGTAAGTCTGGTGCCTTTTTTTTTTTTTTTGACTGACTGAATGTGAGGGAGGCTCGTAGGTTGGTAGTTTTGTTTAAGACTGGCATTTTTATTTGAAGACTGCATGTGAAGAGGAGCTTACATGTTAGTTTGTTATGCACCAACAAAGTTTTGTTTGAAGACTGGGTGTGAAGAGTCACAGGCCAGTAGTTTTATTTGAAGACTGGTGTATTTGAAGTCTGCAGAGAGCCTGGCCTGGGCTGTTGTTGTGTTTACAGTTTTGTTTTTTTAGTTTTTTTTTTTTTCCTGAAACCAACATTGCACAGTAGCCTTGTACGCACTCCACCATTTGCGCAGTAGCACTGTACACATACGGCAGGAGAGTTGCTGTGATGATGCATGGCTCAAACAGTGTATCCCCCGGGTGCGCTACACAATCCCATAGGCTGTATCAAGTGTCAATCAAAGAAAACGAGAACCCCCTAATAACCTTAAAAAATTGAGCTGTACAGAAAAAAAGAGGACTTGCGCACAAACCAGTCTTACAATAACTACATGTCAACATTGCAACCAGGGGGGAGAAAAATTTATATTCTGTTGAATAAATTTCTAAAATTTGTCCACCGCTCCATATGGATGGCTGGAGGAGGCGGGATTTATGACCTATACTGCAGTTCGTCACCAGAGGGTGCTGTTCTCGGCGTCCATTCTATAGGCAGTCTATCGTCATCCTTTTGTGAGCTCTGAAAGGCGGTAAACCAGAGTAGGTGTGCTCTGCATCAACACCATACAGATGGCTGGAGGAAGTGGGATTTATGACCTATACTGCAGCCTGTCACCAGAGGGTGCTTTTCTTGGCGTCCATTCTATATACAGTATATACAGGTAGGAGAGACCTTGGATTATGTATGTTATATATGAGATTATATATGTATAGAAATATAAATGCATATACATATGTAAAATAAATAGTAAATAAAAACTAAACAGATGTCTGTTAGGGAAAAATAAAAAAATAATTATATATAATAATGGTCTGAATAATATAATATCTAAATATTAATTTGACCTACATGAAATGGCATAATTCCAATTAAATAGAGATGATACACAGATAACTCATATAATGATGCTTAAAAATACGAGAGGGACCCAGCTGCAGCGCAAAGATGGCGGATCCAAAGATGAACAAACGCAATGAACAAACGCAATGAATTTCCGCGTTACCTCCGATTGGCGGACCCAAAACAATTACTTCCGGTGGATAGGCTTTCTCATTGGCGGACTTCCGGCGCCGAAATACTTCAGGTAGTCGGATTTAGTCGCCGGATTCTTTTTTTTCGCTCCGTTCATTCCATAAGAATCGAATTAAATTTATTATTGAGCTAAAAATCAAAATAAAACGTTTATGTATTAATTATGACTACTGTTTTGTTCTGATTTAATTCTGAAGTTTACAGTAATATGTATATATAGACTGATGTCCTCATATTCTGATAATTTGTCAGAATAGGTATAAATGTATGTAGAAGTTATCATCTTACTCAAATTCTTATGTAAGAGTTTGCTACAAGTATGGACTGTTTTAACCTCTCGTTACACATCATATAAGAGTGTTTTCTAACTTCTCTCTCCAATAGCTTTATTACACAGCACATGAATGTTTCTTAACTTCTCTGTGACCTTGTTTCTCCACTCCTATTAGGACCTCGTTTAATGTCAACAATGTTGCCCTGACCCTCACATATTTTCTGTTGTTCAGAATTATGTTTTATGAGAGTGCTTATGTTGCTGCACATATTTTTCCCCCCATCCTTTAGTAACATTGTGTAACCAGGGACATAATTTATGAAATGGTGTGCTTCCTGGTGAACCTCTTCAGGATTGCTTGACTGTGCAAAATCCAAGTATACAATAGTTGTAGAGACACAAGTCACATGATCTCTTTAAGGTTCAGAAGAGCCATATAGCAAAAACAATTGAATAGCGATATCATTACAGACTGTGTAAAGAAATGGGAAATTGTCATACAACTGCTTCGAAGATTTCTTTAATGTTTTCCAAAAAAAATTGTGAACAGTAAAAAAAAATATAATATAAACATAATTCAGAGCACTGCCGTCGGTGTGGTGGGGGGCTTAAAATATGTTGCCACAGGCCATCATCTGCTCTGCTCTTAACCGGGTGATGCCATGCTCCTTAAGTGCTTTGATCAAAAGCTGAAAAACAGTCAAATAACGTGAACAATTGAAGTTATGCAGTATGGGTTAATTGCTGTTCTTGAGCTTTCCAAATGAATAAGAACAACCTCTTAACAATATCATCAATTTTCAAAGCAAGCTATATAGTTTGATCTACTCACCTCTGGGAGCATGACATCAAAAACAAAATCAAGCAGATGAATCTCGCCTCTCTTGATTTTTTCAGAAATGGTTGTTGCCTCCTCAATGAACCGCAGGAGCTCAAACATCTATTGAAGAAAAACACAGAAAGTAAACACCTTTCAAATGTAACACCCCTGAGAGTAAAAATACTCATGATGGATTGCATTTTTACTTACGCGCTGCTCACTCCAACTTAGTGTCCTTATCTTAAGATGCTGCTTTAGTCGGAGTGAGGTGGCGGGATTCCTCCAAAGGAACATTCTGTTGGAGCGGATCTTTCCAGACAGTAGATCATCGTGTAATGTCTGAAACCAAAGAGCAAGAGACAAAAATGTAATCATCTGAAAAAGAAACGGTGGCTTTAACAACTGATAGTGCATTCAAAAGCAACCTTGATCTGTGTCTTAGAAAAGACAGAATGAATTCCTCCACTGTCAACAGCATCCTTGATCCTGCAGAGACATAAGAAAAAGAGCAAGCCCTCATTTTTTCATCCTTTGAGCCTCGTATTTTTGACTGATACTATGTTTCCTTGATAAATTATGTTATACCGAGGATGCTCAATGGAGTCCTCGCACCCGCACTCAAACGGCTCCATTTCAATCCCAGCACAATCCTGATGCAGCCAGCCCCTGCACGTCTTGCACTGGACCCATTTTATGACGTTTACCTCAGGGTAAAGCAATCTGATCAAATGAGAGACAAACATAATATTAAACAAACACGCTGTCCAATTGATTATACCTCTACAGCACATTTGAATGTATAAATAATTTTCCCGCATAATTTGTGCATTTAAACTATATGTAAAAGTGGTCACTTCATGGAAAATCACTGAATAGGCCCCGATAATTGCATTTATTAAATTGAGTCTGCAACACACCTCTCTCCTGTGTTGTTTGATGTCTGGTAGACACAGAATTGCATCGACTCTGCCATGCACATTCTTCGGACATCCGATGCCGTCTGCGTCATGGTTTCCTTGACAAGTCAATTTGAAAAGTAACATCAATTACCAAATACATCGAGACAATGTTGATCCATACAACTGTGTGCATTTTGAAGGACTCCCACTGAGATAATACTGTTTTTAGAAGGCAATTTTCTAACCTCTATGTCCTGCTGCTCGGCCTTCCTCTTTAGACTGAAGACCGGAGTATGCTTTCCAGCAATGAGCTCTTTACATTCTTTGGTCCAGTGGGCGAAGATTTTCCCACAACTGTAATGACAATATATCTTTAAGTACAATATATTGATTGTCTTCCAGTTAAT